TATTTAATATATTTAAGATTATATTATAGCTATTTATAATAATAACTTTATATAAACCCTTTTATCTTTCTCTTTCTCTTTATATATAAACTTTGCATTATAATAAGTATTTTATATTAAAGATAGGTTTAATCTTAATATTTAATGCATTTTATACTTATTATTTAACTATAGTTTTTTATAATATCTTTATAGCCTTTAAAATAACTTTCACTTATTTCTATATTAATAATAATAATAATAACTTATGCAATACTTATAAGTAAGCGCTAAAAACTAAGAGTATAAAAACTAATTTATTTAATTTAATAATATTATTAATAACTTTTATAGCTATTTATAAAATAGCATTATTATTTATATTATTATATAATTTAATATATAAAATTTTATATATTTATTTAAAAACTTAATAATATTTCTTAACTTTCCTAATAAATTAATATGCTTTTATAAGGATTTATTTATATTTAATTCCCATTATCCATGCCTTTAAATAAAATTCTAAGGATATAAAGTTTATTTTTACATTATATTTAATAACATTTAATAATTCTTAATATATATTAATTTAAAGCATTTACAGTATTTATTATGCAGTCTTTATAAATATAAATTTTAAGAATTTTACTTCCTAAAAAGCAATAACTTAATTTATAACATAAAGAACTAAACATTTACTTAAGTATATTACATTAATTAAGATTTTATAATTAAATTTATAATTATTATATAATATAAACTTAAAACGCTTAAGTATAGGTTTATTTATTTAATAATAATAATATATCTTTTTAATCTTTACTATTACTTATTTATTAATATTTAAATTACCAGCCTTTTTAAGCATTTAATATAATTAATTTATTAATAAGTATTTAAAGCAATAATAAAGTTTCCTTATTTTTATTTTTAAAAAGAAATATATAGCATTAATAGTTTAATTTAAGAATAATTATAAATAACCCTATTTTTTAAGTATTAATATAATAATTATATTATTAAAGGAAATTATTTTATTTATAATATTATTATAATATACTTAAAGCTTATTTATATTTATTAAGCAAAGCAAAAATAGGGTTTATACTTAAATAATATAGAAATTAATATAATTAATTAAGATAAAAACTTTAACTATATTAAGTAAATTAATAATTATCCTATTATTAAATTTAACTTTAGCTTTTCTTATAATAATTATATTAATTTAATACTTTAAGTCTTCTTATTATAATATAAGGAATTGCTTATATTTAATTATAAATATTAATAATACTCTTATATTTAATAGGATTCCTTAAAAATAAGTTTAATTATATTTATTCTTTAAGATAAATTAGCTAATTGCAATAATTATTTCTATTTAAAAAATATTATTTCCCGTAATTTAATATATAAATACTTTATTAACTAGGAAATTAATATTTATATAATAAACCTTCTTATTAAGTCCTACCTTTATAATATAAATATCACCATTATAATTATTATCTTAATTTTATTTATCTTTATATTTATAAAATTTATTTTTATTATTTATCTTATATTTCTTAAACCTACTTAAAAAAATATTAAAGTTATTATTATAACCTTTATATTTACATTATATTAAATAGCTTCTTCTTATTAAATATTATTTATTAACTAAATATTTAATTAATTAATATCCTTCCTTTTTATAAATATAATATCTTTTCTTTTAAAATTATCCTTCTTTTCCTCTTTTATAAGCATTATTATTTTAAGCTTTATAGCTAGTATTATAAGATTTTAGCTACTTAAAGCTTAAATAGCTTAAATTTAATTAACTAAATCTTTAATTTCCTTAAAATACTTAAAACTATAATTATTATCCTCCTTTTAACTTTTAATTATTATATTTATAATTAATATAATATTAATTTAAAACTTTATTTATAATATAAATTATAATTATATAATTAAATTATATTTTTATTATAAATCTTAAATTTAAAAATAACTCTTTATATAGTTAAGCTAATTTAAAAAAAGCTATTTCCAGCTTAAAAACTCCTTTATAAGCTTTAATTATTATTATTCTTAAGTTATCCTTTTTAGCATAATTTTAGCTTAATACTTATTAGCAAAGTTATAGTTTATTAAGCATTAAATATAAAACTTTATGTAAGTTTTTATTTAAATTTTATATTCTTATCTTTATAAATATTATTATTATTTAATCTATATAATAATATTAATAATTAAGGTTTATATTAAAATGTATTTTAATTTTAAGATATGCTATTATAAATATATTAATTTAATTTATAAAATAAAGATAATAAGCCTTAACTTAATCTTTAAGTATTTAAGGAAAAATTATATGGAATTAACTTAACTAAATTTTAATATAATAATAAATATTAAAAAATATTTTTATCTTATTATTTAATAAATTATATAAATCCTTAATATACTTATAAAAGTTATTAAAGGTTTTTATAAATTATGCTAACTTTATTAAATTTAAGTATTTATTAAAAATATATTATAAGGAAAGAGTTTTATATAAGTTATACTTCTTATTTAGCAAAAGTATTTTTAAGGTAACTTAAGATTATGCTAAATATAATATATATCTTTAATATAAGCTTTATTTTTATTTCTTTGCTAGTAATAATAGGTCTTGTTAGCCGTATTGATTTTTAATAAATTGCATTATTAAGTTTGGGTTTTATAATTGCGCGCCTAAAGCTTACGCGCTTAAAGCTAGCGGCGGCGGTAAAAGTTATCCTAAGGACTACCCTCTTAATAATTATTATTATTTAAAGCTTGCTTATAGTTTTTATAAGGGCTATGCTTATAATTATTATCTTTAAAGTTATATATAATATTTATTTATGCTTAATTTTAAGGCTAATAAAGCATTATAAAGCTTATTATTAATTCATTTTATATAAATGCCTTGCATTTAAAGAAAGACTTTTAAATATTATTAATAAGGATTTAATAATGCTTTAAATATTACTTATATCCATGTTATATAATCCTTATAATAAGTAATAAAAAGATTATTATTATAAAGATTTTATTGTATATAGCTTGCTAAAGTATTTATTAAATAAGTAATTAAGTATTTTATTAATGCTTTTTATATAAGGGCTATAAATTATAATTTTAAGTTAATATATTTATAATAAGCTAAGTTAATTAAAGTTTAAGCAAGCATTTTATTAATTATATATCTTTTAATAAGAGTTAATAGCTTCTTAGCATTATTAGCCATTTTTATAAGTTTTTATAATAAATATTATAAAAAGTAAAATTAATAAAATAAAGAAATATTAATAAAATAAATAATATTTAAAAGTAAATTAATAATAATAATTTAATAAAGAGCAAGTTATAGTTATTAGGAGGAAGAAGTTATTAATTCCTTTAAGCCTTAAAAGCTAAGGCTTTCTTTCATTATTAAGTTTTTTTATATTAGCTAAAAGTATAATGCATAACTTATGCTTATTTATAATATAGCATTACATTAACTTTAATAATTACAATAATTATAAGCTTTATTTATTAATAAAACAAAGCTTTATTAGGTTTTGCTAGGTTTTAAAAAGGATTTAAAGATAGGTTTATTTTTAATAAAGTTTTATGCATAATAAATGCATATCTCTTAAATAGCAATAAATATATATATGGATATTATAGGGAATATTACTTAATTTATTTAATCTTTATAATATTTATTTAAAAAATTTAATAATATAGGGAAGCCTAAAGAAGTAATTATTACTATATAACGCTTATTAATAAAAAGGATATAATTTTTAGGTTAAGGAAATCTTTATAAGGTTGCCTCTTTTACCTTATTAATTTATGATACCTATAACCATTAATTAATATTAATAAGTTTTTCATATATATAATAATTATATAGGAAGCAATCATGTATTAGTGTTATTCTATCTAAGTTCTAAGAGGCTACATGCCCCGGAGGGGATAACTAAAGTAGCCTTCTAAGTGCGAGGGTCGTACTTGCCAACAGTCGGAGTCGGCACTCGACTGGTTGCTCGGAAGACAGCTGCCACAAAGTTCGAGCTGGCGTGACGGACTGTGAAGTTCCCAGGTGTCATGATGTTCAGGGCGCGGTCTAAAAAGTATGCAATGCAGCTAAACAACTGCCTACAATTTCTGTCTTCCTGATCTGCGGGACTCATTCGGCCGCCAGGATTTGCGGATTGCACAGGAAGTGATTTGGAAGTGACCTTCGCGCTCCGGACAGCTTCATGTCAATTCCTTCTGCTGTCAGTTGCAAATTGCAACCAGTGATCAGGTTCCAAGGTTCGGAACGTCGGGCGCACATTGGAGCTTCTTGTGTTCCAAATGACCAACTCTTTTATTGCGTATTGACTTTGCTCCGCCTTGCGCTGTGATCGACCGTATTGTTCAAGATGGTAGTTGAATGAACAGCTTGTGCCTTATCTTCTCACATGCCATTTAAATTACTGTGAATGCAGGACGCGAAGAAGACTAGTTGCGAAGGCCCAGATGGTAGACATTTTCGCCCTTTGGTTTTGGCAGGCCAACTGACACGTTCACCTGATAAATGGTAGACTCCACCTTTACACGTCAATGGAATTCTTTTGTCTATAGCCGTGTACAGGCACTCTTCTATCTGCAATGTTCAGAGTATATATTCTTCCACTCAAGCCTCAGCCGAGCGATGTCTCAGTGTCCGCGTGTCTGTCGACAGCGAGCTATTGGTTTGCTGCCGGGTTGCATAAACTGCGCCGCGCAGAATGGGTTTGCGAGTATACGCGTACATGTACGCGTATCTGGGAAGCAGTTCGGAATGCTTCCGCTTGATACTCCTTGGCCTCTGGGAGAAGGTGGAAACTCTCATTTTGGCCGCAGCATCTAGGGAGAGTTTTGGGTACCTAGGTAATCATTCGAATGAGTGTTCCATCAGAGTGAACCACAACTTATTGCGAATTTAAAGTCGCTGATGGTGGTTCCACATCTCTGAGGACCCCTCAACCCAAGCCAACAGCCCAGGCAGCATTCCCAAGCTGCCTGATCAGATGACACAGGTTCTCGACAATGGGCGCGACAGGGCCATTTAGGTAGTTCGCCCGGAACACCTCCTCAACGATCGCCATCGTGGGCTTCGGCTCCTCGACGAGGCTCTCCGCCACACCACTGCCGCCCCCAGCGCTGTCTCGGCCGCTACCTTGCCCCTTCTTCACAGGTCCGCGGATGGCGGGCCTGCCAGTACCGTACGACGTGAACTGGACAGTCTCGCTCATGTCGGGGCCGTCGAGGTAAATGAGCGGCTCGCTGTGGTTGTACCCCGGCTGCAGCCCGGCCGTGCGTCGGATTGCGCGGGTCAGCACGCCCCATGTCCATATCGCCAGCGCAGCATGGTGCACCGCGACCGCGTAGAAGTCCTTCAGGTGGCCGGGAGGGAACTCCTTTGCCCACCTGAGTATCTGCCCCGCGTGCCATAAAGAACGGCGGGACTCGGAGTCCTGTGCCCATCGTTGTAGAGAGGGGTAGATCCTCTTGGCCTGCTCGTCACCCTCTTTGCCGGAGAATAGCTGCAGGTCCTCCAGGCTCACATGTAGGTTCACGAAAAGGAGATTGAGCACGACTTTCTCTTGGGCACTAAGCATGTGCGGCCAGTTCTGCATGGCAGTGGCTTGGAACTGCTCCAGAGCCTTAACAAGCTCCTGGTGGCGGGACTGGAGCAGGACATTCGGGTTGCCTGCTGTGGACGGAGAAAATGCCGACCACCGGTAGATGGCATTCATTTGCCGGTACTCCCGGATGAGAGACCAGAAGCCGTGAAGGTAGATGGAAACGGCGTACTGAACATCTAGGCGATGATGCTCGGTCGCCAGGAGGTTGATGTCGCGAAAGAGGTCGCCGAGCGAAGGTGGCCGTCTATCTTGGCCAGCATTTCTTTCCAGATAATGCATCTTCCATTCCCGGGCGGTTCTTGCAAACCAGAGCTCACGGGCCTCGGGGAGCGGCAATGTCAGTTCTGCATAAGATATGTGGGGGTTGTTCATGGACGTCATGGACGTTTGTGCGTCTCGAAGGTATAAGTGAAAGATGAGTCTGTATGTCTCCATCAGCAAACTTCCCACAAATTACTTGACTAGGGTGCTTACCTTTTCCAAGACTCTCGGTGACACCACGTCTTCCACTTTTCTTCTAGGACGGCCCCGTCATCTGCAGGGTCGACCTGGATTGGTGGATACGAAGACCTTTGGAAACTGCCTCTGCCCCTGATCATCGCAATAGGAATGTTCAAATCTTTAACGTTTGGGTTAGCACATATCGGCATCCAATCCAAAGGTCACTTTACTTACGGCATTCGGCTATTTCCATGCGCCTCCTGTTGCCGCTCCATAGTCCGATATCATGACCCAAGACAAGAGCTTGAACTAAACTCTGATCCTGAACTTTGGAGTTGTTATCCTCGAATCTGTTAGGGATAGTAACACCTAGTACGCTCATTAGCACTCGGAATTCGAACACATGGGGCACCGTGTATCTCCTTACGGACTGCCTCTTGCAAAGCAAACCCAAACTTTCGAAGTGATTGCACAGATGTCAAAATTCCACCGGCTGACGCAGCAACTGCCGTCCATTCGGGGCATTGCGCATTTAAGGCAAAGGTCCCGAAATGAATGAATTCCGAGACTTGACACAAGTGCCACGCCAAGAATATGTGAACCAAAGAGTCCATCACATCAGTTGAAGGGAACGACGATGCGACGCGGCTCAACATGACGTTGTTCTGACAAGTACTAAGAACGATAGCAAGGATCTTGTCGCGTCCGGATGAGTCCAACTTGTCATGTATAATCCTGTCAGGCTTTAGTTGTGTAGAATTTATGTCAGCCAACGGGAGACCGCTCTTCTGGTTGTGGATGTTGTCTTTGTGCCCGTCAGGCATCCACCGCCAGGGCGAACTTGTCCATATCTTGACTAGACGTTGGCGCATTCTAGACATATCCGCGGTGTCCTCTGGCCGGCTGGAAACATAGTTGGCCAAGTTCGGATCCGTGGCAAGCATGCCGTGAACGTTACCGATGTTCCAGTTGTCGAGCATACCAAAGTCAAGATCGTTCATCTCTAGATTGGCGTCGTCGCAGAAGTCCAACACAGCAAGACCTTGCGCCTCGGCCATTTTCTGGGAATCCATTTGCTGTTGCTGCTGCTGGTGCTGGTCGTAGAGAACGTCTCGCAGGAAATCCGAGAAGGGCAGCCTGTTCATATCCACCATGTTCTGATTCTGATGATACGACGCCTGGTAGCCATCCGGGTTGTCTTCGTCATCCATGATCAGTGAATCTGCCCAGAAATCGTCTGACATCTGCTGCTCGTGCTTGACAAAGAAATATGGCGATTGCCAGTATGGGGAGGGTGAGGTTTAGAAAGAAGCCAGCTAGTAAATCTCGTAGGGTATAGCCTAGTCTGGCAAGGTGTGTGAAGGAGGGTGATATGATAGAGTAGCATGAAAGCCATTGGTGATATAAGGGACGGCATCATAGCATAGAGTACGGTGGAAGCAGGGGCCACTGATAGACGCGACGCGAATACCTTAAGATGAAGAAGCCTCGCCAAGACATTGAAGCTCCGGTATGAGACATAGGCTAGAGGAAAAAAGACTACTCACTTTGGTCCATCATGTTCTCAGGGGTGGGTAGTTGGGCGGCCTCGCTGTTGATTGGTGGATTGCTGGCCAGGATGGAAGGGCTGGTACCGGTCGACTGGGCGTGGACAAGATTCGTCATCGCAGGCGCGGCAGGGTTGTGGAGCCCATGTGTGTGCATAGCCTCAGCCGCGTTGGAGCGCAGCGACCTCGATCCCAAATGATGCGCGGTGGGAACTGCGCCGTGGCCGGCTGGGGCCATGGGCGCAGAGGAAGTGGGCGTGGTGGCGCCGGAGGAGTGCGCGTTCGCTGAGAGGTGCAAGAGATGCATCGCAGCAGCGGAGCCTGCCTCGGAGGAAGCATACTCACAGGTCAAGTTGCGGTTGCGGCACCTGGTGCAGGGCTTGGACTCCTCACACTTGACGCGGGCCTTTGCGCAGGCCTGGCAGGCGTGGGCGACACGGCCGGCGCCGGGGGACGAGTTAATGCGCCGCCTCTTGGTGCCATTGCCGTCATCGTCGTGGTTGGCACGGTGTCTCTTGAGCAGATCTGCACGTCCAAAGGCTTTGCCGCAGACCTGATTCATGACATTAGCGACGGGACGGGGGATTTCAAGAAACGTGCGGTCCCTGGACTGGACCTGACCGCACGCGCGGCAGAATGCGAAGACGTACGTCACATATAAAGCGTTTCCCCAGCGTGTGGGTGGCTATGTGTCGCTGGAGGTGCTCCGGGCGAGAGTATCTCTTCAGGCAGTCGGCGCACTGGTAAAGGCTGGTGTTGGCGGCATGGCCGCTGGCCGGCGTGTTGGAAGCGGCACCGGCAATGGAGCTCCCACCTGTGGTCGAAGGAGCGCTGGGAGAGGTGGCAGGGGTGGCGATGGGCGTCGGATGGGAAGTGCCAGATGCTGCGGGCGAGACACCGGGAGGGGCTGGATATGTGTAGTTCCCAGGTGATGAGGTGGGCACAGAATGGGCTGCGCTGCCGTGTGAGACATGGCGTTGAGACGGGGACTGCTGATGGGACAAGGAAGGGTCGGCGTGCAGGAGATGTGAGAGCGACGGGCTGGCCATTGTGGCCGTCCGGGAGCAGTTGCGTTGCGGTGCGGTGCGGTGCGGTGCTCGCGCAAGTGGATACGGGCGGCGGTCGTATCTCGTCGTACGTGCTGCCCTCAGTCCCGAGTCGGGCTCCGGCACGGTACCGAGACCTGGCGCCTGCTGACGTCCCGGGTGGGCCCAGAGACGGAGACGGAAAGACGGGCAGACGATGGAGCGGACGGGGCAGCACAGCACAGGATAGGGCTGGGGCCAATGGACCACAAGCCTGATCGGCAGACGGGCCCGGGCCTGAGATTGGCGCTCTGAGGCTGGATGGGTCCCTTCTGGGCCGGTATGGCGTGGTGGGCGTGCGGAAATCCGAGAGTGCTCGGCGATGAATGATGCAACTGGAGAATGGATCTCAGGATCAAGGGGCAGCAAGCTTCGTCGGGAGTGTGGGAGACAGCGGGCGCGAGGGCGGGAGCGTGGGCGGGCGGGCGGTAAAAAAGGGAGAGGATTCCAGCACTGTGCGTCGTGTCGATTCGAGTCGTCGAGTGTCGTGGGGCGCACCTAGATGATCGACTGCTACCCAGATAAAGGTGCATGTGTAAGGGAACTAGGGAGCTATGCAAGTATTTCTCCTGACAGCCCAGCCTCTGGCGAATGACAAGACGGGGGCGTGGGCCAGGAGCCCAAGTATAGTCGCAGGAACCAAGATTGATGCTTGCTCCCGATGCCTGGTTTGACTATGCCTGTGTCTGTCTCACCTCTCACCTCTCACCCGGGGGCCAGCTTGTTGGGGCGTGTTCGGTCGAGGAGCGAGCATGTGCTTTTTGCATGTGCATGTGCATGTGCATGCGCCTGTGCCTCTGTCTATGGTCGTGCCTGGATGGGTGGATGCTGTAGGTGGGATGGACAAGGAGATCGAAGTGGTCGACAGGCTGCTGGGCTGGATCGGGGGTGGAAAATGGAGCCGGGTGGATGCGATGGGTGCGGTGCATGCAACGTGATGCGATGCTGTCGACAGGAGTGGGCTGGCAGGTGGACTGCGGTTCACTGCAGCGCTGGCAGGAGCTTGCTTGCTTGGTCTGATCTCTGGGTGCTCGGGCGAGGCCCTGCCGTCCGTCTCAAGTCGTCGGTTCGTTCCACGAGTCAGACACGCCCGCCAGGCAGACCGACAGGCGAACGAACTACTTGGTACTGAACATGCAACTGTTGTACAGACTAGGCAGGTACTGTACAACCCACGAGATACGGTTGGTGATCCCAAGATCGGGGCCTCGTGCCGACATCAAACAATTCTAAATTTCATACCTTAATTATTGTGTACTGTATGCTCTAATGCGGGATGGCCTGCTGGCCTGGGCCTCAACCCCACCGGCACGAGACACACACTTGGGCACGCAAGTCAAAGTCTTCTCACGCATGTAAGTCGTTCCTTCCACCATCACAACCACGATCACGACCTCCCCCTCCTTCCTCCACCACGCCTAAGTTCACGCCATCCCACCCGAGCGCCATGCCGTCGTCGAATACCGACACGCCAGCCACTTGCATTCGCGCCTTGCGCCCGCGCCCGCGCCTTTGCCCACCACAAGCTCAACTGAGCCATTCTCTTTGGGCATGGCGCGGCTGTCAGCGTCTACGCCCGTCCCTGATCGACAGTGCGTACCGTCAGCAGTGGTATCCTGGCCTTTGCGCTCCTGTCAACTGCCCGGCACTGCAGTAGAGATCGAAATCGAGTCGATCCTCGTTCATCAAAGGCTCTGTCTGATCTGCCATTCGCCCCAGACTATTCAGACTTGCCCGCTGCTCTTGTCTGGGCAGTTTGGGACCGTCTTACTATGTAACCATCAAGACACGAAGGCCGGCAATGTGGCTAGGACAGTCCCTGCCGATTCTCTGTTCCTGCTGCGGACGCTCCGAGCACCCGTGATCCGTGATCCGTGATCCATGGTCGGCCCACAATCCCCCCCATGATCCACCCAAGTGCCGTGGCTCTAAGTTTACCTAGCCGGCTGCTCTGTTTTTGCAGTCCGCAATGCGGCTTTGCCAAACCTGGGGAAGCCGGAGCTGGTGGCAGGCACCTGAGGGAAGGGCTGGCTGGGCCACCAAATAGCTGCAGGCATGAATTAAGCCTCCAGATAAAGTCGGGTGGGCCGAGAACATGCAAGCGTAGGCTATCTTCCGAGGGCCATATTTGGCTCACCGACATCGCTCATGCTTGTTTGTTTGATCCACCCGCAGCCTCAGCCGTCAAGAGTTTCAACGGTCGCACACTCCTGGATTGCCGTTAAGCAGATTTTTGTTTTTTCATCCCCTTGTTGTGCCCACCTACGGGTCTCCGGGACAAGCCCGATTGCAAATTCAGCAGCAACCCCGTAGCACGCGTGTATGGTGGAGACAAGACCGAGTCGAGGACTAGGTTGGACCGGTTGCTACCCAAAACGCCCCATGAATCCCATCGAGACCACCACGGGCGACCCTTTCAACGTCACATCATCACCAATGACGCGTCCCCAATTGCCAACCCACTCCCTTCTTTGCAACGCCAGCCGCAGAGGGAAGCTGAGGTGCCGGTGACGCTGCTGGTCTTCGAAAGGGCAAAAGGCCCGAAAGACTTGTCGCGTTTACTACCGCTTGCATGTTTCCATTCACCAACCCCAGCGGTTGAAGCATAACCTCAAAACCGCCGAACCACGGCAAGGTCCCCGAACGGCGGAGAGGCAAGACACGATATGGGTACCCACGGTCCGCTATTACGCAGTAGGCTACATGAGGGCCATGTAATTAAGACTTGGCATTCTGCACCCACCTCAATACCTTGGCAATGGCGTTTCGCTGCACGCCAGACTGCGCAACAGGACACGCACCCGCAGGACACAACACACCCTACCAAACCCAATTGGACCTCGAGAAGCCGATCAGCCATCTGTTCCTCAGCTAGTGGCTGACTGCATTACAGAACCCAACTCGGAAACAAGAGGATCTGCCAACGCGTGGCCTGCGGACAGCATGCAATCAATCCGCGTAAAGGGAACGTCTCTGGATTTTCCGCGGATCCCAGGAGTCCCCAGGACACAATGATATCGGACCTGCGGCTGCTGTCCAACGCCGATCTTAGATCTGGACTGTGGGACAGGCCATGCCGTTCCATTCCAGCTGAGTCGAGGTGGGTGGTGGGCTGGCTAGCCGAACACCCAAGATTGCGCCAAAGCGGGTTCGCCTGTCCTCCCCGACTAGGCCCAGGCGCCAACATGTTTGGGCTCGTGGGCCCGCAGGCTCATTAAGCCGTGCAATACTCATGGCGCCAGTGGAATGGCATCACGGTGGCGGCAGCGGACGTACCTCTGGCGCCGACTACTCGGCTCAAGAATCAGCTGCTAGCCGTCAATAGCGGAGCTGTGGGCTTGGTTTCATACATTGCTGTGACAGGTCACCCGCCCAGGGCGCCTCCATAGTGATGCCGAGGACCCGATGGAAAAGAGATGACTCTTACGCGAGTGTGTAATGTCACGAACCTGTCTAGGGAATAGATCCTGTTAGAAGTACTAGGGTACGACCGGCTCCTACTACTGGTTTCAGTCGCCATTTGTGCCGGTGGACGGGGAAGATTCCTCGCCGGCCATAGCAGCCTATGGCCGGCCAGTTGCACAGACTTTGTCTATGGGCTTCCTAGGACGAATCCATTTCATGGCGTCGCGGGCTAACCTGTTGGGGCTGAAGACGACAGGCCCCGACTGTCTATGCGAGTGCAGGAAGTCGTAGCGGCAACTGGCCAGATGCCTTTAGACTTCCCTAAGTCCGCGATGTTGAACATGCACGTGAGTTGAGACTTCTCAGGGCTGCCAGGTGGGTAATGGAAACCTTCCCTATCCGCGCTCGTTTCCTGGAGCTTGTTCCATAATTCAGGGTTTCGAAGTGTCGTTATCTCTCCCGTGCTCATCTTGGGTTTGACGTAAGTAGGTGGTTCTGCGGCAAGATTACGTTATAGCCCCGGATATCAACAACTCCTGCCTGCAAATATCCATTGCCGTTTCTGGTCACTCTCTATTCCTCAACCCTCACTGCCATCTGCGCCTTTGCGAGTAGCCAGAGCTGTCACCCCCACCTCCCGATCCCTGCCCCGGCAAGGCTGAGCCATTGCGTGGGGTAACCTGGTAGCGGTCAGAACCTAGAACCCTGACCTGTGGTGTAAATGCTAGATAGTGCTACGCGTTAACGCTGTCGTGCATCACTGACAACCTATAGCAACTCCTTAGCCACCTCCCGAGTAGGGGTCTCGTCACTTGAGCAGCTCCGGCCTCGGAAAGCGGGTAAGGAAGAATGGGTTGTATTGATGTGCAGAGGAGGAGAAACTCCCCACTCTGGTTGCTAAGAAAATGGCTCCTTAAAAACACCCCTCTCTAACCCTAAAACGCTCCTTCCGCACCATACGAGGCCCCCTTTTCTCTATGCCCACGACCCCGAGGGCATTCCCAAATCAACTCTTCATCTTGGATAGACACTCTCTCTAAGCCGTCATCGTAGACCAACAACTCTCCAACTTAGTTCCATAATTTTCCAAATGCCTCCCATCTCCCAAGCTTTCCCAAACCTAAGAGAAAAAAAAAAATCACAAAAACACAATCCAGGAGATCAAACTTCCTCAACCCTTTCCATTCTGCATAGGTTTCTTAGCAAGCCACCCCGGCCCCATGCACACGCAACGAAGAGGAAAGGGATTTCGGGAGATAATGGTTGGAACTTAGCAACGCGGTTAAGAGGTTTAAAGGTCTTCTAGTTCTAGTTCGTAGTGGTATCATCATCAAAAGAGAAGAAACTCTAACTCCGGGATTAAAAAAACCTAAAATAAGCATATCATTCATCTCAGCAGAACCTCCATAAGGAAGAATGGGTTGTATTGATATGCAGAGGAGGAGAAACTCCCCACTCTGGTTGCTAAGAAAATGGCTCCTTAAAAACACCCCTCTCTAACCCTAAAACGCTCCTTCCGCACCACACGGGCCACATCCCGTTCGTGCAAAGCAGTCACGCAGCTCTGTGAGCTCGACTCTGGCCGAGAACTTGCCTTGTCTTGATACCTTCTGTACGCCGAGACCCACGGGAAGACTACGGGGAGTGGGCACTGTTCCCCAGATTTTTGACGGCGATCAGGCGGGAACCGGTTCCTTCCCCAGAGTCTGAAGAGCTTGGTATCCTCGTTTGTCTCGTCCCGGCATCAGCCACTGGCCCCTCTCGCGTCTTGCGAGTCCTGTGGGGTCTGGGGAACCTTGAAGGAGGGCGGAAGCGCCTGCTACTGGGCCGGAGTTTGGGTAGTCTTCCAGAGGAGCATACACTGCTACTTTTGCGGTCCACAGCAACCCCTTCGGCACCCTGCGTTGCAGCTGCCCCTACCGGGTCTATGTCCGTTCAGTGTCCATTATCAAATCAGAAGCACCTGGTCTGCAACAAGGATCTTATTTACTGTCCACTCTTCCCCGGTTCGGATACAAGACCACAAGAGCCTCGCTCCAACTTCCTGCCGCCTCTGCTCCATATCCCCCTTTCACCTAGCGACTCCCAGGAGAACAACTCAAGACATTTCTTTTCATACAGCAACAAGTTGGTCGGGCAAGATGGCAGGCGACCATATCGCACCGACCCTTCGACCCGACGACTACGAGGATCCGAAGGTCGAACACGTAAGGCAGCGAACCTTGGGCAACGTGCGCCTCCGCCATCACGAGACAAACGAGACCATCCTCATCCCAACACCATCCAACGATCCCAATGACCCCCTGAACTGGTGAGTCGAATTGGAACTCAGCCTCGTCACTTGGTATGCATCAAAGATCTGACTGGGCGCAGGCCACAATGGTACAAGAAGTGCATCGCGGTTCTCGTCTGCGTGGCGATCCTCATGTGCAATTTCCTGGCAGCAGGACCGACGGTCACCATCGTCAATACGACCTTGGACTTCTTCCCAGCCTCGCCTCCCACCGTCGATCCTGCGGGCTTCAGCGCCAATATCTCCAAGGTCGCATACTTTTTCAGCACGACGGCGCTACTCCAGGGAACCGGGAACTTCATATGGGTTCCTCTTGCGAACAAATACGGCCGCCGTCCTGTTTATGTGGCTAGCTATGTGAGTCCCACCAGATTTTCATATGTAATCTGTTGAAGCCGTCGTGTACTGTGACCAGAGGGAGACCCCAAAGCGGACTCTGAAGGTCCCAGTGGTGGAAAATGGCACCAACAAGACCGTGGTGGCTGAATAGCAATCGTTTACGTCCATGACCCATATATGCAAAGCAGATGATTTCAAACCCAGCCTTTAAAAGTGTGACGGGTGTACACCCTTTTGTTCAACTCGCATCTCTATGGCTTACTGGGCTCAATTTTGGCTTGGTGTTTTGTTTTTCCTCCTGACGCCTGACTTAGTCTGCCCTCAGACACAAAGCGCTGACTATTTCTCTGAAGACTCTGTACCTCGCGACCGCCATCTGGGCGATACTCGATCATTCCTATTCCGGTTTCTTGGCTGGGCGTATCCTCATGGGCTTTGCCTCTGGGGCAGCGGAGACCATTGCACCTGTGACCATCTCAGACCTGTTTTTCCTCCACGAGCGTGGCTCTATTATGGCCCTTTACACGTCGTTCCTGTCCGTGGGCGTGGGCTTCGGCCTGATAATTGCTGGGCAAGTAGACTGCGAAATCCGGATTAAAATGTACTTGCTCTAACACGTTTATAGTCTCATCACTATCAACAACCCCTGGCGTGTCATTTATGAGGTTGCGGCAGCCATCATCGGGTTCATCCTCCTCGTCGCGTTCTTTGCCTTCCCAGAGACAGCATTCGTCCGCGACGAAACAGCTGTCCTTCATGCCCAGCCTCTACAGCGGCTGCCAAGCGGTCACGACTCCGAGAAGACTCACCAGACGGCAGACCGTGTCTCGGACATTGAGGCTGCGTCTCACTCTCCGCAAACCCCTGCCAAGAAGAAGAAGGCATACTTGCAGAGCCTCAGCCTTTACAACGGGGTATTCACTTCGGAGCCCCTCTACAAGATCTTTGTGCGCCCCTTCGGGCTCATCCTCCTGCCCCCTGTGCTCTGGGCGGCCCTTGTGGAGTCTGTGACCATCGGCTTCCTCGTCGCCGTCACTTCAAACGTCGACCCTGCCTTCTTGGCCACGTACAACTTCGAAGCCTGGCAGGTCGGTTTGTGTTTTATTTCTGCCTGTATCGGCTCCGCGGTCGGAATCCCCGCCGGCGGAAAGCTCGGCGACGTGGTAGCGGACTATTTCACCAACAAGAACGGGGGCATCCGGGAGCCCGAGATGAGACTGCCTGCCATTCTCCCAAGCCTGATTACGACGCCCTTGGCCCTGGTGCTGTACGGCGTGGGCATCCAGAAGCAGCTGCACTGGATCTGCCCGACCGTTGGACTGGGACTATGTGAGTATAAAGCCTGGTGATGAATGTGCATGTAACAAGGATCTGACCCGAAGCCACCAGTGAACTTCTCAATTGTACAGGCCACAAATATCGTACTTGTCTACGTTATCGATGCTTACCGCCCCGTTGCTGGTGAGGTCACCTTGGCTGTCATGGGTTTCAAATGTGAGTGATTGTGTCTCGGCAACTCATTTGCTCAAAGACTAACAATTGTACGCGCAGCCCTCTTCGGCTTCCTGCTCTCGTTCTACACGAACCCGTGGGTCGAACAGTCTGGATACCTCAACGCCTACGGCGCGATGGCCGGCATCGCCGCCGCCATCCTCATCCTCTGGGTGCCGCTGTACGTATGGGGCCGGCATGTCCGCCACGTCACCTGGTCGTGGCCTGTGATTTCCTATGTCCACTGGAGTGAGGACCGCGAGGTTGGCGAGTGAGGGCGGCTGTTGGGTCATTCCATCCATTATGTGTTCGGTCATTTCATCAGTCTTTCCCGCCGAGTGTCTATGCTGAACTTTCCACGGTGCGAAATGCATGTAAATGAGTTTTGTGGTGTTAAAAAGCACGGCTGTGCGTGGCTTGATGGTGCCAACTTGCATAGTCATAAGGATGCTGTACCAATGAGCTCGAATATGAATCCGCTTGTGAAACCCCGAGAAGAGCAAGTTGCGTGAATAGGACTGTGCCTCCCCCAAACCCGGCAAAGCCCTGAAAGTCGAGGGATACAGAAGTAGAAGCCCCTTGTTGTAAATGTTCGTCGTCGCTCACTTACAAATGAGATTTATGTACGGGCACCGATGTTCTATAACATATACAGTCCTAATACCATTTTCAACTTATAGTGACAACCCACCGTCCAAGACCATGTTCTGTCCCGTGACACTCTTGTTCTTCACGAAGGTCAGAACCTGCTCCGCGACGTCCTCGACAGCGGCCAATCTCTTCAGCTTGGACGCCTCGGTCATCGCCTGTATCCTCTCCGGGGGAAACCTCAGTCCCCATTCCTGGTTGGTCAAGCACGTCAGAAGGGGCGATTCTGTCCTCAAAGTACAAGAGGCATAGTTGAGAGGTTAGACTCACAGTCAGCAGCAAACCAGGGCTCACGCTGTTCACCCTGACCTTGGGGGCGGCGAGCATGGCCAGCGCCTTGGCGAGGTGCAGGTGGGCGGCCTTGGTGACGGCGTAGGCCAGGGAGCTCCCGCTGACCTTGACGCCGGCGAGGCTCGCCGTGGTGACGAAGCACCCGCTCTCCCTGGCGCCGCCCTCCTCGTCGTCCCAGCCGGCCGAGAGGTAGGGCTTGGCGGCGTGCATGAGCCACAGGTGGCTCTTGACGTTGACGGTGAAGCACCTGTCCCAGTCCTCGTCGACCAGGTTGTCCTCGAGGTCGTACAGGTTGCGCATGTGTGTCCAGCCGCCGTTGCTGAAGACCACGTCCAGGCGGCGCTTGCCCTCGCCTCCGGAGGGGCACATGGCGTCCACCGTCTGCTCGACCAGCCGCTCCACGTCCGCCCGCGAGGCCAGGTCCGCCTTGATGGCGTGGTAGTCCACCCTCCCCTCGGCCGGGGTCAGGGTGCTGATGGACTTGAGCTTGGCGACCAGCTCGTTGGCGCGCTGGATGTTGCTGGCATAGTTGATGACCACGCGCATGCCGTTGCGGGCGAACAGCTCTGCCACGCAGGCGCCGAGGCCGGCGGATCCGGCGGTGATGAGGGAGATGGGAGGGGATGGCGAAGACATTGCAAGTGTATTTGAGGACGTTCAGAGGCTGCCGGCTTGCGAGGCGAGGTTGGAATACAGTTGGGGTACCCACGTGTATCCACAGCCGGGGGAGGCTTTCACTCTTCTCCTTCCCTTTTCGGACGAGAGGCGCACAATGATTCGCTGGTCTGACTGTCTTGTCTTAGGGGATCTTACTACTGTAGTTCTCGAGCCTAATCTCGTTTCCCCCCCCCCCCCCCCCACGAGTTTCTCTTGTTGCTTGATGAATCGCAAGTTCATCACGCGAGAACGGAGTCGAGAAGCACGAGTGCCACCGTGAATCCGGCCGGGGTGCGGGTGGGGGCTCCGTTCACGGATCCATCGACCAGGGCCGACTTTACATGGGGTGCCTGCCGCACGCGAAGCCTAACTGTAAATGCTTACACATGCGAACACCGTGCTGGGCTCAGTTCTACACTGCACCTTTTTTTCACACAGAGCGGATAGACTGTTATGGCTTGGTGGATGAGACTGCGTGTCAGAGCAGGCAGTCAGACAGACAGATCAGGAGGTGTATGCACATCACGCCGGGGGTCTAGGCTGGCCTGGCCTGGCCTGGCCCGACTCTTGTCACTGTCGCATGTTGCCCTCCTCGGCTGCAGTTTATTTCTGTACGCAGCACATGGTCCATGACAAGAACAGGAGTTCTGAGTGGGACGGAAGAGAGCTGTTCCAACGTTGCAGGCTAGGCAGTGCGACTAACAACACGGGGTCCTGCTGTACGTACACGTATCCGGCTCCGTCCCCCACCTGCCCACTTCCCGAAGGCCTGCCTATTTCGGAACTAGTTTCCACCTTTGGACCTGTGCTAGACTATCGTGTTCCGCTTCTTCTGCCCCAGACGTGCCACTGCGATCGTCAATGTGACCTTACGACTGTCTCCTCCTCCACTGCCCTTCCGTATGATATTTCATCTAAACGTATTCGTATTCAGGGTCAATGGCCCCACCGTCCTGCGACGTGTAGGCACTGCTCCCGTTCTGGCCGACGGTCGAGGCCACCTCCCACAACCGTCGACGGGACCCGGACTGACAGCATGCTGGGACATGTGCGACTACTGTTATCCGCACCAGCGAACCAGAGGGCGACCGAGGCACCTAGGCAGCGGTAACTCTCATGCCGCCCGGGACGGCCCAAGGGCCCCACGTTCGATTCCGGTGGGCGCCCCCGGGAACTACCAAGTAACTCTGGCGGGATTTGATATTGTCGCACGTCTGATGACCAACGACCGACCTACCTGCCTGGGTACAGTCCCACCGCTTCCAACATGTTTACCCGCTGCCTTGTGCTTGGTACGGAAACATGCTCTCTGCCCTTCCCTGCCTCGGTCTTGCTTCTTGCCCGGCCGCCGGTGCACCGCCTTGATGTGGTCCCCACACCTTCGCGCCCACCCGTCAACTTGTGTGTCTGACTTGTAACATCTCTCTCACATACTCAGGGGAGCTCGGAAAGTCTCCGCGGATCTTGAAGCCTATTTCTCGTCCATTGTTAGCTGTCTCTCCCCTCCCAGAAAGAACAGTGGCTGTTCTGGTCGTCGCCGGCGTACTATTCGCCGTACATCTGCCACGAGAGCCTCGTATCTGCCGAATTCAACCTGTCTATTACTCTCCGCCTCGCACCTCTGATTTCTTGAACAGTACTAGAAGCCACACTGCAATATGGAGAAGATCAAGAACCTGGCCGGCAGTCTCAACGGGACCGGCCACGGCGAGGGCGTCGTCAATGGCACCGGAGCCCAGCCTTCGTCGAGTCCCAACAAAGTCGGACCCACGAGTCCCCTCGTCGATGACCATCCCACGCCTCTGAAGGTCATAATTATCGGTGCTGGCATAGGAGGCTTGTCAGCCGCTGTTGGCTTGCGCAAAAACGGCCACCAAGTCGATGTGAGCCCCGGATACAAGCTCGTGACCTCCTCCAGACAGACACTGACTCTCTCTCCAGCTTTATGAACAGTCGAGGTTCGCCAATGAGACGGGCGCCGCAGTGCACCTGGCACCAAATGCGAACGGCTTGCTGAGGAAATGGGGCATCTTTGCCGAGGACTTTGGCGCGACGCTGATGCAACGCATGGAGGAGCGCAACGAGAAAGGTGACAAGCTCAAGGACATGGATCTGAGGGGAATGAACGCACAATGGCAGCACCCGTGGCACCTGAGCCACCGGATCAACCTGCACGAGAAACTCAAGAAGGTTGCCACGGCTGAGGAGGGCGTTGGCACCCCCGCAAAACTGCACACCTCCAGCAAGATCGTGAGTGTGGACGCTGAGAAAGGGCAGGTGAGACTTGCGGACGGCACGACCGTCACCGGTGACGTGATCCTGGGAGCAGACGGTATATACGTAAGTGATGCTGGTCCGGACTCCTGGTGCCCTCGCCGCTGACTCCCCCTCTTAGTCGAAGTCAAGGTCTGTCATCAAGGAAACCAAGCTGTTTGGCTCCGGCAAGGCCGCTTTCCGCTTCTTGATCCCACGACAAGCCGGCCTTGACGATCCAATCACAAGGCCTATCGTGGAGAAGGGGAACAACCTGGTGATCTGGTATGGTGCAGACCGCAGGATCGTCATGTATCCATGCAACGACAACAAATTGCTCAACTTCAACTGCATACACCCTGAAAGTGAATCCCACGCGAATGCCAGTGACGGTGAGTGTGCATCCACTAATAACATGTAGTCATGGATGCGACTGACAAGACGCAGAATGGAACAAGGAGGCCGATTTCAGCCAATTCCTCAAAGTATTCGAGAACTTCGACCCGGCGCTCCTTGCCCTAACTAAGAAGGTAGACCCGACAAGCATAAAGGTGTGGCAACTGATGGATATGGAGAAGCTGCCTACGTGGACGCAGGGAAAGCTTGCGTTGCTTGGAGATGCTGCTCACCCCTTCACCCCTCGTGAGTGCAACACAGGCGTGCTTTGAGAGATACAGTCGTCCTGACGCGAACAAAACTGTAGACCAGGGCCAAGGTGCTGGCCAGGCCATCGAGGACGCTGCCACCATCTCTGTCGTGCTGCCCAAGGGCACATCACCCGAGGCAGTCTCGGACAGACTGAAGCTGTATGAAAAGATCAGATACGACCGCGCCCACCAGATCCAAGAATACTCTCGCCAGGCCGGCAAGGACTGGATAGATGGGAAGCCGCAGATCGACAGTAAGAGAAGAGCTCTTCCCTCTGTCCGATAATGAATGCTGACAAGGTCATCCAGTGATGGCATATACCGCCTACAACTTCGGCCACGACGAGTTCGACAACTCCGAAAACATCTTCAAGCGTTGGAAGTGGAGCCTGAAGCCCAACATGTACTGGCGGATGCCGACTGCTTTCGGGCCGTTCCCAGGACCAAGACAGGACGCGTACGGCCGCTCGCCCCAGGAGGGTCTCCAGCGAACCTTCAGCACCGTCTCGGTCAAGTTCAAGACGTCGCGGACGTACCTGGAGACACTGTTCCCCAACTCGTCCTTCCGCTTCAAGAGCCCCGCGTCCGTCTGCCAGGCGTCCATCTCGATGACGGAGCTCGACAACATGGCGTGGCTGGGCGGCAACGGCTACCGGCACATCGGGCTGTACATCCACGGGGTCGAGTACGTCAAGAAGGACGGCAGCACGATCGCGGGGACGTACATGCCGGTGCTGTTCGAGTCGCTGACGGACCCGATCGTGTCGGGCCGCGAGGAGCTGGGGATGCCCAAGCTGTTCTGCGACGTCGACGTGCACCGGCGCGGCGGGTCGGTGCGCGTGGCCGCCAGCTGGCGCGGCGCAAAGTTCATCGACCTGGCCGTCACGGACCTGCAGGAGGACGACCCGGCCTCGGAGGCGGGCACCATCGGCGGCGAGGCCGACCACGGCATCCTCGTGTACCGCTACATCCCCGCCGTGGGCAGGCCCGGCGTGGCGGACGCCGAGTACGCGGTCGTGGTGCCGCACGCCGAGGAGGAGCCCAAGGCGACGGTGACGAAGGTCCTGCGGGCGCCACTCGCGGGCCAGGGCAAGAAGGGCGGCGCCAAGATCGAGATCGACGGGCTGGACTGGGAGGCGCTGCCGACGCTTCACCACGTGGCGGGCGCGCTGGCCCAGGTCCCCATCTACGAGATCGTGGGCGCAAAGGTGGTTGAGGGGACTGGCGTGCCGGATGTGAGTGCTGCTGGGAGGATTGAGTGAGTCGACGGCGGCACTTGGGGTCGGTGTAGTGGTCGGGATGAGTACGACTTGTCATGGTATTGCATGGAGTATGTTTGTACTCCAACTGGCATTCGTCTAGGAAGGGGGGGGGGGAGATGTCAGGCCACTTCAGTTGAGCATGAAGATACCAGTACCGGCGAAAAATAAATATTTCGAGTGAAACATCTCTGTATAACAACAATCAATCCTGTTCTTTTTCTCATTGGTTTTCGATTCTTTTCTTTTATTCTCTCCTATATAATTTTGAGGCCATCCTGAAGGACAAGTCTTGATTCCGTGCCCATTTCTCTCACAATGGATACAAAGCTTACCCCACGTGTCAAACCTATGGATTTCAAATGCCAGCCAATGTGCGCAATGATAGTTAGTAGGACATATCGACGGCTTCAAGCCACGGTGATACTGGTCATGACCAACGGCACAGCAGACCGCACCAGAGGCACACAGGAGCCAACGACACCTGCACATACTCTGCGAAGCGACAGCTCGACCCTTGGTGGATCTACTAGTCTCCAAGAATAAAACGGGGCGCTCGATGCCCGAGGAGGAGGAGGAGGAGGAGGATTGTGAGTCCCGGGGCCATCCCTGACCAGGTGTCGGCCCCGCGCTGCCCCCCCCCCCCCAGGCTTCCCCGCCTCCACCTTCCCGACGGCGGCTTCCCGCCCGCTGCTGATCGCCGAAGTGTGTTCAGCGACAGTGATCGGGAAGTTGGGTGGAAAGGGGGGGGGGGCTAGTTCTGTTGCCCGTCCAAGAGAATGGGACCGAAATCGCCCCCTCGGAGACCATGGGCTTTCTATTTTCCAGCCGAAGAAAAGGTCCAGGCTGCTCGTCTCCGAAGCGTCAGGACCGAGCTGGCCGAGAAGTCCGCCTTGACATACCACTCACCCACATAATAAGGCCTGACCTCATGTTATATGGTATTTACCACAGCCCACAGCTACTTACTTGGTAGACACTGCTAGATCTTCAGGAGCCAGATAGAGAAGAACCCCGTCTCGAGGACCCTACTGCGAAACCACCGCCGGCAACTGTAATCAAGACCAAGAGCTACCTGACACCCACGCCGGGCTTCGCACCTACACTGTCATTCAGACCATACCACCGTCCTGCACTTTCTCTCAGGATGGCAGAATCGAGCAACAGGACCTCCAACCTCCGGCAGCCCAGCCGGTTCATCACCGACCACAACGAACAGGGGCTCGCCGTCTTCAACACCTCGATCCCGGAGCCCATCCCGGCCGAGATCATCAACAACGGCGACGCCTTCTACCTGGGCTACACGACCTCGAGCACGCCGGCCGACTTCACCAAGAACGCCGACGTGGACGCCTACGCGAAGCACCTGGCGGCCCCCCCGGGGATCGTGGTCCCCGGCGGCTCCGTGCTCAGGATCGTGGACCTCCGGCCCGGCGGCGAGAGCCCGATGCACCGGACGGTGAGCATCGACTACGGGGTGGTGCTGGAGGGCGAGATCGAGCTGGTGCTGGACTCGGACGAGGTGAGGGTCATGAAGCGCGGGGACGTGAGCATCCAGAGGGGCACCAACCACCTGTGGAGGAACAGGAGCAAGACCGAGTGGGCCAGGATGCTCTACGTCCTCCAGGAGGCGAAGCCCATCCTGATCGGGGGCAAGAAGCTGGGCGAGGACTACGGTAGCGGCATGGCTGGCGTCAAGCCGTCTGGGAACTGAGGCAGATGTCACTGGAGTCGGCTGGGAGAGACGGAGCCAGTTGTTGGGAGGCAGGGGGAGAGGGGCGAAAGGCGGGCGTTACCAGACAGCTAGCTGTACAACTTCAAGGTTGGAATGGAAGAAGGTTGATTCAACAGTTTCGTGTGTGATGTCGCGCGATCTCCCAAGACACTTTTCTGCTGTGTTCGCCGGTGCATGGCCATGTCGACACAAGTCTGAAACTCGGATGAAGTCGAAGCTCGCTGTGACGTTGGACTGATTGAAGGTGACCGGTTAGACCAGAGGCTACTAGGTACCTAGGCACTCTGGCACTTGCGCTACCGTGCGCGGTAGAGGGCTGTCGACTGGCGCGGGCAGCTCCACCTGGTCGCGGGAGCTAGAGATAAGCCCTGGGCAGGTCCGTCGATAAGAACGACGGTGCTTGGCATGGTCTCGTGAGGCAAAGTACTCCGTACAGGTCCACCACCACTTTGCGTCTGAGTGCCCGTGGGCCCCTCCCTGGCAGCACATCATGTCATACTGGCCTTTCTCGCGATAGAAATGATACACCGCAGCCTCGCCTCTCCGGAAGGCTTGTTCGTGTTTCCATGATTCCCCCCAGTCCCCAGGTGGCAACGTCAGGCGGGTGAGCCCCCCTCCCCAACCCCTTGGAAACACTTCGAGGTCATTTCTAATGATGGGTCGTATAGATCTCGACTCCGATGAGCCACACTTCATCCCAGAAGCCATACCTCGCCTACACGACGGCTTCGCCCCTGTGTCACATGCATAGTTCATGCTTGTGATGCCATTTCATCTAGCACAGCTGTCACCCGCCCGCGAGACCGTCCTCAACCGTGACTGCCCTCCCGAGGGTTCAAGAAGCACAAATGTCATCCCCCGACTATTCCTCCGACTCGTCCTCGGGGGCCTCGAGCGACCGCAGCAGTCCAGCTCGGGTATGCCCCCATCGTAATGCCCGGTTCCACGACCAGGAATGCTCCAGATACTTCGACTGTCCGAGCCACCAGTTGGAGAGGGCGACATCGGAGGCCGCAGCGTCCGACGATCAACACGGTGAAGAAGATCAAGAAGATGTGGATGAGGAGAGAGAGAGCTCTTCCAACGAAATATCCCCAATAAGCGAGGACGAGCCTGGCGGTCAAGACACAGACGATGCTCCTGCTGCGGGCGTTGAGTTAGAGGCCGAACCCGAGGCCGACAACTCGGGGCACGATGTGATCGACCTCACCGCCTCATCACCAGAGAACAATCAGCCGAGCTCTCCAGAAATTGTCTCGGGTGTGTCACAGATTTCAGGTGTTGAAAGAGGTGTGACCGAACCATTTGGGCAAGGGAGGAGCCAGCTAGAGACTGAGGTGATTGATCTCACTGGGGACTCATCCGAGGAGCCGGCTCAGCCAGGGCCGTCGAACCCAAACCAGAATGTTGAACGTGCCCTGCCTACACTCCCGCCGTCTGCATCCGGCTCGAGCATCTCGTCTCACCGATCCGCAGGCGCCGGGTCTCCGTCGTTCCAAAGGCGACCAGCCACGCCACCGTCACCTCCGCCTGCCTCCCGAAGGAGAACATCCTCCAACGCTTTTGCCGCCACTAGGGCTAGTCACCAGCAGCAAAGACCACCAGAGTCTAGAAGACCTTCGGACCTAGTCCTGCCACGGTGGCAGCCCGATGCCGAGGTTACCCTTTGCCCCATCTGCCACACCCAATTTAGCATCTTCATTAGGAAACACCATTGCAGGTAGGTCTCCTGCAATATCCTGGACTCACTTCCAACCATACTGACTGCTGCGTGACCAGAAAATGTGGGAGGGTGGTTTGTGCCTCTTGCTCACCGCACCGCATCACTATTCCTTATCAATATATCGTCCACCCTCCTGGGACGCCACGCCCGGGGGCTCAGAGGCACTCATCTTCCTTCCTGAGCGGTGAAGGCGGGTACGCCGATTTTAGTAGCCTCGGCGGTGGTGAAAAGGTCAGGCTTTGCAACCCGTGTGTGCCTGACCCAAACACAAATCCGCCACAGTCTCAAGAGTCGCCGGGCTCCAGAAGGGTCCATAGCAGGTCCCAGAGTGGTGCCTCAGGAACGACGGCACATGGGTCAGGCCTGGCGCCACCAGGTCGTCCCACCTACTTCGCGACCCGAGCTGATGATCCATATGGGAGGAATAGAAGCGTCACCATGGTTCGTGCCATCACCGTATGTGGGGTAATTCATGCTAACTCATCGACTCCAGTTGGCAGACGGCTCTCGACAAGCTTCGGGCAGTCGACCTTACCAATATCAGTCTACTCAGAGTAGGATTCTGAGCGGGACTCCGCCCTCTCACTATCCCTATGCCGTGCCCTCATCAAGCTCTTCGTACCGGACGTTGAGACACCGCTCGATGCTCGATGCTGGACAGTCTTCGTCCTCCATGGCAGCGGCTAGCAGGAGGCCGTTGCCGCCAGACCCGCCACAAGTAGCGGAGGAGGACGAATGTCCAGTCTGCCACCGCGAGCTCCCATCACGCGAGTTGGCGAATTTCGAGGCTCTGAGAGAGGCACACATCAATATTTGCATCTCGTCGCACAGCGCTTACGGGACCCCCAGTGGTGAGGGCTCTAGCATGGCGCCCAGGAGGACAGGCATGTTCCCATATGTCGCTACAGAGAAGGACTGTGTAGACAGTGCGGAGTGCACAATCTGCCTGGAGGAGTTTGAGGTTGGCGACCCCATGGCAAGACTGGAATGCTTCTGCCGGTTTCACAAGGACTGCATATCGCGATGGTTTGCCAAAAACCCGGGCAGGTGTCCGGTACACCAGCACGCTATTCCATGAACAGGTTTGGTCAAGGGAGTTGTTGTCAACCGGGGTTGAAACTTATGCGTTGAAGTTGAAGGGTGAGAGGTGTTGAAAGAGGGCGCAGTGCCCGTGCGGAAGGCTTTCTGGGATTCGCGGAGCTGGTCTATCCTCTCTGCTTGCCCTGTCTAGACTCTGGGTCATTCGGAGCGCTGCATGGCGTTGGGGGCTGGTCTCTGAATTTTCTTTTTGGGACATGTTCATTTTTTGAGGATTCGCACTCTCTTTCCTCCGTGCTTGATTTTCGATTTCCTCACCCAGTCTTCAGCTCAACATGAAGGTTTCCATAAACGGCATGGAATTAGATTTAGGGGAGTTGCGAAAGAACCAGCATCCTTGCTGTTGGAAGGGCTCCTTGGCGGATCACGAGCCCTTTCGTCTTGCATTGACAGGCACCCGAGGGGGAGAGTTGTAGAGGCTTCGCTGTCACGTCTGAGATTCATTACGTACAGGAACTGTTGTCACCTGCCCATTTTTGTAACAGAGACTTGGAGGATTGGCTACCGACAGGCTTCCCCAGTGCATGCCGCCCCGCGGCTACCCACGGCTGTGGAGCAGCGGGCGCCCTGTGCATGGGGTACTTGTACACGAGGGAATCCACCCTTATCGTGCCGGGGCATCCTTATCAGGCCGACTTACACCGGAAAGGCGTGGCTTGCCTTCATTCTTTAATTCCCAAGGCAAGACACATCACAACATAGCACATACACACCAATTCATCTTGGTTATATGTGAATTGGTATTGTGTATCAGCCTCTTCAGCACAACATTGGTCACCTCACCTAGCCCCCATAAATCGCGTCGAATTATGATCAGAGGAACCACCCTCCGGGGACTTCTGACTCCGAGATCGGTTCCTTTTCCAGGCTGTCAGTTCCGTGCCCGTCATGTGTATACCGCACACCGTTTGATGCATGGCTCCTCCAAGAGGCCTCACGAGGTCCTGGGCACCGCTGCCAAGCAGCCAGAGGCTGAGCCGCTTCCTGTCCAGAGACCAAACGACAGGGTGACCGTCAATGATGTCAAGGAGCGAAGGGCCAAGGCTGGCAAGCTGGTGGCCGGCGTCGCGGCATACTGCGACAGTGACATGTTCAAGGCCCCCGTAAGTACTCTCACAACCCTTTATAATACCGCAGTTAACACTAGAGAATGATTCCAGTCAGTGGGGAAGCCAAAGGCCAAAATTTGGGATCGTACGTGTTCACCTACCCCTTCCTTGGAAACGTATATCGTTTGTACTGACCTTGTACAGATCACCTGACAAAAGAATCACTTTCACGCCGGCCCTGCATGCTCAAGCAGGCGGCCAAATTCCTCAAGAAACCTGGGCTGATCTCGCTCGGCGGGGGCCTTCCCAGCCCTGAGCACTTCCCATTTGAGTCTCTGAGCATGAAAGTGCCAACGCCGCCGGGCTTCGATGAAGAAGCCACAAAGGCGTCAGGGGCGACTCTGACCATAGGCAAACACGACGTCAGAGATATCCCGGACTCAGAGTATGACCTCAGCATCGGGCTGAACTACGGCCAGGCAACGGGGTCCGCGCAGATGGTCCGCTGGGTGACGGAGCACACGGAGCTGGTCTTCAACCCGCCCTACGCGGACTGGCGCTCGTGCTTGACCGTGGGTAGTACGGGGGCCCTGGAGCAGTCACTGCGGATGTTCTGTGACAGGGACAGGGGCGACTCAATTATGATGGACGAGTTCGCCTTCTCCACCGCCCTGGAGACGGCTGAGCCGCTGGGCATCAAGGTCGTCGGGGTCGCGATCGACGATGAGGGCATGATCCCGGAGTCGATGGACGAGATGCTGTCGAACTGGGACCCCAAGGAGAGGGGTGGCGTCAGGAAGCCGCATGTCGTGTACACCGTCCCCTCGGGCGGGAACCCTACCGGCGCGACCATGGGGGCGCAGAGGAGGAGGGACATTTACACCGTGTGCCAGAAGCACGACGTCTTCATCCTCGAGGACGAGCCGTACTACTACCTCCAGATGGAGCCCTACAACCGCGGGGGCAAGTCGGCGGCGGCCGCGGCGCCAGAGTCGGTCGAGGGCTTCCTCGACTCGCTGATCCCCTCCCTGCTCAGCATGGACACGGATGGGCGCGTCCTGCGCATGGACTCGTTCTCCAAGGTCGTGATCCCCGGCTCGCGGTTGGGCTGGGTGACCGGTTCCGAGCAGATCATTGAGAGGTATATCCGGCACTCGGAGGTGGCCAGCCAGGGTCCCGCCGGCCTCTCGCAGGTCGTCCTCCACAAGCTGCTGGACGAGCACTGGGGCCACGAGGGGTACTTCCGGTGGCTGATGAATCTGCGGATCGAGTACACCAAGAGGAGGGATGCTCTCCTCAGGGCTTGCGAGGAGCACCTTCCGGCCGGGGTGGTTAGCTTCAGCCCACCGGCTGCCGGCATGTTTGTGAGTCGATGTTTTCCGGACTTGTTTTCCACAAGTATAGTTGCTAACGATTGATTTCCCCCAAAGCAATGGTTCCGCGTCGACTACAAGCTCCATCCGGACGCCGGGAAGCGCAGCATACCCGAGCTAGAGGAGGAGATCTTCAACTCGTGCATCGACAAGGGCGTGCTGGTCGCGAGAGGCAGCTGGTTCACCGCGGAGCATGACAAGCCGCCCAAGGACCTCTTCTTCAGGGCGACATTTGCGAGTGCCTCGCCCGAGAACATGAGGGAGGCCATCCGCAGGTTCGGCGAGGCTGTCAGGACGAGTTATCGGATTTGAAAATCACTCATATCTGTCAGTGACAATCAACAAAGCGAGACGTTCTGTGGTGGGCAAGGACTGAAATGCCGGCGCCCTGAATGCTTCTTGGGAAGGCTGAACCTGAACGGACGGCAGAATTCGCTTGGCATAGCCTGACAATGCCATAGCCTGAATTCAATCTGCCCGTCTTCAATCAATGGGATTCTCAACCAGAGTAACAAGGCTCCGTGAGGATTGAAGGATCATGGCACCCAGGTGTAGCATCTCGGTAGCGCTGAGTACTTGACCAACCAGGGCCCACAAGGGTAGACGTGAAGGCAGAGGAAGGTGAGTGTAACGCTTGTTGATATATCCTTCAACGGTCGATGTTCATTACATGGATGAGCATCTTACACCGCTTCAAGTCATGGTAATGCTTGTTATTCGCCAGGCACCCACCCAAGATCCTGTCAATCATGTGCATCCCAGTGGATGATCCATCACCTCAGACGGGTTGCGTCCCGACAGCCTGAGGTTGGTACTCGGGCCCAGCCTCGTTCGGGTAAGCCTCCGCGGGCCCAGGTTTCTACTCGTGGTGTCTCATTCGCTGTCTCACCTGTTGGAGAACATGTCGGGTCTACCCGCGTCCGCATCCACATCCAACGTTCTGGGTCAGGTTGATAAAGGTAGTACAGTAGACTATACTAATTGGCAGGCCTCGGGCATCGGGGGGTTCCAATGTCCGGCTGACCGCCACGAAACAAGCGGGCGCCGATACGCTGCGTCTCGGTTTTGCCCGTGTTGCTCGTATCGGGTCGCCGTGCACACCTCCATCCCACCCCCTGGCGTTGGCTGGTTGAGAGTCACGGACCCTGTGATGGGCACATCGCTGTCCTTGGCAATGACGGCCTGACGCCCTTCAAGTTTTCCTCCTTCTTGCCACAGCTGCCACAAGGCAACTGCCCCGACCGCCTTTGGACAAGATCCCATGAGTAACAAGCCTGTGATAAGCCATTCCTTCCTCTTCTTGGGCTTATTGCCCATTTCAGATCATAATCCTTGCAGCTGTTGTCCCTTTTCGGCTCCCTCAGTGGGGCCTGCAGGGGCTGCGGCGAACCTCGTTGGTCGACATGCCAGTTGTCAAGATACAACTTCTTCTGGCTTGACTATATCAAATGCTCTCATCGCTTCTCTGTCCATTATTTTTTCAAGGCTATAGTTGTTAGCTTGGGCATTCTTTAACTCCTCTCATGTGGCCAGCGCCTCGCACTGGGTCTGCTGGACTGACTTAGACGAAGCACACGCAACCCCTTGGACCAACAAGATCACCCACCAGAAGACTACCCCATAGGAATATTATCCCACGGAATAGTGGTCCACAGGATTTCGAGTTGACACGACCACACTTGTACGGTGCTCACGGAGCATCGAGCGGCAAGCGGTCTCGAGGCAGAAGACATGGCCGCCAAGGACGATGTCGATGTGTCAGTCGACAACAAGCCCGGCCAGCAGCAACCTTCCGAAGATGGAACCCCTAAGCAGGCGGCCCAGAACGAGAGGCAAGCAGTATGGGGTGACTACTTCCGCGTCTTCACATACGCGAAGAAGTGGGACTTTGTCCTGATGTTTGGCGCTGCGGTGGCTTCGTTGGCGGCTGGTGTTGTAAGTCCAACAGGTCCAACGGCCACAAAGACTCCTTACTCTCAAACTGATTTCAACGGCAGACCACGCCTCTCATGAACGTAATATTCGGCCGCCTGGTTGGTAACTTCACCTCGTTTGGCACACCGGGATCAAGCACCACTCGGGTGAGTCTCTCAGCCTTGCAAGCCGTCCCCCATATTTCGTGGGCCTAATGGCATCGTATCAAGGCCAACTTCGAGCGGACACTCAACTTCCAATGTCTTCTGATGTTTGTTCTGTTCATCGTGCGCTTCACCTGCAACTATGTGTCCAAGTTCTGTTTCCGCCTAATCGGGATTCGGCTCTCTGCGGCCATCCGCCTCCACTACCTTTCCCGTCTGCTGTCTCAGACTGTCCACGTCCTCGACTCGATGCCACCCGGCGCTGCTGGGGACCATAACTAGCGAGGCCAATGTCCTGCAGATCGGGATATCGGAGAAGCTGGGTACATTCCTGGAATTTGCGGCTTGCATTGGTAGGTAAACCCAGGCAGCGGGCTCTCGTTCCTTTTGCGCGCGTTTGCGTTCCAGAGCAGGCTCGACCTGCTTCCTGACCGCTCGGGTATCTCATCTGGACAACTTCTAACCCAGATTGTCGTCGAATAGTTGCTGCGATTGTGGTAGCCTTCACCTACTCATGGCAGGTTACGCTTGTGACGTCCAGTGTGGTCCTCTTTATCGGCCTGTGTGTTGGGATTCTCCTGCCATTCATAATCAAGGGGACCAGCCGCTCGACTGTAGCCGAGACAAAAGCCGGAGCCGTCGCGACTGAGGCATTCTCGGGCATAAGAATGGTCTATGCCTGCGGCGCTCAAAAGAAGATGGGAGACACATACAGCTCCTGGGTCGTCGAGGCCAAGAAGCATGGCATGTATACGTCACCCTTCGTGGGCCTGAACTTCGCGTTGGTGTTCTTCGGGCTCTATAGCGCGTTTGCTCTGTGTAAGTGTACACCCGTCTCACGCCCTCACCACGTTCCGAGGTCACTAACACAACGATGGTAGGCTTTTGGTACGGGACTAGGGCTTTCACGCAAGGCATCGTAGACGGTATAGGCTCCATCGTGATCGTCTTATTCTCCGTCTTCCTCATGGCGATCTCGCTTGAGAGAATGTCGGGTCCGTTGATTGCAGCAAGCAAGGCTACCGTAGCAGCCGCAAGCTTCTTCGCCGTCATCGACGCACCGCAGCCGGACAAGGGCACCTTGAAGGAACCGGATGTGACTGCCGATGGGGACATTGTCTTCGAAGAAGTTACGTTTGCCTATCCCGGTAGGCCGAACACCAAGGTCCTGGATAACCTCAACCTCACCATCGAGGCCGGAAAAGTGACGGCGATTGTCGGGCCTTCGGGAAGCGGGAAAAGTACAGTCGTTGCTTTGGTGGAGCGTTGGTACACTTTGCATTCACAGGCAGCTATCAGCAAGGCAATCGAGAAAAAGGTCGAGAAGGAAGAACCAAAAGTGTCGGACAAGAAGCCAAAAGACAAGAAACTCTTCTGGTCTCGGTCAAAAACAAAAGGCGAGCAAGCTAAAGCTGGGGATCGGCAAGAACAGGACGCCGTCACAGACACAGCCGTGACGCCTCTCCCGGACGAGCAGGATTCTGGCGAGCCGGTACCTCTAAGCGGAAGAGTCGTTACCGCAGGACACAATCTAGACGACATCGATGTCAAGTGGTGGCGGTCGCAGATTGGTCTGGTCCAGCAGGAGCCCTTTCTCTTCAACGACACCATCTACGCCAACGTGATGCACGGACTAGTCGGGACAAAATGGGAGAACGAACCCTTGGAGGCCAAGCAGGAGCTCGTCAGAGACGCATGCAAGGAGGCCTTTGCAGACGAGTTCATCGACAGACTGCCCGATGGCTATGAGACCCAAGTAGGCGACGCCGGGCTGAAGCTTTCTGGTGGGCAACGACAACGGCTTGCAATCGCACGCAGCATCGTGAAGAAGCCCAAGATTCTCGTCCTGGATGAGGCAACGTCGGCTATCGACGTCCGCAGCGAGAAGATCATTCAGGCCGCCCTCGACAGGGTGTCCAAGGGCCGCACTACCATCACGATAGCCCACAGGCTCTCCACCATCTCGAAGGCCGACAAGATTGTCGTGCTACAAAAGGGGAAGCTCATGGAACAGGGCACGCACGAGAGCCTTTTGAGTAACGAGGCGGGCGTCTACTCCGGGCTTGTCCGAGCACAGAGACTGACCCTAGGCAGGGAGGAAGACGAAGAAGACAGTGACGCCCTGGAGGATAAAGAGGCAGAAGAGATCCAGGCCATCCTGAGCCGGGAGAAATCGGCCTCCAAGGCCCTCGCCAGCGGAGGCGAGACAGAGCTCGAGACCGCGTGGGTAAATCGTGGCCTCGCGGGTAGCTTTGGCCGGCTCCTTTACGAACAGCGCAGCCGCTTCCCATTCTATGTGCTCATACTCCTAGCAGCGTCTGGGATTGCTTCTGGAACACCTCTTCAGGCGTGGTGAGACCCCCTAGATGCCGCTCTTCCCACAAGGACAGGCTAACTTTTGTCTCAAAGGCTTTTTGGCCAAGTGTTGCAGATCTTCACGTTCATCCTCTCGCCATCCCGGTTTCTTCGCGAAGCCGAGTTCTGGTCACTAATGTGGTTTGTTGTGGCCATCGGACTGGGCTTCTGCTATCTCGTGCTGGGCATCGTCGCCGTGAACCTGCAGCACTTTATCTGTGCCGCATACCGCCAGCAGTACTTCTCGGCAATGATCCGGCAGAAGATGCTTTTCTTCGACGACGAGAACCACTCCGTGGGCACGCTCGCCTCGAGGGTCCAGGGCGACCCGAAACAGCTCGAGGAGTTACTCGGTATGAACATGGGGATGGTGGTCAGCTCTGTCCTCCAGCTTTGCGGCTCTTTGACCATCGCGTTCGTCTTTGGGTGGAAACTGGCTCTTGTGGCGACATGCGTGACGGTTCCGATCGGCCTGGTTTGCGCCTGGTATCGATTCAAGTATGAGATGGAATTCGAGAAGCTGTCGGCTGAAGTAAGTTGTTCTTCCCACTCATGTCTCCCCGTCAATTTCCTGCCGTGAACCTGCTCCAAGGCAGTCATGATATAGGGGCCTATTGATACTTTTCCGTTCGCTCAAGCATGGCCAAGACTCCTACGGACAACATCTCACTTTCCTTGTGCTGGCGCCAGACTGGGAAGCCTTGATCCTCTCCATCACTTGCCATATTCATGCTGTCCCGGGGAAAATACTGACGTCTATCAGGTCTTCTCGGAGTCAAGCAAGTGGGCAGCTGAAGCCATCGGCGCCTTTCGATGTGTTTCTTCCCTAACGCTGGAGGATGTAATCATCGAGAGGTACAAGCAGCTGCTCGATGGCCACGTAGTGTCGGCCTACCGCAAAGCTCGCTGGACGACGCTCATATTCGCCCTCTCCGACTCGCTCGCCCTCGCCTGCCAGGCTTTGATCTTCTGGTATGGCGGGCGACTGCTGGCCAGCGGTGAATACCAGGTCCTGAACTTCTTCGTATGCTTCATGGCTGTCACGCAAGGAGCTGAACAAGCTGGCGTGGGGTTCTCCTTCGGTCCCAATGCCGCCCAGGCGAACGCAGCGGCAAACCGCATATTGAGTATCAGGGAGAGCCGGGGTGAGCGAGCAAGTCTGAGAGATGATGCCGCTGGCGGTAACAAGAAGACCGAAACGATTCCGGACAGTGAGAACGGCATCAAGATCGAGCTGAAGGATGTCGGCTTCCGGTACCCAACCCGCCAGGTCCAAGTCTTCAAGCACCTCAACATCACGGTCGAGAAGGGCCAATTCGCAGCCCTTGTGGGCGCATCGGGGGCTGGAAAGTCGAGCACGGTGGCTCTTCTCGAACGGTTCTACGATGCCCAACAGGGGAGTATAATGTGCAACGGGAGGGACATCACATCAGTAGATGTGCACGAGTACAGGAAAATGTTCTCCCTCGTAGCCCAAGAGGCGTCGCTTTTCCAAGGTATCTTTCCCTTCCTTTGGCGCCTTTCGCTCTGATGGCTTCAATTCATGATACTGATATTTAATTTGTCCAGGCACCATCAGAGAAAACATTCTCCTCGGAATACCCGATTCTTCGACAGTGACTGACACTCAACTTCGCCAAGCGTGCCAAGACGCTGCAATTCACGACTTCATTATATCATTACCTGAGGGCTGTATGTACAAGCGTCCTGCTTTTACAACTTGTTCTTTATTCGCGAGGTGCATACTTATCATGATTCGCTAATACTTCGCAGACAATACAGACGTTGGCTCCCGCGGCGTTGCGCTGTCCGGCGGACAGAAACAACGCGTGAGTATCGCGGTAAGTGATTTGGTTGCAGGACTAAAGTTGGCAATTAGCTCCCGAGTACTGATGTCGTTGACAGAGAGCCATAATCCGTGACCCGAAGGTGCTGCTACTTGACGAGGCGACGTCATCATTGGACTCGGAGAGCGAGAGGCAGATATCCGCTGCGCTCCAGAAGGTAGCCAAAGGGCGAACAACGGTCGCAGTGGCACATCGACTGTCGACTATTCAGCACGCAGACGTGATCTATGTCCTGGGCGAAGGGAAGGTATTGGAGGTCGGCACCCATGCTGACTTGTTGAAGCAGAAGGGCGTGTACTATACGATGGTATGTGTTTACGGCTGCCCTTGAGACTCTGGGCTTTTGCTAACAGTACCCCGTGTTCTAGTGTCAAAGTCAAGCTCTCGATCGATGAGGGATGTATACATTAGAATTTGGGCCGGCCCAGGTGTGTCAAAATACGAAACACTTGTGAGTGGGTGGCGTTAAAAAGGCTCGGCTATCTCTGCTCTCAAGGGCAACTCCAATCTCAATACCCAAGCTCTTCACATATGAAGAGAATGCATGCATTTGCTACAATTTTGCGAGTGCTGTATTTTTCTCCGGATGAAATGTCTCCTTAATCTTCTGCCGACGACAAGGATGGACCGTGATCCGTGGACGAACCCTGGCTGGCTACAACACCTTGGCCCCCCTTTTGTTTTCCTTCTCCCAACACCTGCATGTCTTGCTGTGGGGGTACCCAGGGATCGCCACCAGGACACCAAAGGCCGCCAGGACGTATGATCCTATGGTAAAGCCGCTCCCAGGATCGTCATGCGCAATGGACCACCATAAAGCCAGAGACAGGCTGGTTGCAATGCCGACAATCGAGGTCCCTATCAAGGCGTGACACACCGTTACTCGATAGAAACATTCCGCGTATGAGCAACAACTCGCGGGATAAGGCCCTCTGTATCTCGGGCACAGCTGAGTATTGAAGTTGTCAGACCACGCTGGTCATCAAAAAGTTGATGCGCGTCCACGTCCGGCTCTACTGTGCGATCGAAAGTGTCCGGGCCAGGCCAGTTTGGTCCACCGAGGGTCTGGTGTACGTCGCCTTGGTCTCTCACATGACTAGAGCCATAACCTAGAGCTCGAACGAAAACTCATGATACCGATTTCTTTCTGGTCGGGTTTGTCTCCCGGACGGGGAGACGGCTCACGCAGCGCACCAGTATCCCTGCGCCTTGCCCTCCATGCACGATAATCGCGCCGCAGGACCGCGAGCTCGTTTTGAGGAGAACCTTGTTTCTCTAGTAAATTTGCATATTGCTGAAATGTCGTGAAGGAGTCTTGGCCTGCGTCTGCTGGCAAACGAGGCAAATTTACTCGGCCAGCTTCAGCAGCAGGTCATCGGACAGAAGTCGTCTTGATCAGGCTGGGCCGTCGGTCACAAGAGCCGTGCTCGGTTGCAAATGGAACTTTCCTACTACTTGTAACACGGATACATCGCGGCTGGGTGCATGCCTTCAAAATAGTACACATCACAAGAACGGTATCTCTACCCTTCTAGCGCAGCTACCTTGCCATTTCACAAGAATATCAAGTTTCACCAAGGACACATCCATCACTGAAACATACGCATCCTGTACAGATTGAATTTGATGATATATCATCCACATTTTTAGCCCTGGAAGCTAAGTCATTCTTCGTGCTGTCCTTGCACTGTCAGAAAGTACCGTAGCGGGAGCTCAATGGCCGCAACGTCCGAGTAGAAAAAGTGTGACTATGGTATGACAAGATTCAGCTAGACCACTCGTCGCGTCGGGTAGGCGCAGCCAGGACAAACGAGGTGGCTGTGGTGGTGTGGCAGAGTCGCCGCGTTCCCACCGCGCTACCTGTCATGATAAAAACGGACGAGGCGTATACAAGTAACTCAGTTGTTGTATGTTGCAGACCTAGTTTTCTGATTTGTAACACACGCACGCTCACAATTTCTGCCATATGATTCATCATTGTGGCAATTGTGAGCACCTAGGCGTGTTCGAATCGAATGTGTGTCTACCATCTCTTGCCCACCTAGACTGACTGGGGGCTCTTGCTTCCACAAGAAGGCCTGTTGAAGGAAATATCTATTTCTTATTAGTTTATCGGCCCAAAATCTTAATACCTGTATGGACAGCCCTTTGATGAATATTCACTCTCGATGATCGCCTCACGCCTTCACCCAAGAAGCAGCAACGCCCTCATCCCAACCCCAGAACCCCCAGATCCTCTCCAGCGTTTGGTCCGGATGGGCCATGGGGAAATCATGGCCACCAGGTACAGGCCTGGCCCAGAAGACATTCTCATCGCCTCCAACCAGCGGCAGAACATCCTGGCGGTAGTCCTCATCATTGACGATCTCATCTCCAATCCCAAAAATGAAACATGTCGTCTTGGGCTCTCTGCTCGCGATCTTGCTCCACGCCTCGTGCTGATTGATCATCGGCGCATACCTCAGCGTGCTCATGAAAGCTGGGACGAAGCCTGCGTGGTTCCTCACCTGCCAGTTGACGTGTTTCAGCACCTGGCGCTGCAGCGGCCCCGGCGCCTCGGGGACGGCAGAATCGGCAATCTCGCTCGTCACGGTCGTCTCGACAACCTGATCTCCCGGTAGATGCGACTCGGGGGTCGACGCCCCGCTCGGGCTGCCCTTTGACTTCCTCTTTGCGCTCTCGGCGATGGGTTTCTTAAGCCTCCACCTCGTCATGATCTCCACGAGACCCTCGGGCACCCACCCGCTCCGGAATATGAACTTCACGACGGCGCCGAAGTTCTCCTCGCGGATCATCCCGGCCGGAGCGAGGAGGATCAGGGTCTTGACCATGCGAGGGAAGGCCGCTGCCAGGTGGATGGCGATGCCTCCTCCCAGGGAATAGCCCACGAGGTGGAAGCCCTCGTCCTCGCCTTGGCCCGTCCACGCGAGTTCGCTCGACGCGAGAACGCACAGGGCCTGGCTGACGTATAGCCGCTCGTCGTGGGGCAAGTCGCCTACGCCATCTGAGTACCCGCGACCGAACAGGTCGAACAGCAGAACCCTGCACCCGCGCTCAACCAGCCCGTGAGCGACGTGCGTAAGTGTCACTGAGGGGTCAGAGGTCAGCTGTCAGAAACGACCGTTGAGGCAGACTTGTCATAAAATCGGAGTGGAGCGCGCACAGTCCGTTTGCCAGCCGGTGGCCTGTCTTACGGGTTACAGACGGGACAGAGCCCGCTGCTCCCAGTGAGATAGCTCACGGATACGACAGAGGCCTGTCCCGAGTAAGGGATGCCGAAAACTGCTTACTACATGAAGTTGAAATCCCATGGACCAGGAGAACCTTCCTCCCCGACGCGGGGCCAAATTCATCTAAGAAGGTCAGTGTCTCATCATAATTGCCGAAGGGGCCGGGTACAAAAAGGATCTCAGGGAGGAGAGGAGCGTTGTACGTACAACACCTGACAGAACCATACGGGGTCGGTACGTCGCGCGCCCCGGGGAAATAGTCCGGCGGGTAGAGCAGCTGTGAGCTCTCCTCGGGCGACAGGCGTGATATGTGAGTGCTGAGCGGGCTCGGGAGCACGGCGGGCCGCCGGGGATGGATGATGCGGTTCAGGACGGCGTATAGGGACGCTGTTGTGACGGCCGCTGTGACAACTAGCACGCTCGTATTGGGGGGCGAGAGGACCACTTGGACGGCCCTTTGTGTCAAGTCCATCTTGGGAGCTTGGGTATGGTGGTGCGTCTCATGGGTTGTGTGCAGTCCGTATTGTGGGTGGTTATGCACAGAGAAACGGTCGTGGGCGGATAGGCCGGTGGTTCGCCCTTGCCTCGGGCTGAGCTTGGCCAACTCTGTTTACACTTGGAACGAACAAGATGGCATCCAGCGGGAGAGAAGGGCTTTGCACCAGAATTCAGAATTTAATCGAGTTTATTTCATGCGAACATCACGACGGCTAAGACTGCAAGTCCACGTAAGATTGGGAACGGCAGTGGCGGTGGCGGTGCCGTTGTTGGGATCTGAGTTCGCAGCAGCCGAGGTCAGGGGGGACACGTGGGCTCCAATAGCGCACTCCTCCAGGCCATGTGGCCGCGTCTTGTCACCTGCGCCCCTGGATCCCACCGCCTGAGCAACACACCTTCCCACTGAAAGTACCCACATGCAGGTGCCTGACCGGAAAGTGCTGAGGATGGGATTTTGTATCAAGATGAAATCACCCAGGTCAACCTCGCCCAGTACCTTGCAATTCGAAAACGGCCGGACAAGACAACCCGTGTTGTCATTAGCATATTACTGCGACACGATACCAAAATCTATATACAGGAAGGTGTAATCTCCACGAGCGTGTCGTTCATCCTGCAAGGATCTCATCGTTGAGTCCTTTGTGCCAGTGCCCTGAAGAGGCTGAGAGCAAGGCGAGCGAGGACATCGACCAAAACCTCCAGCATCCCAAGTGCGATGCCCTCTACTGAATGCTCTTCTTCCCCCGAAGGCTCCTCATCCTAGGCGGCTGGGTATTCACAGCCCGTTGCGTTCGGGTACTGAAGGCACCACTCCATCTGGATCGGGCTCGCCCTGATGCCCCTGCTCACCAAACGCTGCCTCTGCGCGTTCAGTCTGGGGGCCGCCGTGACCTGCGACCGGTTCTGGCCTTCCGCGTCGGTTCGTCCCGACCAGAGGACCTCCCCGGCGGCGCCGGCCCTGGGCCATACGAGGCTGTCGAGGTTGTTGCTGTCGATGGTCTCGGACCAGACGGCGACCTCACCGCCAAGGACGAGCTCCGCCTCTGTGCCGTTGAGACCCTCGGCTGGGTCGTGCGAGTAGACAAGCTCCCAGCTCTTCGTTGGGCCGCACCAGTCATTAAATGGCGTAAACTGGGACCATATCTCATTGCCGAAAGTGAGCCACTGGCCGCGACCACAGTCAAGGTACTGCACGCTCCATGTTAGTGTCTTGATTTCGTTCGCTGCTAGTGGTGGACGTGGTTACTCACCCAGAAGTTGTAATTGCTGTCGATAACCTTGTGGCCTTTGGCAGCGATCTCGGCAACAGCGCTACCGCCCAGCCACGACTGCACTACCACGTCCGATCCGAGGGTGACGTTCCACTCAGTCACAAGCTCCTCCCAGACCGTGGGAGTCAGGCCCGCATTGCGCACGCGAGTGTGCTGGTTGTCAACAAAGGTCTGCAGCAGGGGCTGGAGCACCGCGCTGTCGTTGGTGTTCAGGCCAGGGTCGAATCTCGAGTCATTCGCATTCAGCTCATCTCCGCCGGTGCCCCAGTACTTGGAGTAAGGGGCCACACGCGGAAGGATGTCGTCAAACAGGTTGCCAAGGAAAGTTTCCACGTTGGAGTCGTTCAGTCGGAAGGCGCCACAGGGAGGCTGCGCGCAGTAGAAGAAGTAGGGCCTCGCATCGTAGGCCACGACGAGGTCCGGGAAAGCCTCGCCCACAACACTAATGTGACCAGGCATGTCGATCTCGAGATAGACCTCCACCCCGCGGGCAAGACCATACTCCTGGATAGACTTGATGTCATCAGGGGAGTATACCGAGGACTGGCTGTAAGCACCCTTGGCGGCCAGCTCGGGAATGCTTGGGATCTCGAGGGGCCAGGCCTGTGAGTCAGTGACGTGCACGTGGAGCTTGTTCAGCTTGTTGTACGACAGGCCGTCAATGGTGCGCTTGATGTCGTCCACAGGGAAGAAGTGCCTGGCCGTGTCCAGCATAAGTCCACGGTGCCCATAGACAGGCGAATCCTCAATCTCGATTGGGGCGTTGACCAGATACCAAGCATCTCCGGCGGAGTGCTCGTAAAAGAGCTGGGAGAAGGTCTCCAGGCCGTGCAGGATGCCGAAGGCTGACTTGGAGGAGAGCTTTGCAGCGCCATCCTCACCGATGCTCAAGCTGTACGCCTCGTCGACGTCTGTCGTTATGGGATCAAAAGTGGTGTTACTGCCGGTCAGAGTGATTTCCAGACTAGAAACGGTGGCGGCGGAGGCGTTGGCCGCCGGCTCATAGCTCGAGAGCGAGTTCCGTGGAACAAGCATCCATGGCACAAAGTTTTGGTTAAAAATGTTGTCCAGGGCCCTGCTGACGCCAGCGGCTGTGATGTCGGAGGCGGTCAGGTCGGCCGGCTCAAAGATGTCTTGTTGGGTCAGCTGTGTTTGGAAAGCATTCTTAGTATACAAATCATCTTCGAGGGACAAGGAGCTCTCGCGAGTAGACCACCGTACAGATGCGCCGTTATAAGTGACTTTGATGTCCTGGTTGATGAACAGGGGCGTGGTGCCAGAGGTGAAGGTGGGCTGAGGCACAGGCCACAGCCCTCCCAATCCTTGGGCTGTGACAAGGTCGACAGCCACCAGCAAAGGCAGGAGCAGTCGCGAAGCCATCTTGAAGATGAGCCTGCAGTGGATCACCCTGCGAGACTGCGAGACTGCGAGACGAAAGAGGTATGTGTGGATGTGGCGCGACAGAGATCGAGAGAGCCGAGTGAGCGGGCTTATACGTTGTGGTGAGGAAGCTCTCGACCAGGACAATACACCGGTGGTTGGAAGGCAACCAGTTATGTAGTTGGTTGTCGGGCGGTGAGTGGGTGGAGTGAATGACTGGGCAAAAAAAAAAAAAAAAAAAAAAAGCAAAAGCCTCAGTGAAGAGGGAGGTAGATGATGAGCGCGTGACGAGGCGAGGGAGTGAATCGTAGTTATTTATTTATTAGACTTTTGGTTTGTAATTGGCAAGCCCACGCAAATGCAAGGCTTGGGGGCGTCGTACAAGATCCTGGAAAAGGCGGGAGCGTCAAGTGCAGTAGTGCCGATCAACGTTGGTTCGCCCAGGGAGTCCTGGGCCTATCGAGAGGGGACCTTGCCGGCAGGTGGGTCTTTCCAAAGATAGGCACCCTTGAGGCTCAGGCAGCCAGGCAGTCTGCTGAGCGTTGATGGCTCAGACCAGGAGAGCAAACCAACGCGGTGGGGTATGATGGTGGCGGGGCGTCCTCTGGGCACGCGTGCGCGAGACACGTCCTGGGGATCGTGAGGTGCAGACGTCGTGAGAGACAAGCGCAATGTTACGTTGCGTTTAGCATGCAGAGATGGCAGACTATAGTCTAGAGCACTGCAGAAGTGCCGGCCAAGACTGTGGCTTGCCGGCGGCGAGCAAGGTGTGGGGTGGGTGTGGACGAGAGCAAGCCTCAGGCTAATACCGTAGTAGACCAAAGGCTTAAGAAGGCCAGCTGAGGGGAGTATGATGCCTGTGTGCCTGCACATCTGCGTTTATGTCTGCGTCTGCAAGCCACTGACCGGTAGGGGTGTCGGGAGTCGGGCACGGGGGCATGAAAGGAAGCATGCCGCTCGGATTGAATGAATGAACGGGGCAAACGGGATGCAGGTAGGATTGAAAAAGGAGTCAAAGAACCAGAAACCACCCTCCCGACCCAGCCAGTCATTCTGCCCGCGTTCGGACCAGAATGCGGACTGCGACCCACCGGCGATGATCTCAACCTTAATTTTTGGGAAAGGATCATGGCATGGGCATGGGGGCTGGCTTGCGTGGGACGGACCAGGCGGATGGGAAATGGGATGGGCTGGGATGAGTTGGGGGTGGCACAGAGCGGGGATCTTGCCGAGCGTCATGCGCGAACCCTCAGCTGCTCTGCTCTGCCCTGCCAGTCCTGCTCGACTCTGATAATGCGAGCCTGCCTACCTTCTCCTGGGGAGTTGAAACAAATAAATGTTCAGCTGAAAGCACACAGAGCAACTGCGGCGGCCAACGACCACTCACCATTCACGGTCAGGTCAAGCCTCAGACAGGACTGGGGTACCCAGCCTTCAGGGTCATACCACCAGGAACCAGCCCGCTAGGCCGTTTATAGTGTGTGTAATTGTGTAACGTCTGACGAGACGGGCAGACAAGCAACCCAAACTTTCGGTTGTTGTAACTGCTGATGCATACTCCCTAGCAAGTGATATCATGAAATGAAGACTTGAGAATAAACTCACTTGCACTTTCCATTTTTCTTTTTCTAAGAGGGGAAGGGGGCAGAGGGGGTGTAATTAGTCAGAGTAGCAGACCAAACCTGTTGTTGTGGCGCCCACCTTCGCATCTTGGGGCAACAGTTCCTGATGGTCGCCTTCAACTCAGCACCTCGAACCTCCGTTCGCACAAGAGGAAGGCAGCCCGTTCCAGACGACATGGTTCTAGCCGCCGACGCCCTCGACTCCGGCCATCTGAACGCATTCGCAAGATTTTTGAACAATATCATCTCGGCGGAGCCCGCGCAGTTTACATTGCGCAGATCCTCGACCGCATGCCCACGACAGAAGTAGCCAAGGATGCTCTTGGTAGCTTTTTCACGTCGCAAACAGGACATCCCGTGTTGTCGCATGGGACGCTCTGTCCTGATGTGATGGAAAGGATCTGCCAATATCTTCGGGAACTCAAGCCCAATTCTATGGTGTTGGAGGAATCAGTGACCTTTGGAGATTATTGGAAACGTCAACATGCAGATCCCCATCAACGTCACCCCCTCTCAAGATCCTTCAGTCATTCCAAGGCAGTCAGCCAGTCAGTCGGGCACGCGAGAATTCTTCCTCAGACTCGGTGAAGATTGTAGCCGTCGCTTGCCATGGCATTGCTATGGGACTTTGCAGGCTAGAAGAACGATGGCACTGGCATGGCGATCAGGAAAATTTGAAGCGCTGGGTGGAAGACGGCGAAGGGAGTTGTGCTCTACACACAGTATTCTCGCATCCCTCGTTCAGATGTCACGAGGAATAACCCAATGAACTCGGTGATGTGGCCAGTTACTTGGGCGAGGGCCGTATATTCAGCAGCGGCATCGTGTTTGCAAGAGGATCCTCCGCCGTTGAAGTTCAGTCGGCACTTGTGCCCCAGGATCTGGACAAGTATCCTGACCTCCCTCTTTCGCCAGGTAAGGGGCTACCGCGCGAGGGTGATATCTTGCTTCACCCTTTGCGGTCTGAAGATACATACTACGTCTACCGACTCCATGATTCTCAGCAAGCCCAGCTGTTCAAGTTTCCCGGCAGGGAGGAGGTCTCTCCGCCAGCCGAACCACCATTCCCTTTCCAGAGCAGCCGTGAGAGCCCAATGTGTGACTGCTACGATCCCAATGACAGTGACAGGAATTCCTATATATGTTGAGATGGCTGGGAGCGGAAAGGAGGATGTGGTTGTCCTGATCGATGAGTTGTGCACCAAGTGGATAACCCATGGTTTGTGGGCTCTGCCCGGACAATGATGAATAACCATACCAATGACACAGAGTAATTAGGCCTCACTCAATGTTGAGGAAAGAGCATTTGTATCAGTTTTGTTTTGTTTAATGACCACGCGTGAGGGTATGGAAGGCCATTGTGGTGATGGAGGCAATCAATTTGTCTATATGCCTACAAACAAATGTCCCGAGGTCAGTTCATACATTCCGCACATGAGTTCTAGATGTTCACACCTTGCGTGAGCAAATGAATTTAGATATCGTTGAGCGGTCAGAGATTCCTTAAGGTGAATGTTCTGATTCGGGTGTTATTTGTGGTCTTGAATGTTGGTTGTTGGACTTTGGTAGTCAATTTCTAGCCTCGGATTGAATCTGTTTTGAGTTTTCTCACATCCTTCCCTTGTCTTCCTTCATCCTAAGCAAGTTACTGCAGTAGATAGACGGGCTGTAGAAAATGATGGCCTTGTATAGTGTAAATTGCTTAAGCTTATACTATGACATTCATGACACTACAGTGCTATTCGTCTAGAATAGTCTGTGAACGGAAAAAATGACACTGCCAGACCGAACTCGAAGCTCGAAAGCTGATTGGTTTAAATCCTGCTCGTTCATTGATCAAGACGAATAGCTCTCAGTGGGCCCCGGCAGGGGCTCGATACTGGTATCTATCAACGAGGCAGGTCTGTGACTGAGTGGCAATATTGACCTACCTGTGTAGCTAGTCTACGTGCATTGAGCTGCAAGTTAGGTAAACTTATGAAATACAATCCGGGGTCTAGTCCATGTCTTTTCCAGCTGTTGGCAGCAGGGTCGAGAGTCCGTCCATACCAGGGCCCATTACTAATCATCCGTGCCAAGCTCGAGCACCCACCACCGATCCGGAGCTGCCAGTCAGCGCCACATCCCAGGAGGTAAGGCTGGCCGTGGCCGGCATTTCGTCAGTCAGTCAGTCAGACTTAGCGTGCCGGCTGGCTGGCTGACACTGCCTTGTATGCAAACTTCACCTGTCGAATGCAAAACACCTGTGCATCACAACCTCCACATCAACTCCCCTGCTGCCAACCCAGCAACCCACGCGACTCACCACCAAAGTTTCTTTCTGTTCAAGGCTTGGACTTGGTGATTTGGATTTGGCACCGGCTTTCAAAGGACTTTGAGAGAGAGAGAGAGAGAGCAGGCCAACAGCCTAACACGCTACCACTAGCACATCCTGCCTCTCACCTGTCCACTCCCCAGTCCATTGTTGTCAAGGTCGTGCCGCAAGCCCCCTTGCCATCGCCTACGAGCGCCTTCTTCCACCGTCGGGCCCGCCTTTGTCGCGGCTGGTTTCCAATCGTTTCCTGACCATCGCCACACACCTTACTTCCCGCCTCCGCCATCTATCGCCTTGCCTCGCCTCGCCTTCACCTCGATCACCTCCTCGAGACCACCGACAATGCCTGTCTCAGTCCAGCTGAACACCCCTCTGGCAGATGCCCTCAACTCTGCCATCCAGCCGAAGCTGGAGCAGTACGGCTGGGCCACCGGGGGCGCCGACGATGCCGCCCTCACTGAATACATCATCCTCATGCTTGTGAACGGAAAGACACAAGAAGAGGTCACGCGAGAGCTATCAACAGACCTCCTTGGCCTCGACCCCAACGACCCTGGCCTTCTCGAGTTCTCAAACTGGCTCTTCGCCACTATCGACGCACTCTCTGCACAGTTCGGCTCAAGCGATGCGCAAGTCGAGGCCACGACAGGAGCCGTCCCAGCGGCGTCGAGCGCCCCTGACGAAGACCAAGACATGGACATGAGCACAAACGACGGTATCGCAGAATTCAACGCGTATGTCATTACCACTTTTTCTGGGAAACAGCTGGCACCATACTGACTTCTACCAGACCTACAGGTCCGAAGGCTATGCGTAACGGCGCCGACAGAGGTCGCGGAAAGCGGCTCGTGGGACAACTGAACCGTGCAATGGACAGGACGCATGAGAACGTCCTCCACCGCGTGCGCGGCGCCACCGGGAACGAGAGGATCAACTCACATACTCGCACACCCCCGACTGGCCCCCGCATGGGTACCGGAAGGCAGCCTCGAGGGCCGAATCAACGCGCAGCCAACATTGCCCACGGCCTCGCAAACATGAACAACATGCCTCCCGGCCCAGCCGGCATGAACGGCGGAGCTATGGGCCCCATGAATGGCTGGGGGATGATGCAAGGCCAGCCCCCACAGTCGGATCTGTTGCAAATGATGGAAGTACAGCAGCAGATGCTGAACCAGATGCAGCAACAGTTGATGATGCAGCATGGTGGCGCGGCGAACGGTCAGGGACGTGGAAAGTCGTTGTTTGAGCGCGCGCAACACCCCAACCAACGAGGTAACTTCCGAGGCCGCGGTGGCCACCACCAGAATGGTCGCAACAACGCACACCAGTCAGAGACGCCCAAGGCTGAGTCGGCTGAGCAAGGTGAGGGCGATCAGGACATGTCCGGTGTCAGGCGTGAGGCAGCGAACCCAGAGGACACGGTCTGCCGCTTCAATTTGAGTTGCAACAACAAGGACTGCAAGTTTGCCCATCAATCACCGGCCGCGCCGCCAGGAGCAACCATCGACGTTCAAGATGTTTGCAGTTTTGGTGCAGCTTGTAAGAACTTCAAATGTGTTGGCCGGCATCCGTCGCCTGCCACCAGGACGGCCCACCAGAGTGAGCAAGACTGCAAGTTCTGGCCCAACTGCCAGAACGCTCGCTGCCCCTTCAAGCACCCATCCAAGCCCCCCTGCCGTAACGGCGCCGACTGCAAGACCCCTGGCTGCGAATTCTACCACAACCCGGTGATGTGCAAGTTCCGGCCCTGCACGAACCGATACTGCCAATTCAAGCACGAGGAGGGCCAGCGGGGATCGTTCCCCGACAAGGTCTGGACAGCTGAGGGCACGAAGGAGCACGTGAGTGAGCGCCAATTTGCGGATGCAAAAGCAGCGGAGGAGCAGGTGATACCGGGCTCAGGAGATGACGCTATGGGTGGTACTGAGGCGACCGTGACGAGCTAGAAGCGATACGTCTTCGAGGTGCACTCGGACGCCGAGTCGGATGGGTCTGGCATGATTGAGTGAAGCCGCGAGAGACAGCAGGCTTAGGATATGTGTACCCTGTATTATACAAACCCATTTCTCATTATCAACAGGGTGTTATCAGGTCGAGGCAGATGTTCGGCCATGCTTGAGGGCCGACTGGAAGGCGTTGGGAGGCTCAGTCAAGAGAGAAAAATGAGCACTTGTGGAATTCAAGGGAGAGAAAGAATACGTCCACGCTGGTCCTGGCAGTCCAAGACGGATTCGAGGTCAGGGGATAGCGCCATGGACAAAGCATCGATGTTGAGGCTCTGCGCCTCCCCCACCATGCACAGTTCTTTTGCGTAGTCGACCAGGTGATGCTGTGTCTGTTCATTCCCGTGCTTGACATTCTCCACGGATCTGACGTGTATATCAGGCAGCCCAGCACACAGACGATCATCCCCTGGCAATGCTCCCCGTATTGAGAGATCAGCTCGTCTCTAGCTCGACTCACAGGCGGTCACAGCATGCTATTATTGTCCACATAATTCTGAACTCCACACCAACAGTAGGTTCTCGAATCATACGGAGGCTATTTCGGGCAGACTCATTCGCTTTGTGTTGGCCTTAATTACACCCCATGGAGAAAACCAACAGGCAGTCCAAAGCCGACGGACATTCCTTCGAGGAGGCACAGTCTGCCTCAAGAATAGGTGTTCCCACATGTCTAATTTCGCATGGCAATGTCTGCAGAGTGGATGGCAGAGGACGAGGGAAACAGGCGCACAGTGTGTAATGGTGGGTGGCATTTAGTGTACACGCAGACTTCCAAGGTTCCGAGGGAGACACGGAAGTATAGAGAGACAGTGTGAAGGAAGACTCTGTAGACGGTATGTGTGCGGTCAACCAGCCCAGCTTGGCTTCAAAGGGAGAGTGCGGTCTACATGAGTGCCGTACCTGGATTTGCCCAAGGAAGCAGCGGCTGTGGATGGGGAAGGAAGGAGAGCCGACCGGACCCACCCACCCGAATTGGCAGCAGGAGAGGAGCTTTCCCCGCAGGAGGCAGGCCAGGCCGTATTGACACGCTGTCTCCCGCGTGCATTTAGGCCGACGGGACTTTTGATGGTCGCAAAGTTCCCCAAGTCATCGGCGTCGGGCCCTGTGCCACTTTTTGCCAGCCACTGCCAATGCTTTCTCCCACCCCCCCAAAGCTCCGCCTTGCGACGCGTTTCCGAGAAATTTGATCGTGGCAATTCCCAACGGCGGCAGGGCAATCCAGCTCAGCTTGCGACCGCATCTCTTCCATCACCAATTGACCGCCGCGCATCGCGCACACCAGCCCGTCATCGTTCGAAGCTGTCGCCGACCAATTCGCCGCCCGTCTCGCACCCTCCCTCGCCAGCTGCAGACGACAGAGAGAGAGACTCTGCCCTTCTGGCCCCGTCTCCCCCTCTTCAACCCCCCTCCCAGCCACCCCATCAGTTGCCGTCGCCGCGCCCGCGCCCGCGTCAGCTTGTCGCATCCTGTCGCATCCCCTGACCCCCCCTCCCAACTCAACATGGCTGCCCCGCGCAAGCGAACTCGTGAGGTCGACGAGGCCAGCAGGGCCGAGTGCCCCTTCACGATCCGCCTCATCGACCCCCAGGGCAGGGATCCGAAGAAGAAGCGCCGCAGAAGGAACGATGATGACTCCGACGACAGCCGGGACTCTAAGATACCCGTCCAGATGTCTCCCTTCGCTCCCTCGGGCAAGTTCAAGAGCTTCGAGACCATGGACATCCACTACGCGGTCGATCCCTCCAAGAGGTGGTCCGAGATGACACGCTACAACAGCTTCGTTCGTAGGTGTCCCCCTGGTGCCTTCCACTTCAAAAGTCTCGAGGGAGGAACCCGCGATGTCTTACTAATCTGCCTGCCTCAGTGAACGGGTCAAAATACTTTAGTGACAACTATATCTTTGTCGCTAACGAGGACACCATCGAGCGTCAGAAATCCTTCGCCAACAAAGAGCAACTCGGCCCACGGACTAAGAGTAACGATGACTGGGTTGCTCGGATTCTGGAGATTCGCGCGAGCGATGAGCACCACGTCTACGCTCGCGTGTACTGGATGTACTGGCCGGACGAACTGCCGCAGGGCACTGTTGATGGAAAGAAGACTGTCGAGGGACGTCAGCCCTACCATGGACAGAATGAACTGATCGCGTCCAACCACAGTAAGTCCCAGAACCCGTTCGAAAGAAGTCTCGATCTGGAGCTGACTCTGCTGCAGTGGACATCATCAACGTTGTCTCCGTCACTCAGCAAGCGACTGTCAACCAAGTGACCGACGAAAACGACGACCAGATTCAGAGCGCACTTTACTGGAGACAAGCCTTCGACGTCCGGACCCAGGAGCTCTCGGTAAGCACTTCGCGCAGCTGACGACTGGGGATGGGACTGGTGCTGACACTCAACCTAGGCCATAGAGAAAGTCTGCAAGTGCGACCAACCCGGCAACCCTGACAAGGTCTTGGTCGGTTGCCCCAACGAGACATGCAAGAAGTGGCTCCATGAGGAGTGCCTCAAGCATGACATCCTGCTCAAGACGTACGAAGCCCTCGGGACCGACAAACCACACAAAGCGTCCGGTGTCAAGGAGGAGAAGGTGGAAGAAGAGGAAGCAAAGCGCCCTCTCAGCCCTGTCGAGCCCAGCACCGGTGCTGTTGCCGCCGAGCTCCCGATCCAGGTCAAGACAGATGGGGAGGGAGAGACAGTCAAGGCCGCCAACGACTCCGTGGAGTTCAAGGAGGAGTCTACCGTTGCGGCCAAGGAAGGCTCGGCGCAACCGCAAAATGGCCGAGTGTCGACACAAACCCCGACTGCAGAGCCACCAGCACGCAAGGTCGGCCGAGGACGGAAGAAGGCGGACGCGGGCTCCGCAAAACCGTATGAGGGTCTCTTTGAGGCGACCTTCAAGGTGGACCAGGACATGTTCGAGATCACAGACCTGAGGGAGGGCGTCGAGGGCGAGAAGACCTGGATGGAGGAGGTTAAATGCCTTGTTTGCGGCACGCGCATTTGCTAGAGGCACGAAATGCCTCGGTGGTCCATCAACGGGTGACTTGTGGGGTTATTTTCATTGGGTATTTTGTTGTGGGGTTGCATTACCTCTCATGATACGAAACCCTTTCTTTAGTCTGCTTCAGCGCCGAGGGCGAGTATGACGTATACCTTGCTTGATAGGAGGAGGAGTACGGACAATGGTCATTTGCTGTCTATTTTATCTTAGGGCGTTTCTTGGGAGGGGAGCAGGCAAAAGGCTCTCATTTAGAGTTACGTTTGTACATTCGAGAAGGGGACGTCGTCGTTTACCCACAAAATGAATATCCTGTCCTTAATCAATTTTCAGATTCCTGCATACCTGCCCTTCGGATTCTTTTCATTGCTAGTGAAGTATGATGCCTGGACCCTCAACAATTCTTCAAAGGGCGATTGTCCCCGTAGGACTAGAAGTAACTCGAGGAGAATGCGACTTGATACCACAGATTTGCCGTAGGAGCAGTCAGGAGAGGCGAGGGGTACCAGAAGATCCTGAGCCATGGATGGAAATGAGAGAAAACGACACATGCTACCTACATTCAACTCTCCAAACGAACGCTACGAACTAGAATCAAAAGATCCATCCAAATCACGCCCCGTACGCCCTCGCTATGCTAGAATGATGTCACCAAAACAAAGACCACCAGTGACACGTCTCAGCTCCCGCGAGGTTCAACATCGCCATCATGGCCCAGCATTGCCTGGCCCTCACCGTGCCCGGACTCCCCCCTCCCGTCGTCGGTGTCACCCTGCTCGGCCTTGTACCCCTCGATGACGGCGGCCAGCCTCTCGGCCTCGAGCTTCCCGCGCTCGGCGTTGACGAAGTAGATGAGCGGGGCGGGGAGGCCGACGAGGCAGGCGAGGAACCAGAAGGCCGGGCGGATCTCCCCCGTGGCGTCGATGATGGATGCGACGATGAAGGGGCCGAACACGCTCGAGCCCTTGTCGGTGATGGCGTAGAGGGCGTAGAAGGCGGCCTCGGACCCGGGCGGGATGAGCTCGCCGTACAGGGCGCGGCAGTAGCTGCTGAGCCCGCCCAGCACGAAGCCGTACACGCCGGCCAGCGGGAACATCTCCCACGGCTGCTGCAGGCCCAGGACGCCCCAGCCCCGGACGAAGGGCAGGTAGCCCAGAAGGCCGTAGAGCGGGATGAGCTCGAACAGCGCGACGCAGCTGAGGAGGGTCTGGTGTGGCTTGAGGCTGAACCGCCGAGAGATGTAGGACCACGAGAGTGCGCCTGCGATGCCGAAGGTCGTGGAGATGACGCCGATGAGCCCCAGCGACCATGGCTCCATCTGCAGCGTCGTCTTGGCGAACAGGATGGCGGTCGACGAGGTGGTGGCTATAGCATCCGAGAGCAGGAACCACGCCGCGAGGAACAGCATGATGTCCAGGAGCCGCCGCGCCAGCGATATTGTCTTGAAAAGCGACTTCCAGGCGTAGAGCGTGTACGCGACGAATGCCCTGACTCCCTTCCGGCTCTTCTGCGCCGGCAGCGGGGGCCCCGGCCTGGGCCGCAGCCACAGCGCGGCGGGGATGGTGAAGAAGGCCCACCATAATCCGATCATGCACAGGACGACGCGCAGGGACCAGGTCGAGCTCCTCATCTCGATCAGGATGAGGATGGCGACGCACTGCAGGAACAGTCCCGCCCGCGTAGCCTATCCCTATCCCCTTGGCGGATATCTCGGTCGACAGCGCGAGCTCCATCGAAGTCTGGTCCTCGTGGGTGAGGACCTTCCGCAACCTGTGCGGGCCCTCGTCGACTAGCAATGCGGTGCTCGAGCTACTGTCACGCAAGGTCTCGTTCTCCTCGTCATCTTGTGGGTGCTCCAGCCGCTGCGATTCGTTCGGCGCGGCGAGATCAGGAGTTAAGGTGCCCTCCGCATACAGCACCTTGGGGTGGTACCGGACGAGAAGAGGGAGAAAGCTGTTCAACAGGACAAAAGATGCCCCAAAGGAGACGTTGCTGACTATGGCCAGCACGGCGCCAAAGACGTACGTTTCCTTGGTGAGGAATATGTACAGCATGACACAGAAGCTGCCGAGCCAGGCAAAGGCCAGGAGGAGCTTCTTTCGGTACTGGCCGTGGTCCGCGAACGAGCTGATGCTCACTACGAGCAGGGCCTGCAGCAGCACGCTGGCGCTGAACGTGTACATGGCGAAGCTTGCGGTGTTGATCTCGAGGCCCAGGACGTGCACGACGCACTGGGTGTCATCGTCACTCTTCTCATTGCTGGGTCCGCATGGCTTTCCGTTCTTGAGCTGGACGCCATTCTCCCGAGCGAGACTCTCGAGCAGGATGGGGATGAATGAGCCTGGGGATGTCAGAACGCGGCTCTCACATAAGTGGGTGGGACAGCATTTAGGTGTGGAGAGTGCTGCCAAAGCGCGTAGGCCTTTAGTCAAATCACATACCAATTGCTATTACTCGGTCAGAAAGTCTGTTCGTACTCGTGCAGCTCTGGGGCGGATGACTTCACTCACCACAAATGACGTAGGTCTCAGCCGCGAAAGCATACATATACCATCCCCTCAGCTCCTTGGGGCTCGTTTCTGAAAGGTCGAGGCCCAGTCAGTCTTTGTCTCTGGGAAGTCAAGTCGGAGGGGCTCTGAGGCCGCCAGTTGGGACTCACGCCTGGTGTCCTCTCCGGCATAGCGGATTGGTGGCGAGGGAGGGTCCGGGCTGTGATTGGGCTCGGAGTCGGAGTGGCGGTCCATGTCCTCGGAGGTAGGGGAGATGCTGGCGGAGCGCTCGTCATCGGCCTCGAAAGAAGATGAGTGTGAGAGGAACGATCGCTTGGAAACGTGGGACTGTCTCGAGTACAGGCGCGGCAGCGGTGGAGGGCGTGAATCCTCATTCCTCGGGGCCATAATAGTGCGGCCGCAAGGGATGTATGGTGTGCCGTGCGACCAAGCTTATTTGGGTGGTGGCAACACGCCTGAGAGGAGTGGGCGTGCGGGCGTGTGTTGGCCTGGCCTGATGGGGCCCTTGCACAGGTGTGCCTGAGTGAGTGGGAGAGTGAGAGTCAGCCTGTGTGGAACGGAACGGAACGTCAGGCCCCCATGCACGCACGTCGACGTCCGTTTGAGAGCGGCACGGTCGGGCTCCTGGGCACACGAACAGCCTGCAAGCACCCAAACTCAATCGCTGAAGCTTTCTCTGGTTGGCTCTGCGGCGAGAATACGAGCGCTGCACCCTATGCTGGGGGGAGGAGAGTGGTGTTCGAGGCCGGCGACGTCGAGGATGTCCACGGGACTGACGGACCACCACCAACTGAGGAGACCCGTGACGAGGGGGCGGGTAGATCCGCCTGACTGACCAGAGCACGTAGACTACGACTACGACCTAACGGACGGACAAAGGACCCACTCGGCCTGGGTGAGGTGCTCTCGTCTCAAACAGCCTCATGATTCAAGAAATGGATGTCCCGACCATCACAATCTGCTGCATGTCTTGAAATGCTCTCTCCACAGTCGGCACAGCCGCACGAACCTCTCTAGCCATGGTCGCATCGTCGGGGTCATCAGGCTTCGAGCCTGAGCACCTATCGCTTGGCTCGGCTGCCATCTTGTGTGCTGCACATGCTGGTCGTCACACCATCACACCATCATCTCGTCAGCCCTCACTCGCTTCACCTGGCTCCCCACAGTTACCTTCTACACCAGCAGCAGAGGTGAATTACTCACGCCCCGGGGTGTGCATTCAAATATAAGCCTGTTCAAGAAGCCGTCCAAGATTGTGGCTCAAGTCAGGATATGTGGGTTGCTCTACTGCAGAACACAATCTATAACGCCAGCCACCCAAACGCCTCATACTCATGTCTATTACTGAAGTGGCCTATCTTCTAGTGAATGCTTGTCTAAATCAAGAATATGTCAACCACTGGGTCCGTGGATCCAGTTCGACTGAATAAACTTATCCCGGTCTGATACCGCATTCGAAATTTTTGCCCACACTGCGCCGAAACGGTGGAAGCAGGTAATGCAGTGGTGGTAAGTGGCAGTGTTTATCATCACCAATCTCACTTCTGCTCCATAAAGTGTGCAGCATGGTTTTGCCAGCGAGCTGTCACTGTCTGTCCTCATGCTTTTCTGAACCGGTGAAACCTCGCCCTCGGAGTCTACATTTGTCGGGAGGAAGTCGTCACGGCTTGAAGACCCTGGTTCCTCAATCCATGTTGCATCGAGCCGCAAAAGTTTTCCTCCGGTTTATTAAAGATGGCCCGAGGTCTTCTCTACTTGGGTGTTGTAATAAACAAAACACACCAAAGACGAGCCAAAGAAGCAGGGCAGTGCTACTTGGCCTCAGGCTCCCCAAGGCTCCTCCACATTGGGCGACTTCAACACAGTATGGCCTGCTTCGACAACCCAGCAGCATGAGAGTGATCCAAACTGTCGGCATTCAGAATCTAATTCAGTGGTAACCCTTCAACGTCAAGGCATGACCAATTGCCCCCCATCCTGCTTACCCGGATCAGCCAAGGGCAATATGGATAAAAACGGCCTATTGGCAGTCACGACAAAAACCCGTCTTGGCCGTCTTAACGGCAAATATTAAAGTACCCATGTCCTTGGCATACCCCAAGTCCCAGCAATACTCGGATTACACTTCAATATCACGGATCATCACCACCGAGCTGTGCTCCCCTTTGATGGAACGCGAGGTATCTCCACCTGTGGAAAACGAGCGGCTATGGCAGCGCTTTGACATGTATCCCTTATACTCGCGCTCAATCTGGCCACGGCCATAAGGATATCGGACGACAGTCTCCGGGCTCAGGGGCTCAAGGAGGTTAAGTGTGGCTGAAGGACCTATATAAAGTCATGGCCTCCCAAGTGGTCAGGCCTTCTTCCCGTCAAGGAGCAAACACACCAAGAACAAGCCGATCAAGATGAAGTCAGCCCTGCTCTACCTCCTGGCACCTCTCTTGGCCCTTGCCGCCCCGGCGGCCGAGCTCGAGGATCGTCAGGCCGCCACCAGCATCGACGCGCTTTTCAAGGCCAAGGGGAAGCTCTACTATGGCGTCGCGACGGACCAGAACCGCCTGTCGACTGGCAAGTCAGCCGCCGTGATCCAGCAGAACTTTGGTCAGGTCACGCCGGAGAATAGCATGAAGTGGGACGCGACCGAGTCTTCCAACGGGAATTTCAACTTCGGTACCGCGGACTACCTCGTCAACTGGTGGGTCTCTTTTTACTGTCTGGAGGCAAAACGAATCAATGGACTATAAGAGCACATTCGCCATGAGACCTCATTTTCTCACAAGAGTCTTCGCGTGTTGGTTCAACGTCAAGGCATGAGAGCATAGTGAAGCGCAAATGGTTGCGGGGACATACGGAAAATGAGAGAAGCCAGTTTTGTTGCTAACCGTCATGTAGGGCAACTCAGAACAACAAGACCATCCGTGGCCACACTCTGTGCTGGCACTCGCAACTCCCGAGCTGGGTCAGCAACATCCGCGACAAGGCGCAGCTGACGTCGGTCCTGGAGAGGCACATCACGACGGTCATGACGGTTAGTACCATTCTTCTCCTGCTACGCATCCCCGATCTTTGTTCTTTAGAATATTCCAGAATGTATCACTTTGGGATCCGTAGCAGGTGACTAACAGGTACTAGAGGTACAAGGGCAAGATCAGGGCTTGGGTGAGTTCATTTCCACGCATGGGAGTTTGGCGCAACCAGGGATAATATACTGACGGCAGTGTCTAGGACGTCTGCAACGAGATCTTCAACGAGGACGGCTCGCTTCGCTCGTCCGTGTTCTCCCAGGTCCTGGGCGAGGACTTCGTCTCCATTGCTTTCAAGGCTGCTCGCGCAGCTGACCCGAGTGCTGTGCTCTACCTGAACGATTACAATCTTGATTCTGCGAACTACGCCAAGGTCACCAATGGTATGGTCGCGCACGTCAAGAAGTGGCTTGCAGCCGGAATTCCCATCGACGGCATTGGTAAGTTTCCTTCTATGCAATCCCCGGGTAAACTTTGTTAGCCACTTTCAGACACTTTGTCGTATGTCTCGGGGGAAAGGCGTAGTGTTACAGGTGTGCTGACATCGACACGTACAGGCTCTCAGGGACACCTCTCAGGTGGCGGAGGCGCCGCATTTGGCGGCGCTCTGAAGGCACTCGCTGCTACTGGTGTAAAAGAGGTCGCCGTCACAGAACTCGATATACAGGGTGCGCCCGCGAACGATTACAAGCAGGTCACTCAAGCCTGTCTTGATGTGTCAACCTGTGTGGGCATCACCGTCTGGGGAGTTCGTGATGCAGACTCCTGGAGGGCTTCCACGAATCCTCTGTTATTTGACAACAATTTTGCTCCGAAGGCAGCGTACAATGCTGTTGCAGATCTCCTCAAATAGTTGGAATTCGAGGAGGTGAGGCCATAGATGTGTCTATCGCGGGATTTGGCTTGAGCAGCCCCAGACCGAGATCCGGCGTTTTGGCCACATTATAAGGTAGAACTGCGCGCCTGTGACGCGCTGAACTTGCAAATACAAGTCTATGAGCTCGTATTACTCTCTTGAATGTAGAAAAAAAGTGCTGTAATTCATATGCGCTCCAGTGTTACTGCCGAGTTCCAACCACCCCAGAAGGCACTCCCGCATCCACACCGACCACTCCATATCCAGAGCTCAGGAATTTCCATGAAGTCAGTGAAGAGCAGTCACGTGGCTTGAAAAACACAGCCATTTGACTTGGCCATACCTGAAGCCTTCGGGAATCCGCTCTACTTTGCCCGTCCAGACTAGGTACTGGTACCAGATGCTCATCAAGGACCATATCTAGGAGATAAAATCTGTTTTCGCACCATTTTTGGGGTGGAATTCAGACCACTACTGCAGAAAACTGTATTGGTCATGCTGGAACCTTCTTGCTCCATGGCTCAGAAGTTTCCATAAGATCAGAGAAAGCAGCGACGGTTGAAGTGTCCTATCAGACCATGTTGAGGCACCGATTTTCAACCGCGGTTGAGAATCGTTTGCCGGCGATGACTCGTCCCGTCGACTAAAGTGTGAGTATCGTTTGGGAAGACAGGTAAAGGGGGAAAAAGAATTCCGAGGCCTTCAAATCTGAAAGATACGTCGAGTTGAAAAAGGTGGGTCCAGGAAGGCTTGACACCTGGTTGGTCAGACGGGAGCTGGCAGGTAATCACCAGGGCGTGGAGGTATCACCCACCCCCTCGAAAGCCGAACAAACCGCCAGGGACATATATTAGTGAGGAACCCAAGGTGGTGTTCTGTGAAGAATGACATTGATAGTTGGCTGGTCATTGAAGGGGACAGCAGTTGCGAAGCTACAGTTAATGTCTCATTTGACTGAACATCAAGACGACGACACGCCAGACAGAGACACGCCAGAACTTTCATTAAAAAAATAAGACTGGTAGGATATCATGAAGTCACAGGAAGGAAACCACCCCAGAAAACACAGCCCATGCACGATTCACGGCGCCCTACTTCTTGAAGACACCCAAAACCTTGGCCTTCAACTTGTCCGCCAAACCCTTGTGCGTGCCATCCTCCCCGTCTTCTTTGTGGGCGCGTTGGACGTTGCCCTCGCCGCCCCTTCCAGTATGGTGGTCCTGGTTGTCGGTTGAGGGCCTGATAGCGGCATCGGGGACCACCTCTCTGTCCGTTCGGGGAGCCGCAGCGTTGGTATCCGAGATGTTGGCGGCACCTAGAAATACTGTCAGATATGTCGGGGAGCTTGGAAACCGGGTATAAAAGCATCGGCGCCGCTCCTATGCCTCTTCCGGGCGGGCCCTGCCAGACGGCCCCCTGCTGGCTTGCTAGCTTCCTGATCGAGCCGGTCACGCCACCTATCAGGCCGGGTGTGGGCTCTTGACGGGTGACAACACCAAGAGATAAGGGACGAACGGCCCGACCCATGTCGTCTTGGCCCAGCGCCTGGCGCGTTGCGAATGAGAAGCATGCGAATGAGAAGCATCACGTACCTCCTCGTCCGGTGCTCACACCGGTGCCGGCCTCTCCCTCGCGGACGACCTCGCCATCTGTGTACTTGGTATCATCCGGGTACACGTTTCCCTGGCCTCCTCTGCCGTGGCTCACTGGGGCGCTCATCTTGACGTTTCGTTTGGTTGCGGGGTGTGGGTCCTGAGAGTAGATGCGGATAAGGTTCGAGATGTGCTATGCACCACAACGCACAGACTGGAGTGGCCGAGTATGTGGGGAAGATTGACATCAGCTGGAGCAAGTAAGAGATCAAGTAGTGGAATGCCCAGGTAGTCGTACGATGGAGGAAGGAGCTGAATAAATAAGGCTGCAGGTTTTGGAGAGAAACAGGGCCGCATGAGAGTTTAATACCCAGCCTCCAGCCCCAAGACATAATGACAGCTGCAAGGTCGGTGACACCTGGGAAATCTCGAATCACAGCATCCGCATGGGCGTCATGCTTGCATCTGTGGCCCAAGGCGTGGGATAGCTCTTGGTCGAGAGATAGGCTGTTGATTGGACCCCGGGCGTACAAACGGCAATTACGTAGCCTAAATTTGGCACCTCGCAAACCCCTGGGGTGATTCCGATTGACTGTTGGGCCATGACACCGCGCATGTGTTCTGTATCACTATTGTAGCATGGTACAGTCCAGTCCAGCACAGTCCAGTACAGCCCAGTGCAGTCCAGTACAGCCCAGTACAACCCCCAAGACCCCAACAACGCCGGAAGTGACTTACCCAACACGCTTCCATATGACACCTCATGTGGTCAAGCTGCTGTAAACAGAGGCCCATATCTCATAGGATGATCTACATGGCACCAGCGTACTCCCTCATTTGCTCCAGCGAACTACTGAAGAAATATTCCGGTTCATATGGTAGATTGCCTTTGGCCGTATCACTGCCATGTCCCAGCATGACGTAAGGAAGGGACGGCGATAAGATAAAGAAGGCCGAGGCAGACTTTGCTCAACCGCCTCCTCGAGCTAGGCTGGGACTGGCTGACAGTACAGAGCACTTGAACATAAAACAAAAGGCTGTGTCGCTTGTAATTTTATAACATGTTGAGAAGATGAGCTATCGCGTAGGGGCATGTATTCAATATCCAACTGCGGTTGAAACTATATTTGCTGCCGTGCTCTTGGACAGGACAAGGCGAGATGTAGCACGGCCCTATCGTCGCGTCTTTGTGCACATGGTTGGAAACGTCAGACAATGCAGGACAACGGACAGACAATAGGCAGTGTCAGACAACTCGAGGCTTCTCCGTTTGCAAGCCGCAGGCTGAAAAAAATACCATCAGCCACTCAAGAGCCTGGACTATGGCGAATTGTCTGAGAGAAACATCCATGATATACCTCGGCTGCCTGCACGTGCGAGCGCGTAGCCCCGAAGCCAATTTACTTTGGTTCGGAAGCGTGTGCGGGACGCGTCCATTGTCTACCCAAATCTGTTCCGTGACGGCCACCCACTTCACTCAACGCCAGTCTCCTCTGCCTTCTTGGTCACCAACCTCAACCTGCCCACGCCCTCAGTGTGCACTACGACACACCTCGAGTTCAATCAATCAAAAACCCAATTGTGCACTACCCACCCAATTTGCTGCTGTCACCATTGTACTCGAAGCATGAGTTCCTCGTCTTTCACCTCGCCTGGTCGCGAGGTCGTCCCCGCCACCAGCAGCCCGCCTGCTGGTCTTGAGGAAGACCCAATCGCGATCAGCTCCGACGACGACGAGCTGCTGGGCAACGACTCTCGCTCGTCGCCCTACTTCACACAACCCACTCAGATCCTCAGTCGGCCAGCAATCAAGGCGATCACACAGCCCACTCAGCCCACTCAGCCCACCCAAGTGACCCAAGCGACCCAGATCGTCAGCGACCGCCCAAGGCTTGGCCTCAGCGCCAACATCAAGAAGTCGCCATCCACGTCGCCTCAGTCTGACGGCACCAGAGTCGAGGTCCCTGCCTCTTCTCCCTACCAGAGACCGGCTCCGCCGTCTGCTTTCGCCCGTTTAATGGCCCCTGCTGGCACCTCTTTCAAGCCTCCACCAAAGATCAATACAAAGCCTGCCCCTCAGTCGCCAGTCAAGCGAGGCCCCGCCAAGCGCGAGTTTGGTACGTTCTCGGACGATGAGCTGGACACATCCCCTACTCGATACGCGGCCGATAGCTCTGGCGACGAGCGGCCCGCGCGAGGCGATATTCAGCGCTCCTCCTTCCAACGCCAGCAGCCGAAATCCGAGTCGCCTTCCAGTGCTTCGCTGCACAGACAGCAGGCTTCTAAACAACAGCTGGCAAAGGTATTCCGCGGGTTCAAGTCCTCCTCAACCACCTCGCCCTCCAGCTCCATCGGCTCACAGCCCTCGGCACAGCCTTCCTCGAGGAGCTCTGAACCCTCTCGAACCCCTTCGCCACCGCCGAAGCGCAGGCGACTTGTGCGCGGCCGAAACCCCCAAAACTCCCCAAGCTCCTCACAGGTCACCCCGCAAGCCCCTCAGCTCATCAGCCTGATTGACGACGACGATGACGACGACGACGACCCCATCTCCAACGATAAGGACGATGGAGATAATTATGTAATGGATCAGCAAGACGAGTCATCTGAGGACGAGACCGAGACGGAGGGAAGATCGCCGAGCAAGGTTGCCTCCTCCAAGACCCTGGTGGGAACCAAGCGCAAGGACAAGATACTGCAATACCTCGGAGTCTGCTCCGTGGAGAGCCTTATGGCTGACGCCAAGATCCAGCGGGACGCAGCGAAGCACATGATCGACAAGCGACCTTTCCGAACAGTCGAGCAGGTTAAAGCTGTCGTCAAGTTCAAGATGTCTCGCGGCAAGAAGATCAGGCACGACCTTGGTCAAGAGGTCTTTGACCAGCTTGTCGAGTACATGAAGCGACTCGACGCAATCGACCGAGTTGTCGAGTACTGCGATACCCAGGGACGCAACATCAAGATCAAGATGGGGCCGTGGAAGATGGATCAGATGGGCATGACGAGAGGCAATACGGACGACAAGTCCAGCATCCTCCCTTTCCCTCGCGAGCCGAAGACAATGCGGGACCACTGCACCATGCAGCCGTATCAGCTGTTCGGTATGAACTGGATGTGGCAGCTGTACGGCCAACGCTTCGGCGGCATTCTCGCTGACGACATGGGCCTGGGGAAGACGTGTCAGGTTGTGTCGTTCATCGCGCTGCTCAAGGACCAGTTCGACGCCGGTTATTTCCAGGAGAGGCCCTGGCCCAACTTGGTTGTCGTCCCGCCGTCGGTCCTGGAGAACTGGGAGAACGAGTTCGACAAGTTTGCCCCCGGCCTGTCTGTCATCAAGTACTCAGGCAAGCCTGGTGAGCGCGACGAGCTTGCGCTTGACATCCGGGATGCACCAGAGGAGTACCACGTCATTCTCACCTCGTACTCGCAGATGAGCCGTTCTAGGGATGTGAATCTCATCAACAAGATCGGCATCAACGCGGCAATCTTCGACGAGGGCCATAAATTAAAGAACCCCCACGCACAGATCTACAAGGACCTTATTCGAGTCGACGCGGCTTGGAAGCTTATCATGACTGGCACACCTATCCAGAACAACATCATGGAGATGGTCGCGCTTTTGAACTTCCTGTGTCCACATGTTTTCGGCCATTACAGCGACCACCTTCAAGAGCTGTTCGAGCAAAAGGCGTCACTTCAGCAGGTCTCGGAGGGTGCCGTACTTCTGAGTGACCGAGTGAAGCGCGCGCGGAGCATACTGGAGCCATTCATCCTGCAGCGGACTAAGGAGCAGGTCCTGACCACCATGCCGGCAAAGATCCGTAAGGCGGTGTACTGCGACATGGACGACGGCCAGAAGGCGCTCTACGATGATTTCGTCCAAAAGTTCCGCGATGCCAAGACTCGCAAAGTCAGCAGCGGTGGTCGCAAGAACGACATGAACAACCCTTGGATCCAACTTCGCAAGGCAGCCATACACCCGCAGCTGTTCCGCCGGTTCTTCACCGACGAGAAGTGCGAGAAGATGGCCAGAGTCCTGATGAAGTCTGTGCCGCAGGACATCCTGAGGCAGCCCGACCTGACACACCTGACCAACGAGCTGAAGTACGAGTCCGACTTCCAGCTCCACCTTTGGTGCCGTGACTACCCCTGCATCCGCAGCTTTGACTGCCCGGAGGATACGTGGTTGGAGAGTGGCAAGGTCCAGAAGCTCTTGGAGCTCATTGGTGACTATCAGAAGGATGGCGACCGGGTCCTTGTCTTCTCACGTTTCGCTATGGTACTTTCCATCCTTGAAGAGTGCCTCGCGCAGGCTTCTGTCAGACATCTCGTCCTGCAGGGAGAGACCAAGGTCGCCGAGCGCCAGCAGCTCATCGACCAGTTCAACGATGACAAGACGATCACAGTATTCCTGTTGACAACCAAGGCTGGCGGTACGGGCATCAACCTGACAGCTGCCAACAAGGTCATTCTGTTTGACCAGTCGGACAATCCACAGGACGACATCCAGGCGTAAGTTTTCACTTGCCACCCCAGGCCACGACACATTCCATCTTGACTGACTTGAACACAGCGAGAACCGTGCGCACCGCCTCGGTCAGCAGCGCGAGGTAGAGGTCAGCCGACTCCTGTCTACGGGCACCATCGACGAGCTGATCTACAAGGCGTGCCAGCGCAAGCTGGAGCTCGCCGGCAAGATCACCGGCCACCACGAGGAGATCACGGGTGCGGATGTAGAGGCCGAGGTCTCCAAGATTCTTCTCCAAGAGTAAAAGATTGGAAAAGGGAAAGAAAATGAACAAGAAAAAATTAGGGGCGTACATGAACATATGCACAAGGCATGCATGCAGTTGGCGTTGTAGACAGGCGTCAGTTTTCTGATTGCGATACCCCCATTGCATCTAAAGGTAGACGCGTGCAGGTTCATTACACAATGATCAATAATATGGTTAAGACACTCGAGGTTGCCCGTTCGTGATGTGGTGTTGTTATATGTATGCAGAAGATAATCGCCCTGCCAGGCCTCACTTAGTACCACGTAGTTGACCCGCATAGGCTTGTGTAATTGTTGGCTGGGTTTTCGAGGGAACAAATGCACTCATATTATGACGCGTTTCGAGTAGCCAATATGATTTCTGATGCCATCAGATATTGCGCTGAGATTGGGGAACCAAAGCCGCTCAAAAGTTACTGACACTCATGACGGACGTTGAATTTCAGTGGGCTTGCAGGCCGTGCAGCCATGTTAGTACCGAAGTGGGTTCTGGCAGCACCCCCTGGGAGCCAAGCGGCCCTTCAGCCCTCTTCACTCAGGTACGTCGCCTCACCAGCGCAAAACCGACCCACACAGCACTGAGAGCCTCGAGCCTCACCAATTCAGGCCATCATCACAAATTCCCTCCAAGTCACAGACGGTTTCCCTCTCCACGTCCGGACTCACCCTCACCCGCTCAAAACCCCCCTGCCTCGACTCACCCACTCACTGGCAGAGCCCCCGCCATCAAAACCATGGCCTCACAAAGAATCATCTCGGATGAGAAGACCATCCTCGAGAAAGATGACATCGCCGGCACGCAGTCCAACATCGCACCCGCGGTGCCCACGTATGTGATATACCCTCTCCTACCACTTGCCCTGCTCCCGACAAATAACGGCGGCAGGAGGGAGGGAGGTCTAAGGGGGGGGGGGACTTGCTTTGCTCTTGGGGGTGTCTCATTACTGACCTCACACGGCCACACACCAGGGACGTCATCGTCAAGCTGCTGGCCTTCACCTTCGCCATGATTGTCGTGCCCATCGGCTCGTACTTTGCGACGGTCAACACGGTATTCAAAGGTGAGTAGATATCGTCATATACATATTCATTTACGGAAGACCATCCAACCCCAGCAAGCCAATGGCCAAGCAGCTAGCTAACCAGTGCTACTTCACGCCCACCAGGCAACTCGACCTTCGCGGGCGCCACGGCGGCCATCATGGCCAACGTCGTGCTGATCGCGTACGTGGTCGTCGCCATGAGGGAGGACCAGTCGGAGCAGCACGACGGGAAGAAGAGCAAGGAGGGCAAGAAGGACCGCTGAGGGACCTGCCTGACCGACTGCCCGGCTGGATGTGTCTGTCCCTGTCTCTGTCCACAGTGCCTTGGGCTTACACACAGACAACGCGGCATATACCTAGGTCGTGTCGTTCACTATGTATCTTTCTCACTGCATGTGCCCATGGCGTTCAGAGGGTCGGAAAAAGGAAACTAGTCACAGACCGGCAGTGGATGTGTTGCCAGCGACAATGGCAGGTTGGTTTTGCAATGGGCGTGCATATAATGGAGACTGCAAATAACTCATCAGCTATGTCATTTGTGCGGCGAAATGGTCTCTACCTGCATGCAGGCACACACAGAAACATGTCACGGGATTCAACAGCGCAAGGTTGATCGCTTTAGGGCTTCAAAATGAAGCCCTCCAATTGTCATTTCAAGCCGCTCTGTCCAGGCAGAGTGAGAGGCTGCCTCTATCCGAAACCGAGCATAACGCCAGTGCCTTGATAGGCGAGCCCTCCCACTTTGTGTGCCCTGACCCAGACATTCCCATTCTGCCGCCGGCTTCCATGGCATGACCTGCCTTCATTCTTTATAAGGAAATAATGACTGCTAATGAGCGTTCAGATTTGGGTATTAACCGTTCCCAGGCTGGCCAGCCCCCGCTTCCTGGGTTTCCCCCTCCAGGTCTAATTGTCGCGCCCCCAGACAAGTCCTACCCATGCGGGTAAAGGTGGAAGTCAACATTGCACCTCGCGTTCTTGTACAGGGTTTCCGTCGCCCGTCATATGTACTCATGTATCCCGTTATGTTCCGACATCGTCGACGCGAAAATCAATTCAGTTATTTGTCCATGAAGTCCCCCAGCAGTACCCGTTGTATAGTGGGAATCGCTTCTGCGGCGCCATCGTCGTTGGATCAAGACAGCTTGTTCAGCCAGAATCTCTCATCCGCCGTTGGGGACGTGCCTATTCGCTGTCTTCCTGCCTGCCGCTGTGGGTGGCACGCCGGCCACGGCAAAACGCTGTTCTAGCCCATCAATGTTGCAATACTGCAATTCCGCCGAGTCGCTATTATGGCCTAGTCCGGGCCTCGAAAGTTGTCCTTCCTTAGTTGTCATCGGAGTTATGTGTGGTGAAGATAGTAAAAGTGAATAGTCGGGTATTGTTGTTTCGGGTCTTCGTGGAGCGCCTCTTCCCTTTTTCACGGTCAAAGTATCGCGTCTGGAGTTAGAGGAGACGGGTGAGACGCCGAAGTATCGAGACGGCTGCCCTGACACCGACGTGTAGGTAATCTCGTATCCAAAAGCCTGCAAGCTCTTCTCGTCGATGAGCTTGATTGCAGTTTCAACCTTGCTTGGCCTGTCGATTCGAGTGGCAATGATTGACTCTTCGAAATGTCCATCGGCCGCCAACGTTTATCCTCGTGACGCCTGTCCTCGTCATGGCCCTGCTTACTCCTCGCTCCGTTATGCCGCTGCCATGGGGTGTTGCTCCCCCTAGAAGCCCTTGCTTAGGCGCTTGAACCAGCTCTTTCGCTTCTCGCCCGTGTCTGGCCGTTGTTGTGACTCCTGGGTCGTCGGTTTCCTGAGGATAGCGCCGTCCTTCCTTGGCACTGAGGGTGGTCCTCCGTCATTCTGGTACCCATACTGAGCAGAGCCAGGGCTGGCTACAGTGAAAGATGATGTTTGATACTCCGGTGTCTGGCTGAAGCCAATTCCATAGTCATTGATGGGTTCTGGCTGGCGCCGCGGCTGCTGGCGCTCGATGGAGCTGTTGTCTGAGCTTGTCGGGTCCGTCTGGTACCCTGCTGGCTCTGCCGAAGTCCCCGAGCCCGACGCGACGGTTTCATAGGATCGCTGGTTGTTGCCCGCCCCATACATGTTCGCGCCGTTCTGTCTATTTCGATACTGTTGTTCAGGGCCAGGGCCGGGACCCATGCGTGGAGGTTGCCTTCTCCGGTCCGGAGGGCCCCATCGGTACTGATCTTGGTAACCGTCTCGGGGTGCACCACTTTCAGGCCTGAAGGTTGACTGAGGCCGGCTGTTGCCGTAGTAGCTGTCGTGTTGGTAACGGCCATTACCTGTCCGGGGATGTCAGATGTATGTTTCCAGCAAATTGGAACGGAAACAAGGTTCAAGCGAAAGAGTAGCTTACTGCCACCGCCATAGTAGCTGTTCCTTGGGTTGAAAGTCATCACGGACTCGTTGTCTTTGAAAGGGAAAATTGTGAGTAGTTGTGCCATTGATTTGGAGGGTGCATGAGATGAGAAGGGGGAGGGAGGACTCCATAGCTTCCACGCGGAATTCTCGTCACTACGACTCGTCCATGAAGGATAAGTGCATAGCACAACGATAGCTCCGTTCGCAATCAAGCGTTCCTACCAAGGAGGCTCGGAGTGCCAGGGAGCGGGGTGCACGTGGCGGAGGGAGTAGGTAGGGGCAGTTGATAGTTACCTCCTGAGTTGATCATCGAGTTCCTGTAGCTGCCTTCAATGGCGGCCTCGAATGCACGAATAGTGTCCAAAGGTCGCTCCTCTCGCCATCGCGTTGGATTGGACAGGTCAGGATCGGCTGCGATCGTTTCAGTCAGCGTCTAATTGCGCAAAGACGAACGAGTGGAGTGACGAACTTATGACATTTCCGGAATGGTCCTTGTGTTGGAGCCCGCGTAGGCTCTGCAGGTTGTTTGTGGCATGTGCAGCAATAGCAGCTAAAGTTGTAAATTGTCAGTCCATTTGTTCGACACGGTCTGGAAAATGTGGCAGCAACGCACAAGGCTCCGCCTCGTTCATAGCCATGGTGGGATCAGCCTTGCTGTGCAGTCGTTGGCGCTCTTTTTCGTTGTGGCTCTCGACCAAGTGCTCTTTCTTGCCGTCGCTCTTCTGCGACTTGTCCGACTGCAGACTAAATCCTCTGGATCTGGGGCGCGGTCTTGCAGTGTTGGATTGAGTCTGCTGCAATTGCGTCTGTTGGTAGTGGACTTGTGGTTGTTGCTGCTGATTAGAGTAGTTGGACTGCTGCTGGCCCGGGGGCGCAGGCAAGGGGTGGGTGTTATACTGCGACGCCATGGTGACTTCGCAGGGGCCGACCGTTCCTCTGTAATTGTACGTCAATCGGTGATGGGAACCTTGGAAACCGGGGCTCGTCGCGGCGTCGAATGGGTCTGGCAGGGTTCTGGAGCGGATCCAAATGACACAGGACCCGCAGATAGAACGAGAATCCGATGCGCGTGGATCGACAACTGTGCTTTGTCGGTGTTGGCGCGTGTGCACTGAAGTGGAGACGGACTGGGGTGGAGAGGGCCTAGATAAGAGGAGGAAGGGCGGTAAAGTGGAATTGTAGAGTCGCGATGCGATGCGATGCGATGCGGAAATGAGGACGGCGGATGCAAGAAGGGAGGAGGTAGACTATTGCCAAAAGGACGGCAGGAATGCGACTACTGTAGGTAGTGGCAGCAGCAGTGGCGTGGCGGCCCTGGTCGCGTCCACGTCCCGGTGCCGGTTCTGATGGCTGGAGAGGTTGAAACGGCACGGAGCAATGCAAGCTCGCAGGCTTGTCGCAAGTGGCTGGGTGCAGTGCCGAGAGGTGCAGCAGGTGAAGCAGGTGCGGTCGCCAACCCCATTGACAGGGAACGCACAGTCGCCACCAAGCAGGCCCTCACCTTGTCGGGTTGTCACCCTGTACCGTGGTAGTTTCTATGCAAGAGATGCCTTGGTCCTGCAAACTAAATTCCAAGATGGCCTGCTGCCCGGCGCCCGCCCGTCCTGCTTCTAGTTACCGTATCGACTTTGTTGCTTGTGAACCTGCTCGTCTGAACCCCAGCGTTTGGTGGTGGTGGTGACGGTGTCGATGCAGAGATGAGATCAACTGACGACAAAGGGAGGTGAGGGGCAAAGAGGGGGGGGGGGGCACTGCCAAAGTCAAATGAGCGCAGATGGTTGCAGATGATGGATATAGATATAGATTAGCAGGGCAATAGACGGACACGGGTCATGAACCAAGACCGATGAGGATGCCTGGGTTTGGTTCCGGGGCAGCCGCAAGGTTTATTCTGTCCTCGGCCGTGACATGATGTGACTGTTGATCCTGGACACACGCGAAGGACAAGAGGAAGGGAAAGATGGTTTGGGGCCAGTCTTGGTCATGGGCTTCATTGGCAGGTCTCAATTCGTGTTCACCATTGGTTGTGAGGCATCTTGGGGCGGCGTGACGCGGCCCTCCCAGGCTGGTGCGCTGTACCTGGGGGCCATGTAGATGGGTGGACTGACAGACTGACTGTCTCTCCATCTGGTCTACCCACGCGGTCAGTACCTTACGATGTGGCTGTCCGCAAGCAGCAGGCAGAGGGGCCATCCCACTGGTGCCCGTCGTCACCACTCAGATAGTGAAATGGCTAGTATATCTAGATCTGTTTCCCAGTCCCAAGTCTATAAGTGCAAGTGCAAGTCCCAGGTCGACAATGGAGCAGCGTTTCATCCATCGAGCAGCCATTGCAAGTTCTTGCAGATCTCTGGGCGGCACCAGCACCAAGACCACCTCCGGCTGTTCCTGGGGCTTGGGGCTTGGTAGCTCGGGCCTGCTTTGACTCTGCGCTAGCCAAGGCAAGGCGCGATACGACGAGCCTTTCACGTGCCTTTTTGGCGGGCGGGACTGCAGAACAGCTATCAGACGTTTCCAGTTGTCCTCCCTCGTTAGCTTTTTCCAGGAAGTCGGGCAGGGGACATGGGCCCGATCGACGAGGTCTCCCTCTTCCAAGACCCAGCAGTGTATGCGCGTGCAAACCTGTGCCTCGACTCTCTGGAATCTCTGGAAATTTCTGGGACTTGCGGGACGGCTGGCCCTGCAGGTGCCGACACAGAGCTGACGTCAAGCCCTGTCGATCCACGTACCACTCAGCTAAGTACTATGTACTGTCTTGTCCGTACCCAAGGAGCAGGTATGTGATGCATCTCGGGAGCACGCTTGAAGTGGAGCGTGCTGTTTGTGTTCGAAACAGCCCTGCAAAAAGCCTGAAGCCTTCAAGTGTTGAGGTTTCGCCAGTCCGGAGCCATCTGAAACTCGGCGTTTAATCATGATGGAATCTCTTGCCGGAACGGCAGACAGTGACAAGGCTCCTGGGGTCGAAGCACTCAAAGTCCCAAGCGTCCACGATCCGCGACAGCCAGTGATAATCTTGTAGGGACGCCTCGCTGGAGTGCCATAGGCGCTTTCCCCGGTCAGGAACAGGCGGACCGGGGAGGAAGACGTCGGAGTTGAATCACACGGTGGATCGTGGGGTTTTTGACAGGCGGAGGTGACTGGGAAGAGCCTGAAAAACGGTGGTTGACCAGGGTGTGGGGCTCCACCCGAGGTTGGTGAGCATGAGTCGACTGACTTGTGGATGAGAACACACCGATGGCACAATCACGGCAGCTCTGGAATCCTCTGCGATATTCGCAGGTCTGGGCCACGTCCCAGAACATGCCGCAACACGCGCGTGCGCGTGCAGGTCAGCATCTTTCCGACTGATCCGTGCTTGCCTGCCAGAGGCAACCGGGCACCCAAGTATCTCCTACCTCCTTGGTGCTCAAGCATCCACCTCAGGCAGTGGCGATGCACCCACGCCGAGACTGTTCCCCGATCAAATTTGCAACCACAATTCACGGCCAGGATTACGACTGCATCCACTGCATACAGTAAAGAAGGTAGACATGTAAATCCTCCTCGTGTTGAGCAACAATGGCACCCACCACGAGGCGAGCATGAAGGGGCGGACAGGAGCATGGCCAGTAGCACAAATCACCCGAGTCGAGACACGACAGCTGTACGCAGCTATACGCAGGCAATACGAGCACCAAGACAGGCGTCTCGACCACTTGGGCTGCTCGTGGGCATTGGCGCCAACGCTAGCCATGCACTGCCTGCAGGAAGCAACAGGCCCTCTTTCTTTCTTTTTGCCCCTCTTGTCTGTCTGGTCTGTCAGGTCAACGCGTGTCTAGAAAGAAGTAGTCTACAATGCCAGAACGCTAGGTCGATAGATGCTAGAGGAATAATACAGTCACAATAATACGCCAGGGCAGTAAATGCTGAGACAAGGAATCGAAGATCCCACTCTTCGGCATGAACCGGCCATTGCAGCCCCTCGTCACCTGGCATCTCAATATGACGCTGTCTCATCTCGAGCTTCGATTCCACGTGCTACAGACAAGTCCCCGTTGTCAAACTTGAACAAGAACTTCAGCTGCTCGCCGGTCCGCGGACTCGGACGGGAAAGCTAGCCCTTCACGCTGCGCCCCGAAGCCCTGCGTAACCCCCGTACCAGGCCAAGAGGGTCTGATTAATTATGATGGCACCGTTTCTTAGCTACTGCGGCGTCGTCTTTTATCAGAGTTTTTCTTCTGCTCCAGGAAGGTCGAGTACCACTATGCCTAGCCTATTCTTAGCTCGGCGCCATCGGACGGCCCTGAATACTGCATCAAGTGCGCGAGACGACTTCGAAACACTGTGTTTCGCGAAAATGTCTGTTCAACATGCCACGAAATAAAATGCACCGTTCGTTGAAAAGACCGAGCTCGAGCTGCTTCCATCTCCTGACACGCCACCCCTGGACACAAAAGACAACGACATCATTCCGCCGCTCCAACGGAAGCGGGTCTGCAGAGCGGGAGAACATTGAATCGCATGGCTGCTGTCTCCACTGGGCTGAAGGCCCACAGGCTTTTGGTCCGAGTGCCTGGATGATCGGCAGCCGGCCCTTGCAACAGGCAGGGGGTGTGCCTGACGTGACGCCCCTGGCACCAAGCAAGCCAAGGGTATCGAACACGACTTACACAGCACAGTACAGACATGCCTCACCTGCCAGAGCACATCGCCAGCCGAAGCTGCCATGACGCCGGCGGGACCACGCCGCCGCCCGAGTCCTTGATCAGAGGGCAGCGCATAAATCACTGCGAGGAAGAGTCTGCTTCTTCGGCCATGAGGCACCGTCCAGCAACAGGATGGGGGGACATCTCTCAGATTCTTTTCTGCGTATCGACACAGTATCTGCATCTAACACGTCTACTCTTGAAGGCGACCAGACCGGTACTGTGCCTCGCGGCCCCAACAGCCGTGAACTATTCTCATCCAGTATGAAGGCACCAGACAATACAGTAGCACTGCATGATGCAAAGAAGATCGCCAAGCGTGAAGCTCATCTCATGTTTCCCAGCTGGGGGCTTCCACCACCCGCCATGGCTCGGCGCCTGACAACTCGTTTGTTTTGCTCGATTGAGGCTGTGCCGCGTGTATGTTTCGAATGGCCAGCCAAGTCATAGCAGCCATCTTGTTCAGTGAACCTCTTGTCAAAATGGGTCGAGACACGGAAACTTCGATACGCTAGAACTCAATGCCCGTGACTTACCAGGAACAGTACCCCCATGGCGGCCTCCTAAGCCACTAACCGCCAGCTTTCCAAGACTACACGCAACCGGGATGACTCTCATGCTGCCATTAATGGGTTTGAGAGGATTAGATTTTCATTTCCCCTTTGTCCCCAGACAACGTACGCCGATGATGGCTATGCATCAGTGCTCGTTACTGATATCAAGTATTCCATGGCCAGGCCCCCTACTCTCTTGAGACCGCAGGCTCCCCGTCTTCTCGCAGCCACAGTCATCTACTGCCGACTAGTGAAGTTTCTACCAGGAGTGACTCGCTGCCAATACTGAGTCCAGGTGAATTCCGTCAGGTTCAAAATGACCTTTAGAGATCGTACATATACTGAGCAGTGTTGTCGGGGTCGCTGGTTCATAACGAGGTCAAGCGCATCGGAACACTCCGTCGACCCAGGAAGGGTGACACTGTAATCATCTTTACTAGCACTTCGCGGTCAAGAGAAAATACATGGCCCGGCTGCCCTGAATGGACCACGAGACTGTGCACTTCAGAATGCCTTAGCGCTGACAGAAGTCAGCTAATCCCCGTTACCCATGTCATGACACAGTACTGCACAATATTCCTTGCTTGACGGCAACCGTGCCAGGTAAAAAAAGAAATCCACAGCTGTTGCGGGCCGGCGGCCTCTCAACTTATACAGTCATGTTACAGCCCTCAGGTAGCCAATCTAGCTCTCACAATCTCTTGAGCACCATACAGCCCAGATTTCAAGCATCACATTGTGAGACTACTATATGCCGGCCTGAAGTGCCCATCTCACCTGTCCGGCTTGTGATTTTCCGCTGTGGTATGCCGGCATTGGCAGCCCGCAATATTCTTTCCCCCGTGCCGTCAGAGTTGAGCGCGAGATTAATCAGTTATGCAAGACCAATTCTGAGCCGCCTAGGCGCAAACAGCCTTCTGCCTCAACGCAGGAACAAAGGCTCCCATCTTCTGCAGGGCTGATGTCGATTATCTGATAGGAGGGGAAGCCTTGACAAGTCGATCAGTACTCTCGTTCGCAAGTTAAGATTCAACGTTGCGCTAGCTCAATTCGAAAGCCCCGGGAATCAGTTTTCAACGGATTCTATTATTTTCCTTGTTGAATTCTTTCAAAAGCCATGTTAGTATTAAATGTTTCAAAATTTTTGGGATCGTATAGTGGTGGGTAAAACTTACCATGTGTAAAAGAATCCTGGAATTGATCTTAAGATGTTCTGTCCTTTGAAGATACGATGCTGCGTTCATGACATTTTCAGCCAGCATGAGTTGTATGACGGCTGTTACAAATTGATGTCCATGGTGACAACGTGATTGACTATCTGCGTGACTAACATTTCTTGACACAGCCAGCTGTGTATGCTTCTATGTACAGAACTTAATCGCGAAACTCTGACGAAAGGACTTCAATGTAAAGAACAAATGACCCATATTAAGTGGTACAAGGATTGGGATGGAGGAGCACAAAAGGAACAGGAAGGAACGCGCACCAGAGATGGACCCAAAAAGTTGGGTCTGGAAACCAATTACCATACAACCCCACAGAGACTGGTGCTGGGGAGAGGATCTACACCTGGGCAGGCAAGATGCAGGCTCCCATAACAGGCTTGATGAACTAGCGGTGAGAGGAAAAAGGCATCTGAAAGGGAAATTACTTCTAACTGGCTTGAAAAGATAAAGACTGCTTTTGAAGGGCATGATATGTCTTCTATACTCCTGCGTTGGTGAGGTGAGCGGCCGTGAGTGTCGACCGACTGGTCCTGCCCAGGTTTGTGAGAGACAATTTTCCAAACGAAGTAACGATCTTGCTGGATCAGTGGACCTGATGGTGGTGCTTCCCGTGCAATGACATACTCAGGGAGGCTGTGTGTTTGTTCATGGGAACGTTGAAGCTGTGTCGTTCGTTCAATGATGGCAAAAGCCGGTACTACTACTGCTCAAGTGGAGTATCTACCTGTGGTAGCAAAGGTGTCTACCTAAAAATGGTGCTGTCTGCTGAAATTGGTTACAAAAGACCCTTGGATAGAGATTGTTACAGTGTCATATACAATGGCGTACTTGTAGACTGGCATCTCGCGAGAGCACACCTACACAGTGAGCACATGGCGGGCTATTATATCAACAGACCCATCCCATAATAAACACACCGACACATAGAGGACGTGTGTATAATGCTGAGTTTAATGGCTGAGCTCAGAATAGTGGAACTTCGAATTGCTACGATCATCATGGCCAACCCCTCAGTTGCTTCAGCATAGGACATGGTACGGCGGGTGACACTCACGTGCATGCAAATCTACGACAGGCTAATTGTGTTGGCTTGCGGTCCTTTTACACTGACAGGTGCCACCAGCATGCGCATGATTGCTGGCTGGGTGTCGGGACATCCCTCTGGAGTTTCCTCAACAGTCGATCTCAAGACAAGCGGATGCGGTCGCTTGTGCCAACCTCCGCCCGCTCTATTATGGAGTATGGGCATGCTCCCAGGTTGAAGACTCGGCCGACCCAGGACCCATGGTAAGTCAAGATCCAAGCTGTCTTCCAGTCTTGATCCCCACGTATCGTGCTGAACGGTTGCGCTTGAAAGCCGTTGCCCCACGGGGATCGATGGGGACTGGGTATGATTGGGCTGCCTACGCGAACGCGACCGTCAAATCCAAAACACTCAGTCGACCACATGAAGCTCGTTGATTTCGGGTATCGAAGCGGAGTCGGCTGTTTGGTTTCAGTTGCTGAAAAGAGCCCTTTGGGCATGTAGCATTCCTCTGCTTTGCCACCAGTCCATCCTATGTCCTATGCCATTTTTTTTCCGTCCTCACGGAAGCCTTTCTTGTGTCGGACCAAGCACTCGAAACACCGCGAATCTTCATCCACTTGTGTGTGGTCGGTAATCCATCAATCGATTCTTGAATGCTAGAGAGCAGGGCGTAAATCAACCCTGCCAGACCGTGATGCAGCCAATCGAAACCATTTCCGCTCAAACTCCGTCCGTTAAACCGTCCCTTATATCGCAGAAGGGTAGAGCATGATGCGAACCGAGGCACCGAAAGATCGGGAGGGCAGAGGGTGGGTGAACTTGGCACGAACGACACCGGAGTTTCCTGGTTTGCAAAGTCAGCCTGCGCGTCGGGGGCCGCAAAGATCTCGTGGTCCTGGGGTTGTATGTACCGTGGGGGCGGGTGACCTTGCCCCAGATGACGCGGAGCTTGGATCCGCGAACCTCCTTCTGGGCCTTGTAGACGTAGGCGACCTTCTTGCCAAGGTAGAAGCTGTATCATCCGTCAGCTCTGGCTAGCGAGTGGATGCTCGGCTTGGAAGACATACTTGGCAGCGCTGGTGTCGTCAACACCCTCGATCTTGATCAGACTGGTCTTAGGGTGCGTCGTGTGGCGGTTACGCTGGTAGGAAAGGTGACGACCCCTGTGGTTCCATCACTGTCAGTCCCGTTGTCCTCGATCATATTGCGAACCGTTCCCCGCCCGTGGCGCATCGTCGTTTTGCTCGAGCAGATTGTCGCGGCATAATATCGTTCCTCCTCGGAGCTCCATGCTTCCCGGATCGTGGCTGTTTTCGATTCCAATCCAAGCCCCACATTTTGCGTTTGGTTCAAGACCGAGAGAGAGGGGGAGCAAACAATCGCGCGTCGATAGAACTTACTTCACGTAAACTAGAGTCGCAAGAAGTCAGCTACTGAATTTCTGGATGGGGCAGTCGCGAGGCAACGGTCTCCTCCGGGTGCATTGGCAGGGCGACGACTGCGATGTGCCCGGGGCGAGGAAGGGGGTTGGGGCAAAACTCACGTCTGTGACCAGCTTCTGAAGGCATCTTGACTTTGGTCGATCACTCGATTTCTCTCCGTACCACTGGGAAAGGGAAGGAAAAGAAAAAAGTTGGGTGCGGCGTTCGATGACTTGGTGATTGACCGACTGACTTCACAACACACGAGGGCCGCTTTTGGGGGGGAGTCCTGATGGGGTCGCAGTCGACTGGCTTGGGTGTGAAAAATCCCAGGGCAAAATGTGCCTGGAGAAACTTACGGCCGTCCTCCGCCTGGACCCACTATTATCTCAGCTTGTTCAGACTGGCGAGGTCGACAGATTGGCCCGGGAACGACGCTAACGCTCCAGACGCTCCCAGACGCTCCCAGACGCTCCAGACGTCCAATCTGTCCAATCCGCCGAGTCTGCCCAGCCACGGACACCTCTCCGCTTTTCTTCACTTGTTCATTCGGTCCAAGCCAGACACCCCCAGGAGACTCTTAGATCCCGGCCATGCCCATCTTATCTACACGTGCGAGGTCACGAGAAGTTTTCACGATCCACCCCCCGTGGCGGCTAGTACGGATGCGCCATGGCCGGCAGCAAGCGGCAGGCGGATACCATCCTTCTTTTGACTTTTTCCCTCTCCCTGGGCAGCCTGGTACGGTACAGCTCTTTATCTCGTGCCCCACGTATGATGCAATGTCCGAGTGGGTGTCCCTCGCCGATAGTTTCTGCGGGATCCTCCCATCTCGCTGTCCGAAAGATCTAACGCCGGGACTCCTGCCCTCCTCGCCCTCCTGAAATCGGAGTCGCGATCGGACTTCAGTGATGTTGAGACGGGGCCTTGTTGAAACATTCCCAATTTTTCCGGTCGTTGCGAGCTCGGCCACGATGTTCGGATGTACCAAGGCCCAGGGGTCTTGGAGGTGATCACCATAACCCCCCATCGCCTGGCAAGTTCAACAGGCCTGAATGCCTCTTTTGGGATATGCAAGGAAAAGCTGCGATAGGCGCGGTAGAGCGGTAGATGTCGTGCAGTGGGGTCGCTGCTGCTGTCGCTTTGTTCCCAGTCTTGCCAAGTCCCGAGATCTCCGGAGCGCGGAAATGTCAAGCTGTGCATGCACGCACTATGGTAGACTAGCTACCTAGCTGTGGCTGCTGTGACAGGTCAAATCCGTAGTGCCATCTTGACCACCATCGTCGCTTTGCAGCAGCTCCAGCAGCAACTCCTGCTGTTGTGATCTCTTGTTATTGTTTAAAACAGGAGCAAATCCCACAGATACGGCGATATTCATGACTGCATTCAGTATTCATTTCCAGACCGGTGCCTGTCTGTTATTGGTCTTCCCAGGAGTGTTCGCGTTACCACTGACAACGGAACATTGAACAACACCAAAAAGATCAACCAGTGCCCAGGGAGCAGGTGAAGAGCCCACCTACCAGCTTTACCTATGTAGCTTGTCTGGTTCATTCAACGGACAGAAATAAGACAAGTTTGGACAGCCTCCATATCAAGAGGTATTAATAAGATGTCTATAGTTAAGCCAAGCTGCACCTTCATCAGACCAGACTCGTGCGCTCAAACCGCCGTGTTTCGCATCCCTGAGCGATTTTTCAGATGTCCATGTTACAAATCCTACAACGGAGGGCCGAGAGGGTTTCCACCTATGGGCGGACAACTCGCCAGCCTCAACAAAGCCTGGCGGGAACAGATTGGCACCCAGAGGGTCCGCTCAGGTCCTGCGGATCCAGTCCAGGACCCAGCTATGACCGTACGTAGTACATGGTCCGCCATACTTACTCGACAGCCCTGTGCCGTCATGATGATCAACAGCGCCCACCAGCGCCTGCTTATAAGTCAAGGCCACGCCTTCGATGGGAAATCGAATGTCCTATGCAGTCCGGTTTGAACAAGAGCTTTTGCCCGTCTACCTGTACAGGGCAGGGCGGCTAGGACTGACAGATCTACTGGATGATATCCATCTGGTGAAACATGTACGCGAGTACCTGGGTACCTCGGACACATATGGGTGGACCCACTTGAGATTCAACCAACAATTTGCTGTTAAAGTTGTCTCCCGGTCGAAGTATACCGTGCTGTAACCATCGTTGGAGGATGCATATTGTATATACACCATCCATATGTATGCACCTGCAGCCTGTCAGACAATGGTTCTCCCTCGCAACTATCCTTTGGTAGAAATCGGTTGGGCAGGTTTGATCAGCTCCGTCCCTGAGATCCCTCCCCTCCAAGCTAGCCGCAGGCCGCGCTGACGTGGGAGGGGGTACCCCGCGGCCAAAGCCCTTGCTGCGGGACAGGCGGACGGGCCTGAGTAAGCTCTCTCTGTCGTCTATCCAGGTACCTAGCCTACCTGCTACCTACCTACCTAGGCTTGGCCCCTCCGAGCAAGTCTGCGCATCACCCCCCGGTTGTCCTCTAAAACCCATTAATAAACCCCGACACCGAGCCAGGTCCTCTGGTCTTTCCAACTTTGACGTCGTCCCGCTCCGCCCGGTCTGCTCTCACCCAGGTCGCCTCTCTACAAATCTGTTTGCCCGCCTAGCCACTGTCTGACATCTCTTCTTCACTCCTTCCAAGAAACAGCACAAGTAAACATACCTGAAGATGGCGTCCGCCGATTTGCACTCTGCCGCATCGTAAGTGCTCGCAACCCCGCGCGCAACCCCCGCCGTCGCGCCCTCGAGGGAGGCTGCACCGCCGCCACCAGCTCGGGCTTTGTGAGCTCCCTCGAGAGCTCCCCCTCGAGAGCTCCCTCAATGGGCAGTGCTGTCCTTGCCCTATCTTTGCGCCCGGCTGCTCAGCTTGTGAATCCCTAGCAATTGGTTCCTTTAGCGGCCACAAGACTAACCCTTTGTTCAACTCAGGGCTTTGGAGCTCAAGGACAACACTGTGATTGTGGTCCTCGGAGCCTCCGGAGACCTGGCAAAGAAGAAGACAGTAAGCGAACTGACCGCCCCTCCTGTTTAGCGCCCGCTTCGCACATGCTAATTGTCCACAGTATCCCGCCCTATTCGGTCTTGTAAGCAGCTTTCTGCCCTCTCGGCACGGCGGCAGGACTTTGAGAAGCTAATCATACCCCCTGAAGTTCCGCAACCAGTTCCTGCCCAAGGACATCAAGATCGTCGGCTATGCCAGAACCAAGATGGACCACGAGGAGTACCTGCGGAGGATCAAGTCATACATCAAGACCCCTACCAAGGACATGGAGAAGCTGCTTGAGGACTTCTGCAAGCTCTGCACCTATGTCTCTGGCCAGTACGACAAGGATGACTCCTTCCTGGGCCTCAACAAGCACCTGGAGGAGATCGAGAAAGGGCGCAAGGAGGCACATCGTCTGTTCTACATGGCACTGCCACCAAGCGTCTTCACTATCGTCTCCCAACACCTGAAGAGATGCTGCTACCCAACCAAGGGCATTGCTCGTGTGATTGTCGAGAAGCCGTTCGGCAAGGATCTCGCAAGCTCTAGGGAGCTGCAAAAGTCTCTGGAGCCTGATTGGAAGGAGGATGAGCTTTTCCGCATCGACCACTACCTGGGCAAGGAGATGGTCAAGAACATCCTGATCCTGCGATTTGGTAACTCATTCCTCGGCGCAACCTGGAACCGTCACCACATCGACAACGTTCAGATCACCTTCAAAGAGCCCTTTGGCACGGAAGGCCGGGGCGGTTATTTTGATGAGTTCGGTATTGTCCGTGACGTGATGCAGAACCATCTTCTGCAGGTCCTGACTCTCCTGGCTATGGAGCGCCCCATCTCCTTCTCCTCGGAGGATATTCGAGACGAGAAGGTGCGAGTTCTCCGCGCCATTCCTGCCATCGAGCCCAAGAACGTCATCATTGGACAGTATGGCAAATCTCTTGACGGCAGCAAGCCCTCGTACAAGGAGGACGACACCGTTCCCAAGGATTCCCGGTGCCCCACCTTCTGTGCACTGGTTGCCTATATCAAGAACGAGCGATGGGACGGCGTGCCCTTCATTATGAAGGCTGGAAAAGCACTGAACGAGCAGAAGACGGAGATTCGGGTTCAGTTCAAGGACGTCACCTCCGGAATTTTTAAGGACATTCCCAGGAACGAGCTGGTCATGCGGATCCAGCCCAACGAGAGTGTCTATATCAAGATGAACTCGAAGCTGCCTGGTCTCAGCATGCAGACCGTGGTGACAGAGCTGGATCTCACCTACCGCCGACGATTCTCTGACCTCAAGATCCCCGAGGCATACGAGTCGCTGATTCTTGACTGCCTGAAGGGCGACCACTCCAACTTTGTCCGTGATGACGAGCTAGATGCCAGTTGGAGGATCTTCACGCCTCTCCTGCACTACCTCGACGACAACAAGGAGATTATTCCCATGGAGTACCCCTACGGTAAGGCAATTTCGGGCTTGCACTTGATTCTGAGATGGGTAACTAATTCTGCTCGCAGGCTCTCGTGGACCGGGTGTCCTCGATGATTTCACCGCTTCATATGGCTATAGGTTCAGTGATGCTGCTGGTTACCAATGGCCTACGACATCGGCCGTACAGCCCACCAACAAGTTGTAAGTGCTTGATTTTAATCATTCTCCCTCACGAGTTGAGTCTTATCTTTCTGGCTGGGTGATGATGGGAGACATGCGGACTGACAGCCAAAACAGCTAGAGAGTAATATCACGAGGTCTTCCGGCGCATCAGGACTGGGCAATGACAGAGCACAAGGGCGTTCCGTAGATGACGAGAATACACGGTGTCAAAACTGGTACCTGGGGTCTCAGTTGTAGAGGTGAATAGTTAAAAGGCTCTCCCAATTGACTTGTCTCCCTCCGATTTTCCCAAATACGTATTTATTCAAGTCCGAGATAAAATGTCATGAATAAGAACCATAGGTTTTGGACAATAACAGCAGTACCATCACAATAGACCGATGTTCAGGTGATTTTGCTGAACGTCTGTTGTCCCGGTTACCTGCTTGCGGGCAAGGTTACATGCAACGCGAAAGTACTGGTACATGTCCCCGACGGGGGAGAAAAGAAAAGCGGGGTCCACGTGACGAAATCGGTACTTAGGCAGGTAAGGTACGGTACTAGTCTGCTGGCGGCTGGGGGCCGGGTGCCTTTCCTCGGTTCTGCGCTCAGCTTTCATCACCACGATACCATAGACCAGGTACCTCTTTGTCTAGGACCCGTGGCTACCAAACCTTGTCGCATCCCGTGTTTCGATTCAAGACATCCGCTGTGGGCCAGAAGCTGCCTCCTTTTCTTCGTGGCTCTTCTTTGCCCCTCCTGCAGGTCCCGCGAGGACCCGTCGCTGTCATCAATCGAACCGTCCAGGCGAAGAAAGGCGCGCGTTGCCTCATCCGCGCCGGCTCCCACCTTCGCTCCCACGCCCGCGGCCGCGCCCGATCGCCACCGTCTCTGCCGAGAGTCTCACGAGAGCACCAAACGAATGGGGGCCTGAAAGCGTGTTCCACCTGGGGATTCCCACCTGCCAGACTCTGCAAGGCGGAGATTCTCTCCTGACCTCGTGCCTTGCGACCCTTCTGCGTCTCTGCTTCGACGGCCCGGTGCCATTCGCATCGCCGCGACCGGCGTCTGTCGACCTCTCACAGGTCTCTTCATCGCGACTGCCCGACACGACCTTAAATAGCCACGAGATAGGGACTTAGCAAACGGCAGGGTGAGATCTCACGAATGAGAGTCTCGCCCTTGGGAAGGAGGCTGTCAAGATGGAGATCGGGACGCAGAACGGGGCGCGCACCGACCATGACAGAGATTCGAAGATGAATGGGATCAATGGCGCGGGGATGGTGAAGCGCGAGCCCTCTCCAAACAAGGCGAAGGGAGGCGCAACACCGATGACGAATGGTTACGACACTCCAGTGGAAGCGGATGCGCCGAAGCAAGCGCAAGCAGCCTTGAACGCACCGGATCAAGCCTCCAAGATGGACAACCTGCCGCCCGAGATCGCGCACATCACGCAGAACTTCATCGGCATTCCGTTCTTGTTGCAGCGGCTGGCGCAGAAATCACATAACGACCTCCAAACGAAGATCGAGGAACTTGCAAAGATACCCATACCACAGGGGTCTCTGAATGGCAACGCAGGCACGGCGGAAGACAACTCGGAAGAGAATCAAAACAAGAAGGCTAACTTGCTGCACTTCATACAAGACATGCATGGCAAATGGGTCAAGGCTCTGGTGATTTCAGAATGGAGTAGGAAGGCCGAGCAGGTCAGCAAGTTGATCGATCTCAACGTTCACATCAACGAGCAGTTGGCGAAATATGATCAAGGCTTGGACTTCATGGGTCACATCAAGAGGGGTCTCTACCAGGCGCGATTACCAGATCCTGATCTCAAAACGGCGCTTCAAGTTCTGTCTACAGGTCAAGCGCCTTGGTTTCCTGAGGTACTGTGACTTCACTCTCGAAACGTGTTGGCCCTCGCTAATGATTAACAGTTCGGTTATATCGAACCCCCTCCCTTGACTACGGCAGAGCAGATAAAATGGATCAATGAGCTGAACACTCTGTTGTCTGTCCGGCTGAACCTCAAGGACCATGACAAGATCCCCTCTCAATTCAGAGATTACACCATCGACTCGGGCCGTGTCACGTTCAAAGTCGAGGGGGAGTTTGAGGTTGATCTAACAATTGCGGATGAGGACTTTGATAAGCAATTCTGGTTCATCGACTTCCGATTCACATTCTCGCCTGCGCCTCAAGACCTGTCCGAGGCATTGAGGGTGTTTTTGGAGATAAAGGTGAACGAGGCACTTGCCAATGATGGCCTTCGGGGCTGTTATGAACTTCTCCACGAGCTCACCCTCACACATAAGATCAATGAGCTACGAAGACAGGCTGTGCAGCTCAGCCGTGGTCGTTGGATCGAGAACATGAAGGTTGAGCGGCTGAACCGGGCTCTCTCAATACAGTACTGGACGAACCGTCTCCCCACTACCAACTCCAATTCTGGCCCGAAGAGTTGGATCATTGTGGGTGTCAATAGCGGGAGAACGACGAAGCCCAACTCGCCACCGACAACGAATCCCGCAAGTCATCTCGAGTTGCGCTGGTTCCAGGACGGGAAAGAGGTTCGCGACGTGGACGTGGCAGTCGACATCCAGGATATATCTGCAGAAACTCTCATCAAGAAGATCGTCGCGAAACATGTCGGGAACATACTGTCATCGATCTATGACAGGCTTCTTTCCAAGCCACGCTTTGAGAAGCGGCAAGCATCGATATCGCTGAGCATTGATACCGAGGACCCATCGGAATCGGCCTTGATAGTCCAGTTGACCCACGCGCAGTCATTGACTGTACGAATCAACCCAACCACAGGAATGTTCACCATGCAGCCCGCTGCGCAGTCATATATCTACAAGTGTGAAGCCTTCCTCAACCAGAGATCTCGAAATCTGGTAGAGGACGGCGTTATGCAAATAGAAAGCATCAGGTGGCAGAGCGCGTTTGGCGAACTCATCCGACTGGGCGAAGGCCAGGGCTGGCGGATGTCCCGACGGCCGGTCAATTCAGAAGAGGTCAAGCGCTTGCACGCTACCCGAGAGCCGCACAACATGCTGTGGCTCAGGCGGGAAGGCTGGGCTGCTCCTTGGTTTCTTGTTGTCTGTCTGAGCTTGGCCGGCGACACATGGTGGCTGGTAGAAGTGTAAGTTCACGTGGGTGTGGGGACTGTACCCAAAGACCGTATGCTGACAACTTTTAGCGATGCGCCCAACAACCCCAAGGTGGATTCGCCAAAACCTCGGGGTAACCAATTCATCCCTAGGAACAACATGATGTTCGAGCAATCGACTGCTCGGCTCAAATACTACAACCTTGTTCCGATTACATCCACGAATCCCAAATTCTCTGTCCCCTTCTTCACCGATCTCACCACGCTTACCACGGGCATGATTGCTCACATCAGTGACATAACGACTCTGGGAAAGAGCAGAATTCCATACGCACCAAAGTCCGCGATCAATCCTTACTTATCCTCTCGAATTAGGATGCCAGCGTTGTACGTCAGATTCGCTTCCATTCTCCCACCTCAGGGTGGCGACCGCAAGGCCCAGCGTACGAGGGACTCGTGGGCGGGAGAGTTCGTCAAGATCTTCTTCCGAGGCGTTCGCAACCCTCCATCTGCCTCCAGCAGATATTTCACGGTCTCTGCCGACGTCAGGGTAGATGTCAAAGACAAATCCAAATTTTCGCTTCTCAAGGGCCACGTCGATCATGATGTCTATTACCACACCCGTACCGGATCATTCAGGCTACATCTGCGGACCGAGATCGGAAAGTCATTTATAGATGCCCTTGCTACGCGTCTCAAGGCACTCGATAGGCTGGTTGAGTTTGTGGCTGCCATCAACAGCCGCGCAGGCACAGTGAAGTGCGAGAGCGTCACACTTCGCAAAGTCGTGTTCACCTACGGGCCCCCAAGCACGGATCAGCCGCCTGCGGATGGGCAGGTCTCGAGTCCATGGAGGGTCGTGCTGGACCTTGCGAAGAGCGAGAAAGTCAGCGTCACCCTCGAGAAGGGCAATCCGCACACAAGAATTCGGGACATGCTTGATAGACTTGTGAACTCGCCCGTTGGGTTTGAGCAGCTTCCGTTCTGGTTGCAAACGTCGCTGAGCCTTCAACGAGGCCTCGACGCGATGGAGGATGCATGGGTCGATATCGCCTCGGGCAACCAGGGCGAGCTCCAGATTGTGCCTCGCTCCATCGACTGGTTCAACATCCATTTGGACCTGCCCACCCAGGCGAACAAGCCTGCACGCCGCCTATGCCTCAGCGTCAGATGCAGGCAGCGCCGCGGACAGCTATGGTGGAGCCTGGAGCGGGCCCAGCGCTCAGGCGAGCCTCCCAGGAAGGACAATGACGAGTTTGACGCAGCCCTGCAGCCGGTCTTTGACTCGAGCGGTGATGGCTGGCTGGGCCACGGCAAGTCTGCTGTTGCCCAGTGCACGGGCACGGGCATCGAGGATCTATTGGCCAAGGTGAGCGATGCCTTGAAGGCTCTAGCCGCCGGAGGGGCTGCGCAACCCGCTGCTGGCTCGCAAGGGGCCGCGATAGTCCTGGACTAGAAATGGGGGGAGGAGGGGGTCGCGAGAGGCCCGGAAGGCCCGTGATACGATTGATAGCTTGATACCATGACGTGCCCAAGAAGATGGGGCTTATAATGAATACGTTGCTTTCGGCAATGGATCGATAGAGACCAATAAATAGTCAAAATGACAGCCTCTTGACATTGTCGATTTGGACCAGCTGCGGCTTCTTGCGCCTTCGTGCCTCCCGGACGGAAAATGAGTGATTCCAACGCCTACAAAGTGAGCTGAGTCTCTATGTCCTCTGGATGGTCGGGCCGGGCATCCTGACAGCTGTAAGGAGGATGATTCAAGTAGAGCAAGAGAGCACGAGGAGTCAAAAGTGCAGTGTCGTCTCCACCCATAGCGTGTATATATATATCTACCTGTTCTCCTCTGTAACCGATGATGTATATAGTACAGCAAACCAGGACCTATAGAATCCTGGTTGGAAGACACAAAAGAAATGTCTACAAGACAATGTTGAGGTATAAGAAAAGTCTCGTGTGCCCATGCCATGTATCATTCAACATCCATCGTACAGATCATCCCACCCAACACGCTATGAAAATGGCAAGAAAACCCCCACTGGAGAGAGAAAAGAGAAGAATATAGAAAAGTTTTCACATCGTGTGAAAAATATCGAAGGATTAGAGGCCAACAGATCAGTGGCCAGCCTTCAGTAGTCCGTCACGTCGAGGCACTCGAGCACGTCCAACACCTCCTGCGTGACAGACCTCTCGGGCTTCCTGGCGTACCCCTTGAGCACTCTCAGGCCGGCCCCGCAGGCCCGTCCCTCCTCGACGACCGCGTGCACGCCCTCGAGGCTCTTGCCCGCCTCCCTCATGGCCCCGCCGTCCGTCGTCACGGTGTCGGCGAGCTGGAAGCCGCTGTGCGCCTCGCCGGCCGCCTTCTCCATCTCGCATCGCAGGATCCAGCGCTCCCAGCTCCACGTCCCCGCGACGCCCGCGACGGAGGCCGCGGCGTCCGTGCTCCCAGGAAGGCTCCCCGGCGCCATGGCGTCCAGGCACAGAGTCTTGCCGCCCGCTGGGGGCGAGGGCTCCGGGCCGTTGGGTCCGTAGCGGACGGGGCCAGGCCTCACGGCGGGTTTCGGGCCGAGGGGCAGGACGGTCCACCCGCGGCGGACGTCCTCGAACCCGGCGCGCGACAGGCGCTGGAGGAATGACCTCGTCGGCGCAGGGTCGTAGCCCAGCGTCTTCAGCGTGAAGCCGAACTCAACGCTCTTGGCGAGGCCCAGGGGCCCGGCATTGACGATGTCCGAGTCCATGACGTTGAAGTCGACGTAGCCGCCCGGCTTGAGGACGCGCATGACCTCACGGAGGCAGCGGTCCCACTCGTCCTCGGCGTCCGCGACGTCAGAGGAGCGGAGGATGTTGTGCAGCTCCCGGGCCGAGACGACGTCGAACTGGTCGTCCGCAAAGGGCAGCCTGCCCAGGTTGTTGACGGCCACCTGCCTGTGGTTGGGCGGCCCGCGGATGTTGGAGTTGGACAGCTGGCGGATGGCCTTGGTGGTGACGGTGTAGACCTTGGCGTTCGGGTACTGCAACGCCGCGTGCCACGCCCAGTCGCACGCCGCCTGGCCGCCCAGGTCAAGGATGCGGAGGCGGTTGCGCGGCGCGCGGCGGCCCTTGCTAGGGGCGAGCGAGAGCCTCGCCAGCCGCTTGTGCACCGGCGCGCACACCAGCCTGCCGCCGTTGAGCATCTTGGTGGCGGCGACATGCCAGTTGGCGTTGGCCATCTGCTTCAGAGCCTCGGCCTCCTTGTCGAGGCGCATCTTCTCCGGGTCCTCGAACACCTCGTCATCACCGCGGGCGACGTTGGCGCTCATTCGCTTCTTGGCAGACTGGGGGACCACTGAGAGCTGGTACTTGCCCAGGAGACGGTCGCGGTGCTGTTCGCGAAGCGAGATGCGCGCAGCTTGTAGGGCCTCGAAGCGAGGGATACGGTGTACGAAAACGTCGGCGCGAGTGGAGCGCACAGTCATGAGTTGGAAAGCCCGGTAAAAGGCCGACTCTTGCCGCAGGAGCTTGGAGGGGAGGTTCCTTGGAATGTCGCCCTCGGCCGGTGCGAATGTGAGTCGGTTTGAGAAGCGGACCGACTTCTTGGCTGCTGGCGAGGCCGCGGAAATTGCTGTCTTCAAGACGGATCCCTTGGGCGGAGTCGTTGGGAACTTGTCTGAGTCCTCTGATGTTTCTTGTGACTTCTCTGTCTTGACTGCGGCTTTCTCTGGCTCCGTCTCTGCTTCCGCTTCCGTGGACTCAAAACCAACGCCTCTCAGGTACGCGAATTGCGCCCGGAGCCAAACTTCGGTACGGTTGAGGTGTGACGCAGAGATTTCTTGCTGCTTTCGGGCGTAGTTTGGGTCGTAGTCGACCACGATCTCTTTTACATGGTCTTCTTCCTTGGGTGATCTTGGTGATTGAACGTCCTCGTCGCCCTCGGGAAAGGATGGCAGTTGCGAGGGGGGAATTCTCCTCGCAGTGACGGGCTCCTGTTGGACTCGCTTCGCTGTCTGGATCTCCTCCTCAGCCGCCTCTGGCATCTCTACGACCTGCTCGACGGGTGAAGTCGACAAGTTGCCGCTGGTGATACGGAGCGGTCGGTCAATTTGGTCCAGTCTTGGTGGAGGCGGCATCACAGGCGCGGCGGCCATGTTCCACGGAACCCTGTAGAATTGCTCAGCTGTCGTTGACGTCGGGGGTGCAACATCGTCTGCTGGTGGGGTTTCGAGGTGCCATGTCGTTCGAGTGCGTGGGGAGAGGCCGGAGAAGAAACCTCCTGGTGAAGGTATGTCTAGCTTGGTCAGACCAGTCAGAGACCTCTGTTGAGCTGGTGAGAGCATGATCGTTGCCCTCGGCAGATTCCTGGTGATGAGACGAGGTGGTGCTGGTCTTGACTCTACCATTGGCTCCCTGGAGACGTCGATCGCTTGTTCGTGTTGCGGCCGGTCTTCCTCATCTGCCTCGGGGCCAGACAAGGCCTGTAGAGTGGCCAAGGCACCAGGTTGAAGGTGAATTCCGGTCCAGTCCCCATTATCCTCGGCATCCTCGTTACCCATGACTGGAGTAGGAGGCGCCGACATGTTCGCCAGCTGTTCGGACGTGAGGCTGCCATCTAGGGAGCCGTCGAGCGATGGTGGTGCCGAGATGGTCGGTATGGGTTGAGCTTGCTGAGCCTGCATGTAGGACAACATGGCTGGAGACATGGCGACAGCGGAAGGAGGTGTTGGGGGGATCGGCGATGCGAGTGTCTTCTTCAACTCTTGGTGCTTTGGCGACCACTTGACACTGTTCAGCTGGTGTCCACCCGGAATTACTAGTTGTGGCAGTGCTTTTCTGGCCTCGTTGGATGGTGCCTTCAGGGGAACCATAGGACCTTTTGACTTCCTATTCTTTGGCGCTCTCATCGACTCGATCTCAGGTTCGCTCTCGTCAGATACCCCGTACAGATCGTCAAACTCGGTCACATCGGTCATGACACTCTTCCTGTTCCAAGAGTTGGTTCGAGAGGACGAGCTCTGTGAGCTGCCCTCCTCACCGGAGGCCGAGGCCGACGAGGGTGAGGATGGCAGTGTTGGTGCGGTCATGAAGTGGAAGCCCCTTGGGGTAGGGAAGGCCCTTGGGGTCGGCAGGTCTTCGCTGGATATCGCATCGAGGGGAGCCAACCATGCCTGAAGCCTTTCCTGGTCTGCAGCCTTGTCCCTGGCAATCTTCCTCCTCATGAATGGTGACCGGGAGGGCGACGCGTGGTCCTCGTTCTCCTCCTCGATTATTGTATTAAGAGCACGGGGCCGCCTCCGACCCTGCGGAGTGGGCTCGTGGTCAGCATTTTGCGGGAGAATAACCAGTTCTGCCATTATAGGAAATTTTAAGTTGCAGTTGCAGTAGCACAAAATGCGGTCATCATAGGATATAAAAAGAACCCTATCCTCCGGAGGATCGAGACTGCAATACGACGCTCGGCGCCGTAGTGGGGAAAACAGGACTAGGAGATGAAATAAAAGGCTAACGATAGGATGGCTCGCACAGCGAAGCTCTCAAATCTCGCAAACTCGGTCGAGTTGTCGTGTAGAAAGGAAATGGGGAGAGGAGGAGGCCGTCCGTGGAGGACTGGGGTGACGGATTCAGTTTTATCAGAACGGCGACCTTGTCCCGTCTGGCAGGCGCCGGGCATCATGAGTCTCGCACAGAAGCCCCACAGTATCCCATCGAGCGGCTAATGGCGTGCAGCAGAGGACAGCAAACTCTGGGCAAGCCGGGCCAGCACGGCGATGGAGGTGTGACTTCACCTGCTTGGGCAGTGCTCGCGCGTTCCCCTGGTCGGCTGCGACCCAGCATGGCCCGCAGAACCCGTCACTTTGTGGGCGGACGCTCGCATGGAGGAGGGGGGGGGGAATGATGGGGTGCTCCCAGCTGCCCACGACGACATCAAGACGCGGGAGGGTTGCAGTGGACCGGCGCAGGCCAACCAGGACGTGCAGCAGGATGGTCCATTGAAGACACGACGAACGACTGGCTGGCGCGCGCCAAGTCAGATAGATCCAACATGGACCTCATTGGGAGGGAGCACTGCAGCGAGGCCGTCCAATGGTGGGTCGCAGCGCCTGCAGCGCGCCAACGTGGGCGCTTAGGATGCGTTGCCATTGTCACCCAACGCAGGTCGCCGGAAATAGCGGGCGCAGTGGGACAGGCGTCCATCCCCTGGTCGCATTGCAGGTACCAAAGTCCTTTTGTACGTCAGCCTCATCGTCTAGATAAATTGGCTGACCATGCCATGCCATGCCGTGCCGCACTGATGTCGCCATAGACGCCGTTTGGGGGCCGATTCCGAGAGACAACGGCCCTTCCTTGGTCCAAGGAGACGCGAGAAAAAAAGCAGCGCAAACGGGGTTGCACGATGATCCGGACCGTGGCCGTGAGCGACGGTGGCCGCTCTTTGCTGCAGCAAGTCGACGGCCAGCTGGCCGGCCACCCAGCGGGGACTGCGGAGACCTGAGACCGACAAGGTGTGGAGGGCTGCGCCGGGCTGTTCGAGATCAGACAATGCAATTGTTCAACATGCCCTTTGTTGGACACAGAGTCCGGCGGCTGCTGAATGTGATCTGGCATCGTTCCCGCTGGGTTGGGCGTGTGTGGGGGAAGGGGCCGTGGGGCGCAAGACATCCTTGACGCCTGCCCGCTGCGACGCTGCGGAAGATTTGCCCGAGCAAGAGTCACCGCCCCACTATCGGAGACAATCTCACCTTCCTCCTGACCTCCCTCTCAACCACTACACTTCAAGTAGACTGGCCGTTCACATATACCAACGAAATCGGTAATTTTTCTCCCCCAAGTTTCCAGATGGGTGGGTTAAGACTGGAATATTGTTGCGGACTTGCCCTTCCTCTCCTTGTTTAGCCAGTTCCTTCATTGACTCCTGCAGGCTTAGAAGAGCTACGCGCACTCTCCTCCCGCCCCTGCATGTCTCGGCTGCACCCGTACCAGACTTGGGACTCGATAAAGTCACATATATCCCACTTGCCCTGCCCCGCAAGCGATGTCTGGGCAATCATGCCCTCGCAAATTCTCCAAGAACGGAACCCCTGGGAACGTTTGCCGCGGCAAGGGCAGTAACGCTGGGCCTAGATGCCTTGACGGGGCTTGAATCATGACAGGAACTGGTAGTACCCTGGCCGGGGCAAGCCAATTGCGCACATCCACCGCGGCCAACGAGTTGACGCCGCTCTGCGACGATCATGCTTGGCCACAGATCCATGCTCGTATCATGTTCGTGTGTGGTGTTTCGTTTCTGATGGCGACTTCGAGTTTGCGCCGACCACTTGTTTCGAGCGCTATCTTCGCATCCACAACGCCGCGGACCAGGAGAGTCTTCGAACAGTAGCAGTTCGACTAGCGCCCCTTCACTAGAAATGTTATTGGGGCCGAACTGTGGATCATATGGGCTCTTGTAGAGACGAGAAGGTTTGCTTGTTGGAAGGTGAAGAATTCCAAGTCTCTGTGCGAGCTTTCAGTTTGTCGCCACTGTGTATACATAGGCTGTTATGGATGGACTTTTTGCATAGATGTGTGTTTTGTGACGACGAATTTTCTTGATGTCACTTCCTGCAATTCGTTGCAGGTAAGCACAATAGAGTCCAGAGTAGTCGAGTATGTGCAAAGGCTGGTTTCTAATTTGTGTCTCCGAGATAAATTTGGGGATACTAAAACCGGTGAGGAACATGGTTTCATGCAGCGGTAATGATGGCGAGACTATCCGCATGTGGACCTGTATCTTGAAACCCATGGAGGTGTCAGGAACGGTCGTGATCAAGCAATCCATGATACGCTGCTGCAAATGACATGACCTGTCATTGTGCCCACCCACTATCCACACTGCCTCAACCGCCGTGGAAGTATTGGTCGGTTGTCAGAAGAGCGGCTTTTGAGTCAACTTGTTGGTCGACGAGGCACGCTATAAGTCAGGGTCTGCACATTCGGCCCACCCCCTGATTCGGCCCACTCCACACCTGCGTGCACGTCAGGTCCACCCCATTACATATTACGCGTTTTCTTTATGATGGAATTTTCTCTTCTCTTTAAACTTTTAATATATTATTATTTATTAATTATAAAGCTATATATAGAAAAAGATATAGGTGCAATACTTAAGGCGATTTAAGTTAACATTAATATTTAAAAGGCTTCCTTATATTAAAGCATCCTAAAGATTATACTTTATAATTATTATTATAGCGCTTAAAATTATTTAAATGCCTTAAAATTTTAAATAAGGTTATTATAAATTTAAAAAATATATTTATTTAATTAAGTAATTAATTAAGTAATATTAAAGCTATTAATAATATATTTTAAAATAAGGTTTTTTATAGCTTAAATAGCTACTTTTTAAAAATATTAATTATTCTTTAATAAGCATTAATTAAGGGCTTTTCTTATTAAAAATCTTAAGATTTAAAGTATATAAAGCCATTAAATAATTTTAAGCTAAATAAATAAAGTAAAAATAAATATAATTAAAAAGTAATTTAACCTTTTTTAATTATTAATAATTATAAATATTTACTTAAAAAATTATTATAATATTAATAAGGAGGGTATAGCTAAAAGTAAGGAAAAGAATAATATTATTTTAAAACCTAAAGAAAGGAAGGTTATTATTTAAAAAAGTTATAAATTATATATATAAACTTCTTTTCTTAAGTATATCTTTATAATAAGTAAATTATACCCTTTCCTTATTATCTTTAAGGGAAAGTTAATTTAATAATAATAATTTAAAACCTTTAAGAATTATAAGAATTAAGAGTTTATAGTAATATTAAATGGTTAAATAAATAATATTATAATACTTAAGTAGCTATAAAAGATCTTTATTTCTTAAATAAAGTTAAATGCTTTTAAAGAATAATATTTATTAATAATAAATAGGTATAAAAGCTATTATATTTTAAAGTTTATATAAAAATGCTTTTTATATAAGATTTATTACCTTTATTTATCGTTATATACCTTATATATATTATAACCTCTTAATTTAAAAGTATTCTTTAGCCTTAAGGTAATATATAAGAAGGAAGCAAGTCTTTTAAACCTTTATATTAATAATATTTATATTAAGAAGTAATTATTCCTTTATTATTATTAAAAGGTAAGATTTATAGTATTTAAAAAGAAGTATATGCTTTTTAAGTAATAAGGGATTAATTTATAGCTAATTAATATAGCTAAATTATTAATAAATGCAATTATGCTTAAAAACTTTAATAAAATAATATTTATACTTATTTTTAATAATGCTATAAGAATTAAAAGACTTAAATTAATTATTTTAATATTTATTAAGCTATAAAAAAGGGTTTTTTTAACTTTTAAAGCATTTTAAAAGATATAAATTACTTTTATTAATTATAACTTATAAAAATACTTAATTATAACTTAATAATTATTCTTTAAAAAAGTTTAAAAAGGATATAATAAAAAAGATTAGTAATTAATAATGCTTTTATAAGAAAATTAAGTTTTTAAAGATAAATTAGTAGCTATAATACTTTAAAAGAAAAAAAAGGTTAAAATAAGCTTAAGCTTAATCCATATTTATTAAAATTAAGTATATATATAAGGCATAAATTAATATTAATATAATTAAAGATAATTTAGTAAAAATAAATATTTTTAAAGATACTATAAATATAAAGGAATGCATTGTTATGGGTGGTGATGATAATTTAGAGTGACTTTAATTGAAGGGGTGGTGTGGCGAGGAGGATCGTTTTGGTGGGCCGAATCAGGGGGTGGGCCGAATGTGCAGACCCTGACTTACCGGCAAGCCGCAGGGAATCCCGCCGCATATGAAAGAGCCCATCGCCGCCGGGCAAAAAACTATGGAGCAGCTCGTGAGGCTCAAACTTCGTGTGGAATAGTTCGCAATCTCAAGTCGCCCTCAGAAATTGGCCGTGATAGCTGGTCACAGAGCCAGTATTGGATTGACTTGCCAGCAGGCGCAATTATTCGGACAGAACTAGTCGGTAGAGAATATGTTCCCCAGGCTTGTAGAGTTCAGACACATGGAGTGTTTTCTGTGCAGACTTCGTTGTACCATTCTTCCCATGAACCCGGTGACATCTAACCCTGCTTCGGGCTCTGTGTCGCACAATCGTGTGCCACTGACCTTGATTTCAATGCCTGGCTGTAATGAATTCCTATGCCACAGCAGTCAATTCGCATTGATCTATCCCCTAGTGCCTCCTCCCTCTTCTTTTCTAACAATCCTCACACCCCACTCTCCCATAAACCCAAACTTCTTTCCACACCTCACCTCAGTCCTATGACCTCAGCTTTCAGTAGCGATGCTACTAATTGGTAATACCCAGGCCCCCCTTCTCCCTCTCCTTGCTATCCTCGCCGTAGTAATATTGCGTCCATCGACAACTCTGAGTCAGCTGGGCTCCTGCATTCAGGAAGTGGCACGCGAAGAGCAGATAGTTCTTGGGGGTGACGGCTAGGGAGTAGCGCATGAAAGTGAAGGCGTATATGGTGAGAGCGCCTGTCATAGGACCAGAGATCCTAGATCAAAGCATCAGCCTCACGTACGAACGGCAGGCTTCTTTCAACTGGCGATAGACTTTGTTTCCAGGGTTGTTTGGTCTAGTTAGCATTCCGGGGTCCATCTTACAAATCTGGACTCTTGTAGGTATCAAGGATTGCCGCGACTGGGGTTCCAAAATTTGAGGCTGGGCCCCAGAAGTCTGCATCTTGTAAGTATGGTTCAACACAGGAGTCCAGCAAGGAAATATGAATCGACCTGCTCAACCGTTCAATGATAACTAAACATTCAACATACGGGTAGAACAGAAGTAATCAGAGACCTTGTTTGACCTAATTTTCTGGTTCAAGGCTCGAATAAATGCGAATGCTCCGGACATGGCTGGATTCCCGTGCGTGCCGCGGTGGCACGTTCAACTTGCTGAGTTCAAGGTGGTGGAGCTGAGAGGCTGAATGGGAGGGACGATTAGGCGTGTTGGAATTTGAGAATTTGACGGGAAGCCCCCTTTTTTTTTTGGTCCGTAGCCGGAGCTTTGCTGCGCGGCGGCAACATTGGAAGGATTCGATGCGTGATCTCTGGATTGTGATATGTGATCTTAGTGCCTTTGTAGGGTTAAGCAAGTGGGTTTGAACCAACGACCTGGATTCTGAGTCACTCAAACCTTCCCGATTCGTATGCCCACTAGTATTCCACCACTTACTACTACCGTGGGAATGATCCACAACCAAAGTCTGATTTGCACCTACCCTCCACGATGACTTCAGCCTTCAATGTGAAAGCAGCTCTCCCGGGACGGAGGCTCTGATCGTTGGACTGAAGCTGACAATATCGACTGGCACACCAGTGTATCATGCCAAAGATGTCATCGGGCAGAATGACGAGATGTCGACTGGCCAACAGAGACAGAATCAAGCAAGGTCTAGTGTGAAAAGGTTTTCGGATGTCATTCATTGTCTTTTAGGGGATAGTTACGCTCCACATTTGGGAACATTGAGAAACATCGAGCCGAGCATCATTCAGACTTCAACGATACAGGATAATACTCTCTGTACATGATCATTGGGAGGCTGAGACTAGCCCAACTGACACAACGGCATGTTGTCAAGATTGTCGAAATTCTCATAGCGATATAAGCCTTGGTCTCTTAAGGTGAACCACCAATGCAGAAAGAAATGCCGAGCCGACAATAGACAAGTTCGACGACAACATATCAATCACAAAACAGGTAGGAAAGCGAAAAACACTCAATGTCAGCCAACCTTCTGTTTACGGCTTCCAGGCCGCATACCCAAGCTTTCGACGTGGCGAGCAACCGGCTTGGCTGGGCGCAACGCGTCAAGGTTTCAGGTCAAACTCCGCCATGCAAAAGCCAAGATGAAAATTGTGAAGTCGACGCGGCGGAAGGCCCAAGCTGTCTTTCCACCCACAATCAACCCACTGCAACTGTTGGCAAGTACGACCCTCGTTACTTGGAAGGCTACTTTAGTTATCCCCTCCGGGGCATGTAGCCTCTTAGAACTTAAACAAAATAATACCAATACATAATTGCTTCCTATATAATTATTATATATATAAGAAACCTATTAATATTAATTAGTGGTTATAGGTATTATAAATTAATAAGGTAAAAAAGGCAATCCTATAAGGATTTCCCTAATTTAAAAATTATATTCTTCTTATTAATAAGCATTATATAATAATAATTACTTCTTTAAGCCTCTTTATATTATTAAATTCCTTAAGTAAATATTGCAAAGATTAAATAAATTAAATAGCATTTCCTGCAATATCTATATATATATTTATTGCTATTTAAGAGATATGCATTTATTATATATAAAACTTTATTAAAAACAAACTTATTTTTAAATTCTTTTTAAAACTTAGCAAAACTTAATAAAGCTTTATTTTATTAAATAAATAAAACTTATAATTATTATAATTATTAAATAAATAAAGCTTATAATTATTATAATTATTAAAGTTAATATAATGCTATATTATAAGTAAATGTAAGTTATATATTATACTTTTAATTAATATAAAAGGACTTAATAATGGGAAAAAGCCCTAGCTTTTAAGGCTTAAAGAAATTAATAACTTTTTCCTTTTAATAATTATAACTTACTTATTATTAAATTATTATTATTAACTTACTCTTAAATATTACTTATTTTATTAATATTTCTTTATTTTATTAATTTTATTTCTTATAATATTTATTATAAAAATTTATAAATATAGCTAATAATATTAAGAAGCTATTAGCTTTTATTAAAGGGTATATAATTAATAAAATGCTTGCTTAAACTTTAATTAATTTAACTTATTATAAATATATTAACTTAAAATTATAGTTTATGGCCCTTATATAAGGAGCATTAATAAAATATTTAATTACTTACTTAATAAATACTTTAATAAGCTATATATAATAAAACCTTTATAATAATAACCTTTTTATTACTTATTATAAAGATTATATAATATAAATATAGGTAATATTTAAAGCATTATTAAATTTTTATTAATAATATTTAAAAGTCTTTCTTTAAATATAAGATATTTATATAAAATATAATAATTAATTTATAATATTATAATTAATTATTATAGCTTAAGCTAAGGAAAGATTAAAATAAATTAATAATAAGCTTTATAATACCTTATTAACTTTAAAATTAAGCATAAATAAATATTATATATAACTTTAAAGATAGTAATTATAAGCATAGCCCTTATAAGAGCTATGGGCAGGCTTTAAATAATAATAATTATTAAAAGGATAGTTCTTAAAATAATATTTATTACTACTATTAGCTTTAAGTATATAATTATAGAATTTAAACTTAATAATGCAATTTATTAAAAATTAATATAATTAGCAGGGCTTATTATTATTAATAAAAAGATAGAAATAAAGCTTATATTAAAGATATATATTATATTTAATATAACCTTAAGCTACCTTAAAAATACCTTTACTAAATAAAAAGTATAACCTATATAAAACTCTTTCTTTATAATATATTCTTAATAAATACTTAAATTTAGTAAAGTTAATATAGTTTATAAAAACCTTTAATAACTTTTATAAGTATATTAAGGATTTATATAATTTATTAAATAATAAAATAAAGATATTTTTTAATATTTATTATTATATTAAAATTTAGCTAAGTTAATTTTATATAGTTTTTCCTTAAATATTTAAAGATTAAGCTAAGGCTTATTATCTTTATTTTATAAATTAAATTAATATATTTATAATAATATGCTTTAAAATTAAGATATATTTTAATATAAACCTTAATTATTAATATTATTATATAAATTAAATAATAATAATATTTATAAAAATAAAAGTATAAAACTTAAATAAAGACTTATATAAGGTTTTATATTTAATGCTTAATAAGCTATAACTTTATTAATAAGCATTAAGTTAAGATTATGCTAAAAAGGATAACTTAAGAATAATAATAATTAAAGCTTATAAAAGAATTTCTAAGCTAAAAATAGCTTTTTTTAAGTTAGCTTAATTATATAAAGAGTTATTTTTAAATCTAAGATTTATAATAAAAACATAACTTAGTTATATAATTATAATTTATATTATAAATAAAGTTTTAAATTAATATTATATTAATTATAAATATAATGATTAAAAGTTAAAGAAAGGATAATAGTTATAATTTTAAGTATTTTAAGGAAATTAAAGATTTAGTTAATTAAACCTAAATTATTTAAGCTTTAAGTAGCTAAGATTTTATAATATTAGCTATAAAGCTTAAAATAATAATGCTTATAAAAAAGAAAGAGAATAACCTTAAAAGAAAAGATATTATATTTATAAGAAGGAGGAATGTTAATTAATTAAATATTTAGCTAATAAGCAATATTTAATAAAAAAAATTTACTTAATATAATGTAAATATAAAGGTTATAATAATAACTTTAATACTTTTTTAAGTAAGTTTAAGGGATATAAAATAAATAATAAAAATAAATTTTATAAATATAAAGATAAATAAGATTAAGATAATAATTATAATAGCAATACTTATATTATAAAGGTAGGACTTAATAAAAAGGTTTATTATATAAATATTAATTTTTTAGCTAATAAAGTATTTATATATTAAATTATTAAAAATAATATCTTTTAAATAAAAATAATTATCATAATTAATTAATTTATCTTAAAAAATAAATATAATTAAACTTATTTTTAAGGAATCCTATTAAATATTAAAGTATTATTAGTATTTATAGCTAAATATAAGTAATTTCTTATATTATAATAAAAAAACTTAAAGTATTAAATTAATATAATTATTATAAGAAAAGCTAAAGTTAAATTTAATAATAAAATAATTATTAATTTATTTAGCATAATAAAAGTTTTTACTTTAATTAATTATATTAACTTTTATATTTTTTAAGCATAAACCCTATTCTTACTTTACTTAATAAATATAAATAAGCTTTAAGTATATTATAATAATATTATAAATAAAATAATTTCTTTTAATGGTATAATTATTATATTAATACTTAAAAAATAGGGTTACTTATAGTTTTTCCTAAACTAAACTATTAATGCTATATATTTCCTTTAAAAAATAAAAATAAAGAAACTTTACCCATGCTTTAAATACTTATTATAAATTAATTATGCTAAATGCTTAAAAAAGCTAGTAATTTAAATATTAATAAATAAATAATAATAAAGATTAAAAAGATATATTATTATTATTAAATAAATAAACTTATGCTTAAGCATTTTAAGTTTATATTATATAATAATTATAAATTTAACTATAAAATCTTAATTAATATAATATATTTAAGCAAATATTTAATTCTTTATATTATAAACTAAGTTACTACTTTCTAAAGAGCAAAATTCTTAAAATTTATATTTATAAAAACTATATAATAAATACTGCAAATGCTTTAAATTAATATATATTAAGAACTATTAAATATTATTAAATATAATATAAAAACAAACTTTATATCCTTGGAATTCCATTTAAAGGCATAAATAATGGAAATTAAATATAAATAAGTTTCCATAAAAATATATTAATTCATTAAAAAAATTAAGAAATATTATTAAGCCCTTAAATAAGCATATAAAATCCTATATATTAAATTATATAATAATATAAATAATAATATTATTTTATAAATAGCTATAAAAGCTATTAATAATATTATTAAACTAAATAAATTAATCCTTATACTTTTAGTTTTTAATGCTTATTTATAAGTATTGCATAAGTTATTATTATTATTATTAATATAAAAATAAGTAAAAGTTATTTTAAAGGCTATAAAGATATTGTAAAAAACCATAGCTAAATAATAAGTATAAAATATATTAAATATTAAAGTTAAACTTATCTTTAATATAAAATATTTATTATAATATAAAGTTTGTATATAAAAAGAGAAAAAGAGATAAAAGGGTTTATATAAGGTTATTATTATAAATAATTATAATATAACCTTAAATATGCTAAATAAAGCTATAATATTTAAGTTAATAATTATTTAACCATATTATTAAAATAATAATAAGGAAATGCAATCCTTATAAGCAAAAAACCTAGCCATAAAACCTTAAATATAATCTATTATATAATCACTATTACTAAAGATAAAAAACTGCATTATTATATTATATATCTTAAAAAAAAAATTATAATTTAATAATTAAATTAAGATAAAATAAAGTTATTATAACATTAAGCTTATTATTTAAAGAATTTAATAACATAAAAATTAATAATCTTATTATTAAAGGTATTTTTTAAATTAAGAAATAATTAATAAAGTAATATAATAAACATTATTTCTTTAAGTTTTGCATAATATAAAAAGTAAAAGATAAAATTATAAAACCTTATAAAAAATCCCAATTTATTATTTAAAGTTATAATAATAATAAAAAGAAATTAATCTTAATGCAAAGCTTAATTATTTAAAGAATAAGCTAATAAATAATCCTTATATTTACCTCTTTATTAATTTAAAAAAAAGGCATAATTCTTATACTTTAAGATATTACTTAAGCCTACTTTTAAGCAAAGTTAAAATTATATAAAACAATCCTTATAAAGCTATTAAAAAAACTAAAAAATAAATACCCTTTAAGCATAATTATTTATATTATCTAACTCTTATATAATATAGCAAAATCCAGCGTTTATTAATTTAATATATATTAAAAATATTATTAATAAAAGCTTAAAATAAATTGCTTTATATATAATTCTTACTTAATAATTATAAAGCCTATATAACCCTTTAAAATAATAAATATATAAATAAATAATATATTAATTCTATTTATATTAAAATTTTAAAATAAAAAGGAAATTAAGATAAAAGTTATAAAATTATAAGGAAAATTAAAATAAGAGTTAATATTTAAAAACTTAATAAATTATAATAAGGCTTGCATAATCATAAACATTACCAGCTTAATTATTATTTAATAAAAGGGATAAACCAATAAACTTACCCTTATTAATGCAATAATTAAAAACGCTTCTTAAAAATACCTTAAATAAAGAGCTTATAAAGCATATATAGCTTTAATTTATTAATTAAAAGCTTTATATAATCTTTTAATAGTTATATAAATATAAAACCTAAAGATAAGAAATTATAAAAGCTTAAATATATAATTATTATAATAAATAAATAATGCTATGCAAGGAATTAAGTATATACCCTTAAATCTTAAAATAGCAAAACTTTTTATATTTATAAATAAATTATTTATAAATAACTAAAACTTAATATTTTAATTTAAATATATTATTATCCTTATAAATAAAACTTATAAGGAAATTAAGGAATTTATAATAATAAGCAATATTTTTTATTAATTATTAATAAAATATAAATATATTATTTAAAGCATATTAATAAGTAAAATTTATAATATAATAAATAAAGTAAATATTAAAATCTTCTTAGCTATAATAATTAAGATAATTATAAAATAATTCTTATTATTAAATATACCCTTAATTATTTATATAAACTTATATAACTTATATAAATGCCTTATAAAGCTAGAAATAATAAAGAAAAAGCACCTTATAATTAATATTATATTATTATAAGAATTATATAAAATAAGAAAGATTGCTAAAATAAGGTAAATAAATAAAAAAGATAACCTTATTAATATAATAATAAAATTAACTTTAAATACTATATTATAAAAGTTTATTAATAATAATAAGCTTTATATATAAGTAAATAAGTTAATTAAGAAACCTAAAATAGCCCTTTTTTATTAAGGAAAAAGTAACTTATTATTAATATCTTTTCCTTTTAACCTTATTATCATTAATTGCAAAATCTTATACCTTTTAAACTTAAACCCTTAATATAAACTTTAATCTTTTATACTTTAATTAAAACCTTTTTAATATCTTATTATATATAAAGATAACCTTATAATTATTAATATTATTAATAATTATTATTTTAAAGTTAACCTTATTATTATTATTACCTTTTGCTATTATTTATTAATAATAATATTAAAACCAACTTTTATTAAATTTATTTATAACTTATTAACTTTTCTTATAATTAAAAAATAAATTAATAATTATTATATAATAATTGCAAAGTTTTATATTATAAACATTTATTTTAATTATTAAATTTCTATAAAATCTTTTTCCTTTTTATTATAATAAAGAATATTAATAATAACTTATAAAAATTATTTAATACTTTTATTAATATACTTTATAAGGATAATAATAATAAGCAAAATTATTTAATAAATATTGCATTTACTTTCCGCGCTAAGAATATATTTAATATAATCATTATTATGGTTGCTATTAATATAGCTAGTATTAAAAGTAGCCTTATTGCAACCCTTAATTAAAATTAGGATTTTCTTATAAACATTGCAATTATAACCTTAATTAATAAAATAAGCTTTATAATTATAACCTTAATTAATAAGATAAATATTGTAATTATAACCTTAATTAATAAAATAAATATTATAATTACATTCTTATTAAGCAATAAAATAAAGATTAAAATTATTATTAAGGCTATAAAAAAGGCTAAAATTACCTTAATTAATAAAAATAAAAATAAGCTTATTAATTTTACTAATTCTTATAATAAGGTTATTGCTAATAATGCTTATTTAATAAATATTAATAAGAATATTAATAATAATAACTCTTATTTACTTACTTATTTAATAAATATTAATAAGAATATTAATAATAATAACTCTTATTCGCTTAATATTAATAATAATTCAATTATTATTAATAATAAAGATAATTAAAATTAAGTTAATAAAATTTTAATAAAAATCGTAAAAACTATCTTTAACTTTACTTTTATGTTAAGCATTAAAAAAAGTAAGCTATTTATTAAGGTTAATTTTTATAAAATTATTAAAATTAATAAGCTAAAAATTATAATTATAACTTAAGCTAAAATATTTTTCTTAAATAATGTTATTATAATAATTATTATTTAAATTATTAATAACTTTTAATATTAAGATAAATAAATATCTTTTAATAATATAATTAAAAAGCTATATATTTATATTAAAAGCATTAAAACTCTTAATATAAAACTATATAGCATTTTTAATAATAAAAACTATTAAGGTAATTATTATCTTAAATATTAAATTATTATAATCTTTATAATAAATAACTTAATAGGAATTTTAATCTTAAGTATCTTTTATATATATTAAATTAAAAAGATTTAATTATTAAAAAACTAAATTATTATATTAACTTAGCTTTAAAACTTTTTACACTAAATTATTAATAAATACATATAAGGCTTATATATAAAGAAATTTATTAAGAAATATATATTATTGCTTAAGCAATCTAAGCAAAAAATAATTATTAAAAAAATTAAAAAGAATAATAAAAAGTAAGAAAAGGACTTAATAAATAATTAAGCTGCTTATAATGCTTAATTTTAAAAGAATAAAAAGTAGCTAAAAGAAAATAATTTAAAATAATATTAAATATATTTTAATAATAAAAGTAAGGATAAAAATAATAATATTTATATTATAAAAATATATAATAAAAATAAATATAAGTTAAAAGGTTTAATATTAGCTTTATAAGCATTAACTTTCTTTATAAAAAAAGATTTAAAATTAAGGCTCTTATGCAAAAGTTAATAATTTTTATAAAAAAGCAACCTTAAAAGCTAAGTATTAAAAATAATAAATATAATATTTAAAAAATAATATAATAATAAAGATTATAAGTTTAAAAAATAATATAATAATAAGGGTTATTAAGATTTGCTTTAAAACTTATAAGTTATAATTTTAAGCCTTTTTAGCAATACTTTCTTATATTAAAGATTATATATACTTAATATATAATAAATTATAATTTTAAGGCTAATTATAATAAGGATTATATATACTTATTAAAAAAAGAAAAAAACTATAAATATTAATAAGTATAACCTTTATTATTTAAAAGATTACTTTAATTATTCCCTTTAAGGTACATAGCCTTTTAAAACTTAAATAAAACAATACCAATATATGATTGCTTCCCATATGATTATTATACATACGAAAGACTTACCAACAGCAACGCTCTAATTGTAAGCAAACGGTATTACCAATCAACACAGGGGCTATACGATCAAACATAGTTAAAACAATGCGCTTCATTTTACCACATATATATATATGTCCTTCAGTTAGTGAGTCCAATGTGATTTTTAACCTAACTATCAAAGATTTCTTATTATTCTTTCATCCCAACACGAAGGCCAACACATGTACCCCAGACTTTTTATTGGACCTATTCACTCTCCATCACAATGTCCCGGATCCCTACGTCAGAGTACGATGCCGTGGTGAAGACGGTGCAGACCTATGTCGACGGCCTCGCCGCCGGCGACAACGACATCCTACGCAAGGCCTTCCACAAGGACGCGACCATGTACGGGTTCACAGCAGACAAGAACCTCCTCGGTGGGCCGATCGATAACTTGTATGGTTATGTCGACACGGTCGGCAAGGCGCCAGAAATCAAGGTGCGCCTGGATGTGCTTGGGATCACCCCGACCACAGCTGTGGTCAAGGTCGAGATGCCTACCAGAGGGAAGGGGGGGTTTTGTTTAGGTCACGCAATGCAATCATGCTTTAACGTTTAATTAAAATTTTGAGATTATAGTATAATACTAGCAAAAGGCTGTAAAAACGCTATTAAAAATAAAGTATATTAAAGCTTTAAATTATATTATATTAATAATATATTAACGTTAACTTAATATTATATAATATTAATTAAAAGTTTTAATTTAAACGTTATTAACTTTAAACTTATTTTAATTTTTAATAATATAATTTTATAAATCCTCTTATTATAGTTATGGACGTGCCATAGGGGGACAGCAGCATTGGGCACGATAGGCACTATGGGCAATAGGCATTATGGGCAATTAGCACTAAAGTACCGGCAGGCAAGGATTACGTATTGCCGCATATAACCACCCCTAAATAATTTATAGCCAAAGGGAGGTTTTATAGCCTATGGCCGCAACCCTCCTTCCTTTTATATAGCCAATTTAAATACAACTAATTTATTATTAATTAATATATATTAACTTAGCTAATATTAATTAATAATTACCTATAAATAATTATAAATAATAAGATAAATAAATAATAAATTTATATTATTATTAATTAAGTAATAATTATTAATAATGAAAATTATTATAATTAAGTTATAATATTTATATTAAATAATTAATATTAATATTATAAAGATAGGCAATTATTAATAATAAAACCCTACTTAATTAAGTATTAATAGCTATATTATAATTAAAATTAATAAAAAGAAATTAATAATGCCTTAACTTTCTTATTATAAAGATTTAATTTATTAATTAATAAATCCTTAATAATACCTTAAATTTATTAATTATATAATGCATTTTATTATATAATTAACGCTAAAAATGCTTATAATTACTTTACTTTAATATAAATAATAACTTATATTTACTTAAGTTAATAAATACTCTTTAATAAATACTCTTTTATTATATAATTAATACTTTCTTTTTATACTTTAAAATAACCTTATTATATTCCCTTAATCACTCTTTTTCTTTTCTTTTATATATAAATTACTTAAATATTTTAATAGCTTAATAAAATAATTAAATTTAATAATAATGCTAAGGAAATACTTTTAAATATTAATAATACTTTTATATAAAAAATTTAATTATTTTTTAATTTTAATAAAAGGTTTTAAAGTTAATAAGTTAATCTTAATTATTAAAATAAATTTATAATAAAAGTAAATAATATAATTAATTAAGTAAATATTATTATTCTTAAGTTTATAAAAGAAATAATAAAATATTAAAATATAAATAATAATTTACTTTAATGCTTTATAAAAAACTTTACTTTTTAAAATATAATAATATTTAAAAAGTTAATTATTATTTAAAACTTTAAGAAATTCCTTTAAAAAAGAAAAGTTAATATTAAAGAAAGCATTAATAAGTAATATATTAACTTAAAAGTATTATTTATATATAATAAATATTCTTTATAATGAGAAAAGGAATTATATAAGGCAATTAATATATATAAACTCTTTAAGTTTTATACTTAATGGCTTTAATCTTAAAAGCTAAAAATAATAAATATTTAAGAAATATCTATTATTTAAAAAATTTAAAAAACCCCAGCTTTTAATATAATTTTATTATTTATAATTTTTACTTCTTTTTATTAAAACTTAAAGCAATTAATTCTCTTTATTAAAAATAATGAAAGATCTTAAAGATTATAATCTTTATATTTTTAACTATTTATAAAATTAAAATAAAACTTTATTTAATTAACTCCTTTATAATAAATATTATAATTATTATCTTATAAAAAGGAAATATTTAATTACTTAAATATAAGGGCTTTTTTAAAATATTAAGAAATATTATTTTAATAAAGATTAAGTTTATTAAAATATTTAAAAACTTTATAACTTAAGAGATAATTTACAAGCATTTTCCTTAAGGAGTTAATAAAAACTTTATACTTAGCATTATTATTTATTATAATATTAAAATCCTTATAATTATATAATTTATATTAAAACCTATTCCCTTAAGAAATAATAAATAATCTTCTTAATGCTAATAATAATATATAATTTAATAAGATATAAAATAAAAATAAAAATTAAGGTAATAAATTATATAATTTATTAAATAATAAGATAAAGATTTTCCTTAATATTTATTAAATAATAAATATTAAACTTAAATAATTTTATATAATATTTCTTTTAATTCTTAAAAATTATATTAAAATTTATTATATTTATTATATTAATATAAAGTCCTTTATTTATAATATATACTTAAAATTAAAAGTTTACTTTAATATAAAGGTTAATTATTAATAATACTTTTATAATTAAACCTTAATTATATTTAATAAAATATATGCTAATTTAAAGAATATTAATAAGCACCCTTAAAAGGTTCTTATTATAATATTTAATAAATTATAATTATATTAATAAGCACTTAATATACTTTATTAAATAAATAACTTTTTATAAATAATAGTTATTTATGCTTATATAAGTATATTAAAATTATAATATATACTTTTTAATCCTAAATACTTATATAAATTATTATTCTTAAAATTAAAATTTTTTCTTAAACTTAGTTTTTAATATAATATTAATTAATACTATAATAAAGATAATTAAAGTATTAATAATAAGGGAAATAAAGCATATTATATTAACTGCTAATATTAAAATAATAAGCCGTTAAATTATAATAAATATAGCTAAAGAAGCTTTAATTATAATAACTTTAATTAAGGCAACTTTAATTAAAATAATTTTAATAATAATAGCTTTTATTCTTAATATAACTCTTATTATAATAATTAATAAAACATATTAAAAAATAAAAAGTATTATATTTATAGCAAAATTAATTATTAATCTTTAAATTACTTATTAATAAAGTATTAATAATATTATAATTAATATCTTATATAAGCAAAGTACGCTAGCTATAAAGCTATTAATATTAACTATATTATATTTCTTATTAAATATAAAGAACTTAATATAAAAACTATCTTTAATAAGAAAGAAAATAATTATAAAAATAATATAATTGTGGGAATAATACGTATGGGCATTATATGCAGCGTGCTTATATAGTGGGTGCGCTGTAGGCAATGCATAAATTTAAAGGTATAAGGTTTAAATTAGTCTTATTAATAGCAGCTACCAGCTAATGCTAGTTAGCTGCTAGCTAGTAATTATATGCCCTGCGCATAAATTATTATAGCTAGCTTATAGCTAAATAAAGAAAGGTTGTAGCTTTGCTATAACCTACCCTTTATATTATAGCTAAATTAATTACATACTTTATTTATTTATTATTAATTATATAAAAGCTAAATTAATATTAATTAATGCTTGCTTAATAAGTATAAATAATTAAGTATTAAAGAGATAAATCTTATTCTTTAAAAGCCTATTTATTTATAATAATTCCATTAAGGGACTTTATATTAATAATAATGCTATAAGCTATTAAAAAGCTTAATTAAGTATTAAAAACCAATTTATAATAATAATACTTAATCCTTAATTATATTTATTAATATAAATTATTAATAATAATAATTATAAAAAGCCTTAATTAAAAAGCCTTCTTTAACATACCCTTAAGCAATTACAACCTTCCTTAATTATTAAAAGCCCTTTCATAATACCCTTAATTATTAAATAAACTAGTAATAAGCTTTACTTAATCTTATTTAATTTATAGCAAATACTTAACTTTTAAGTAAGATTAATTAATTTATAATAAATGCTTAACTTTTAATTATATTATTATTATACCTTTAGCCTTTTTTATAATACCCTTAAAAGCCCTTTATAAAGCACCCTTAATTACCAACACCCTTACTTATAACTATTATAAAAAGCTTATAATTAGCATTAATAAAAAGCCCTTAATCAACACCCTTAAGAAACCCTTGCTTAGCACCCTTAAGAAGCCCTTATTTATAATTAATGCCCCTTAGGGTACTTATATAATATCCCTAGGGCTTATAACCTTTTAAAGACCCCTTAAGCATTTAATAAAACGTAAAGCACTTTAAATGCTTTAAAGTATTAATAAATAACGTTTCTTTTAATTAATTTACGCACTTAATTAATACGTTTAATTAAATACTTTAAAAAATGTTAATAAAAGCAAGCGATTAATGCAATTATCTTATTTGCTTAATTAGCTTAAAATTATTAAGAGGAATAATTAAGATTTATTATAGGTTTAATTATATAAATAACTTAATTAAACCTTTAAGATATTTACTTTTTAATAATAATTAATATTTAATTAATAAGCATAATCTTCCCTTTTTTTAATGCCCTTTTTATTAATGCCCTTTAATAAGATTTTAAGCATAAATTGCCTTAAAATTAATAAAGGTTAGTTTACTAAGCAGTAATAATATTTAAATGCTATTATTTATAGGTAAATAGTTTAAAAGCTAGTTATTAATTTATAAGCGCAATGTAAAAATATTCTTCCCCTTCCCTTTGCCTTATAATTAATTATTACGAGATTTGCCTTAATAGCAATAATCTTTACATTAATAATAGCCTTTTCCTTTAATAAAAAGGAGGTTATTAATATAATTAAAAGCCTTAAGGGTTATTTAAGCTATAATGAAAATCTTTTTAATAAATTTTAATGTAAGTTTTATAAATAAATAGAGGAATGCTTTTAAAAGATTAATTAAAGGCTTTTCCGTAAGCTTAAATAAATATTTCGCTATTATAAGATATATATAAAATGTAATTATATGCTAATAGTAAAGGTATTAATCGTTTTAGCTTAATTAAATAATTAGAAATTACTTTAATAGCCTTAAGAAAAGTTTATAATAATAATCTTTTACTTATAATTAAAGATATATAAACATTAAAAGAAGCTTAAGCTAATTAAAATAAAGTTAATTATTATAAAGTAATTACTTTTTTCTCTTTATTAATTATAACTTCTTTATTAACTGGCAATGCCCTTAGCATAAGCCTTATAGCAATAGCTTCTTTTATAATAATAACTTTCTTGCTAAGAAA